TTCTCAACGTTTTCTCCAGAATCCAACGCTCGCTACAATTCAGCGACTGTAATCCCAACTGCCGTGTTGAACGATCCTGACAATAGGTACCTGAACTTTGTCAGAGGTAAGCTGGAGAACCTCCACATGTCGGTGGAGAACAAGACCACTCGGTATGAGCTTTCGACCCGTATGCGTCCTGGGACCGATACCCATCGTTACATATGTAGGTCGATACAAAAGAGTAGTGAGCTTGGCCTGGATCCGGAAGATGCGTCCGAGCCGGTGCCAAGCTAATCCAAATGTCTTGAAGGACTATAAAAGCAAAGATGGACTATGAGCGTAAGGCGGCTGTTGACAGGGAACATCCTGAATCCGATGTGCCAGGATATTTCGTCCCATTTTGTTTGTGGTCTTGGCCCATATGGATAAGCTGCTGGGGCAGTTATTAGGCGATTTGTAGAAGCGTGGCAAGAAAGGGAAGGACAATGCCGAGTAAAGGTGAGTTGCCGCTGGTCGAGAACCCATACACGCTACACAAAAAGGCAGGATGTGATGCAAACACTTTTATCTGTCTGGCTGGTGTCACGCATACTTTCGCCTCTTACCTTTGTATCCCGAAACTTGTTGCCGACAGCAATTCAGACTGCCATCGGAGTTGGCTCTTCAGGTTGAACAAGGGCAAACAACAAGATGTATGGACTAGTCAGAACACGACTGGTAACCAGCTTCCTGTCATCAATTCTTGTGAAGATGATAGGCTGTGTGTTTGAGTCTCAGACGATGAACCAGAGACGACTGGTTTCATGTTTAGGTGAATCGCTTGACATTTTCTTTGAGTGTTTAAGCCGCTAGCTCGATGAGTTCATGTTCTGCCAGATCCAGTAGCCACTGAGTGAAAATGGTTCGATAATACGTACCGTGTGGGAATCGGGCTCCTGGGGTAAAACGGAGGACCGCCCACTGGAGTCGAAGAAGGGCAAAGAGGCCGGCATTGAGAGACCTGGTAGACTTGTGCCTTGCACTTCTGGAAGACGATAATAGCGCCAAGCTTGGTCATTCGCCAAACTGACAGCTGTGGGTACTTCGCAAGCCGGGAACTTGTTGGGCTTAGCCTATTTTTCTATCTTGACTATGTAAAACGTTGGCTCAGCATTCGATATGCAACGCCGTGATGCATTGGCCAGCCTTAACTGTGAATATCAGTTTGCATGGCGTCGTAATATCATATGTGGTACTCTGTATTGACCTCGACAGACGACAGGGTATAGAATCGAGGCGAGGCCTAGTGTGACAGCTAAAGCCACTTGAACGTGGATTGACAAGGACCCTGGCAGGTTCACGACTAACTCCAGGGGCGTGAAACGGACTGGAGACCAAATTTGGGTAACAAATCCGATGCTGAGGCCTATGAAAAAGGCACATACCAAGCGCCGATACTAACCAGGTCGTTAGCCTCATGATAACTTCAAGCTCATACTCAAAAGTGCCAGTATAGCAATGGAGTAGATGATGATCTGGTTCACGCTAAGGATTGTCAGCCTAATCATAGGGAGTAAGATGGAGATTGATGGGTCACATCAACTTGTTCATGTAATGCAGGGCTGCCCCTACTCTGTACAGAGTACGCAAGAAATGCCCGTCAGCTCCACATATGCAGGTCCGATTACTCGCTGTGTAGGTTAACGTTATTTTGCTTTTGTCTGTTCAGACTTGATTGTACAGCCTTGCTGCCCTAATCAGATCATAATAATGAACAGTGCCGATCTGTGAGCCACAGGGAAGTCTAACGGTGCTATCCGAGCCACAATGCCAATGCATATGATGAGCACATGTGGTATTGGATAGTTTTTTACTCTGTAGAATGGGCTCGATTGTTTTCAAACTGCTGGGAACCCTTCTCGGCTCCAGTGAGCCACTCTACTCTGTGGGCACATCCTCAAGTGGAGCGTCTTCACGTTATTGCGTCTCGTTCGGAGCTCGATGTCATGTAAACAGCGCTAAAGGGTTCTCCGGGAACCGCAGAAGTATCCTTACTGTAGCAAGGTATCCGAAAAAGGAATTCTAGGAAAGCCGTTGCGGTAGTGGCTATCGTGTATTCGAAGAACTCGTGGCGCTTGGGATAGGCAATCGAATGGTTATTGACCCGCTATTCCTTCGACCGAGTCTTAAAAGCTTAGATCGTGTAAGCCGTCCGTAATTCCGGAAGTAATGTACACTACCTAGGTAGTTCCCGTTGAAGACCCGCAACAAGAACAGCCTCAAGGGGCACAGGAGAGTTGGTGATCCAAAGTCAGGGGCGTGGTTATGTGGGAAGATCTCGTCTCCATCGACTCACTTCAGAGCGAATGAGATACGTACATAGTAGTTGAGATTTGCATATCCGTGTGAAGGCTCAATAGAAAAACCAGTCTATCGGTGGAAGGGACCGATGACCCAAGTAGCATGCCAGGATTGACAGTGTTGAGGTAGTAGCCCGTACGGGAACAAACGCACTGTAACTTAGGAGAGCATACTATTGATAGGGATCCCAGGATGATGCACGTAAGTGATGGATCTACTCATCAGATGTTGAAAGTCAGGATGAGACGTGATGACCAGGATCTCGATGAGCGGTCTGTCATTGTAAGCGGAGGCGAGGGGAAAGAAGCCGGATTGGATGCTGTAGAGTCATCTCAGTTGTTAAATAAGGCCTCTCTCTAGTTGCGAGAGGAGTGACGACATAGTCTACTGTGTTTGTTTTGTTCTGTTCTATTTCTACTTGCCTTGCATGTTTGAAACAGTGTATGCAGGTACGAGCGCGTGGTGGGTAGAAAATCTCAATGCGATGAATGCTGTACGACGTGAAGCTCAAGTTGTTCGACTATGATATCAACTTTAGGTTGTGACAGATTCTCTTAGATCCTGCCTCGGGAGTTTCAGGCTCACCGAAAAGGCACGAACAGATCTAAACCTGCCTATCGCATCTTTCCAGCTCATCGTCCGCTCCTTCGGCCCCGTTCTTTCCTAGCTGTTAGAGATGCCCCTGCCGCCCCAGTTATGGGAGCCCCAAACAACATGGTTCCCGCTATGCTTAAGCGAAGTGTCCGCTAAACTAGGAACAACCTAGAACGCCCCCTTCCTAGATTGCAACTTCCATTTGCACCGGCTGTTAGGCCCTACTTTCCTTCATTCGATTAGCCATGTGTCATTGGAAGCCGCTATGTGCAGATAGGATAGAAGCAAAGCTTGGACGGTAGGTACCTACCTACCTAGCCACGAAATGGCAAGTACAAGTAACTGATAGATAGTAGGCAAGAACAAGCTTGGACCGCCCCTGCCCTTCCATTTTTCGCCCTGATGCTTGACATCCCTCACCTAGTCTACCTAAGCTCCCAGCAACTCCAGTCTCCGCCCACATTGGAACATCGACAGAGCGAAGCTTTCTCACGACTCGCCTGACTTCCATGGTTCACACGTACTATCCCAAAAGGCTTGGTCCCTACCGATGCATCGTGCCTTCCGCGGAGACCCATCAGTCTGGGTCCGGCATTGGTCTTAACCTTTCATGAAAGCCCCTGGTTAAGGTAGTCTCAGCTTGTGAAGTTAACAAAGAGCAACAGAGTAGCTGCTCATGCTCTACAAGCAACAGTGCTTTTTCGTCGGAATCCCGAAGACAAAAGCCGCGATAGGGCGTATCTCAGATGGAGCTCTGGCTGTTACAGAATCCAGCAGTCAGGCAAGCCGCTATCACAAATCGTGAGATGAAGTGCTTCCAATTACTTCCAATCATTGCCAACCTTGTCCCTGCTACTTTCGCTAATGAGAGCCCGAGTTTCTGGTTACGGAACTCCCTTTGGACCCGCATGGCCATGTGTCCCTGGCACAAATGAATACACACGTACTTGTCGTAGGTACTGGTCCTTGTCAATCTGGTGGCAACGAGACGTCTAATCTGGTACAATCCATACAAGGAGTCTGGTTTTCAGGGCCGCTACGTGAAAAAACGAAAAAAAGGAGCGACGATGAGCGAACGTTTGGAATGAGACCGAGCACGGGGCCCATGGCTCGATCAAGTCGGCGTATCCCATACCTGTCCAGCATCAAACAGTAAATGCAGGAGAAAGCAGACAGGATCGACAGAAACCTCCGGCCAATGCTACACTTGCGAAAATATTGAAGATGGACGGCGTCAGGGCATGCAGTTCCCCGGTTTGGTGCTTTGGGGGGGTATTAGGTTACTACTGTTATTTGGGGGTGACTAGTCTGTCTCTGTTGGGGGTGACTACGTTCTCTTCACCACTGTCGGCTTGTCTTCTAGGTGCGCTGCGATACTGCAGCAAAACGTGCTTTCTGCCTTTTAGAGGGTTGTACTGGTCCTGGCTTCAAATTCGCCGGAACCATGTCTGTCGGGCTACTATGGTAGAGCCAGCATTTGAAAACGGCGTCCACAAAGGGATTCAATCTTGACCTCCGTTTCCCCACCTTGTTCAATCCCAACATCGACACCACCATCTCATCATTCATGCCTACACCCCGGTCCTGTCACTAGCCACCTCCACATTGGCAACGACCAGAATGAGACCGGCGACTGGGGTCGGGTCGGGTCAGTCGTTCAATTCTGGGTCTCCGAAGTTATTATACTACCGTGCTGGCGCCCATCTGCTTCAGCGACACTCACCTTACTTCAAGGCTCGATTTCCTCCTTCCATTTCCGTCTTCATTTCTGTTTATGTCACTGGGAATTTTGGCAGAACACAGCCTTGTTTACACCATCTTCAATATCGTTGTTCACTCGCAAACAATCTATACCAACGAACTGAGCTCTGCAGGCACACGCTCTGAATAGTGCTTGAACGTGACGGTGCTTGGAATGATCAACGACGTTTGACTTCGCACATCATTTCAACATATCTTTGTCTCTTATTCCTTCCAATCTTTCCTATTTACGACAGCGACTTTCATTAAAACGGTAACAAGTTGCACACACGACCCATCAAATCACCACCCCGACCACCACACTCGTTTTCGTCAGCTCAGGCATGACCACTTCCATGTACGACGCAATGAACGTTCCTCATATGACTGGAGTCCACCCTGTGGCTATTTCTAGACCCCAAGTTGGGATTGAACGCCTTCCTACTCGACGCATGAGCAATGAACCGCGGGAATCTATGAACTGCAAGTCATGTCGAAAGCGCAAGGCAAGACAACCCATCGAATCCCAACTGTCCTGATTCTAACTAGTAATGCAACAGATCAAGTGCAATCGACTTCGGCCATCTTGCGAGGCTTGCCAGGTTTTCCAATGTCCCTGTGTTTATGGTAAGATTATCCCAAAACGATGCCGTCGCGATTAGCGTTCTTCCCACTGCTCTGTTCAGTCTCTTAGCCCATCAAAGTATGCTAATTCAGACACAGATGCTGTGCCTAAGAAACGTGGACCAAAGACAGACGTCCTGGAAGCCCTTTTGAAAAGGGTAGATGGACTTGAGGCAAAATTAAGAGAAAAGGGCGAGGACGATGTGTCGCTTGCGACCTCAAATCTGCCTGAAGTGGGGGATGTTGAAGCTACCGAATCTGGTTCTCAAGCTATCGGGGCTGTAAAGTCAGCCGCAAAACGTGCCTCTTCAGTAGATACTGGCTCGCTTTCTCCAGTAGCTCGGTTCGTTCCCCATGTCTATCATCACGTTGGCCGCATAACTAATTCACTACTCTAGGGATCTATCACCACCTCCTGCCCAAGCTGAGGTTCTTCTGGACACTTATTTTTCAAGATTTCATGGCAAACCATATTACATTGTCGACGAGTCTTCCATTCGACAAAGACACCAGCTCAACCAACTCCCGAGATTCTTGTCTTTTGCTATTTCGGCGGTGGCGGCGAGGTGCGTTTCCCCTCAATAGCACGGACCCCCCAAACTGACTCTTCTTAGACATACCACCGACGCCAGTGGATATCAAGCGGCTGCTAATCTGAGTGAAGACTTCGCAGCACGGGCTAGGCGGGAAATCAATACCGACGAACCTTCGATAGATGGACTACAGGCACTTTTACTGCTGGTTAGTGCCTTTACGGCAACCGGCAAAGGGAAGAAAGCTTACATGCTCATGAGTAAGAGCCGATACTATTCCGAAGTAAATAAGGATGTATGCTAACCAGTTCAAGCGAGTGCCACCGGTATGGCCATGGCACTTGAAATACATAAGGAAACCGACGGCCAAGCACGCATGACGCCAGTCGAACGAGAGATGCGACGTCGATTGTTCTGGACTTGTTATCTACTTGACCGATTCCAAGCAACTGGCTCCAAGCGACCGAGCCTGATCAGCGACAACACCATCATGCTACGCCTTCCATCTTGGTCCCCTAACTCGGCTTCCCTCCCTGTCGAAGGGGAATTCTTCCAGACTGGGTCGAACCTGCAGTATTTCCAAGGTAGCGACAAGAAGCCTCAAGGAAGCATGGGTATGCTCATTGATATCACACGCGTTCTCGGAAACACAAATCGGTATTTGGCCGCTGGTGGCGTCAAAGCCGATTCCCACTTTCCTTGGCACACGTTGTCAACCATTTCCAAGATTCGCCAGGATCTCGATGTTTGGGCTTCTGGAACCGAAGACGCATTCTCGAACCTCGGCACACTGTTCAGACAGGCCGACGGAACCATATTATTGCTTAGCAAGCTCATTTACCATCTCATACACTGCCTGATCTACAGGCCATTCCTTCCTATCGATCTAGCAGAGCTGGCTGAAACAGGACAACATCAGTCATGGCAGATTGAAGCTACCAACATGTGTTTTCTTCATGCCAATGCAATTATGGAGTTGATTCAACTAGGGAAGCAGTCAGCAATTGTTGACTGGCCTGCATTTGTGGGATACTGTGTCTGTACGGCAGGCACAGTTCATGTTCACGGCGCTCACTACAGCCAGCAAGGAAGTCAAGGCGAGGTTAACGTCTTTAGCTCTGCAGCAGAGTTCCTCTCTAGTGAGATGCAGTTCCTTAACGAGCTTCGATACGCCTGGGCCACAGTACAGCATCAGCGCGAAACACTGCAAGACATCAGCCACGCTCATGGAGAATTGGTGAAGGCGCTAGCACGCAGCTCAATGCGGTACACGCCGGGGTTCCACAGCGAAGACTTCTTTGATCGTTACTCAAACATAGGGGGGCCTGGTGGTCCATCTTTCAGCTTTGATGCAGCCAATCTTCGTCTTTCAGACATCGGAGTTGACATGGTTGCTGGACCGGCGACCGAGGGCACGCTGCGAAGCATCGATAGGCCACAGCGTCCCAACCTCAAACGCAAGAACACAGCACCGCCCGGTCCTATCAACCGCAGGCGACCTGATGTGAAGGTGATCTCAAGCCTCGCACCCTCTGCCACGGGCCTTCCTACTCCAGGCACTGCCCGTCGATCGTTTTCATACGCACCCGGAGGGATGCCCCATTCATCACCGGGTCTCCTTGCAACCCCCACATCACTTCCAGGTCATCATGAAAACCATGAGATGTATACTATGCATGAACACATGAACGATGCATCCTCGAACAACGCTGCAGTTGCTGCTGCCGCCGCTGCGGGTTTCAACATGTCGCCTACGTCACACGGCGTTTCGTCTCACCACATGCACCAGATCGGAGGTGCACCTTTTAGCCCACCATATAGCTATGGCTCTGGATCGAGCATTACCAATTCTGGCCCGGGTATGATCAACGAGGCCAACGGAGGTTATGATGCAATGTTTGGAACAGTGCCAACGAATGCCTTTGGCAGTCCTGCTGTCTGGCAAGCCGACGACAGCCATGGCAAGATGCACCTTACGCAGACCAGAGCGGTAGCAGGAAGCCCCGGAGCCCGGAGCAACAATGGCAGTACTGGAACGGGCCAAGGGGAAGAGAAGGATCCATTCTTGGCCCTCCTGGAACAGCTCGCCGAGAATGAGCACCGAGCTCAAAACGGTCATGGGGGCGATATTGACTTTTTCCTTGGAAATTCCGGCACGAATGTTTGATTGAGTACAAGGTTGAGCGATGGGAGCACGTTTGTGTTTCGATTGCCAAAGATGTTTCAGTTACTTTTTTTCTTCTTCTTCTTCTTCTTCTTCTTCTTCTCTCTTTCCCCTCCTTCTTTTCATGCAGCGAGGGTTGTTTTAGATTTAGCATAGCTTTTTCCAGCATTGGGGCGCAACGGATATTTGCAGCATTTACAGGCGCACGCACATGGGCGAGACAAAGGATTGTATCATGAGGGCAGGATCCCCAGCAGAAAACAATGAGCACTTGATGAAACACTTGGGAAAAGCATAGCCACTGTATATTAGCTCCGACATGATGGGATACGAATACAAAACAAAATGGAAACAAAACACCGAGCGAGTCCTGTCCTCAACTCATATTCGTGGTCTTCAACATTGTTAGAAACAGTCGACGTCAAAGATGAGATGGTGATGGCGTGGTAAACTCAGAAAAAAGATTTCAGGGTTAGTATTGGAGCGCTTGTTATTGAAGATCACACCTAATTTGGGCAGCGAGAAGGCACAGATGATGGTGCCGTAGCAGTGCTAGCATCTCAGGTGGTAGCGCAGAATACAACATAGATCGTGCTGCCATGTCTAAGTCAAGTTAGTGTTACAGAAGGTGACGAATCTTAGAGAAGCTTTCTCACTAGTGTGGACAGGCGAGATCTGTCTAACGGCGTTGCATTGCCAGGATCCAGGAGTGATGTACGTGTGGGGCCTTGAACTCAGGATGATTGATTGTGCATTGATGCTGGTGCGTGTGAATATCAAAGGTGGTAAGTGAAAGACCAAATAAGCTTAGACATTGGCTCATATTGGGGCTGACGGCCCGCTGCGTCGCGAATCAAGGGTTCGTCTAGAAAGGGAGAAGAAAGCGAGATTTGACAGGGAGTGTAACCTCGGCCAAGTAGCTTGTCTAGCTTGTATTGGAATAGTGCTTTCTCTTGATCCTGTGATTGGATCGGCTGGGTTCCTGTGCCGTATTTATGCAAAACACTATGTATTTTCATGTGCCTAGACATAGCTAGTACCTGAGTTATGTTTCTGTCTATGCAAAGCTTCCAACAGCATAAATCGATCCTGACACTTTTGACACGCTCACGTTTCATGGCATATCTCTGATCAGTGCATGGTGATGGTGGATCGTTCGGTGCAGGCCGAAGTTCCGGCACATACTGTTTTACCACGCTCGCGACATGTTTCCAGAAACACACAGATTCTATCATCATGGAAAAGGCCAGTGCTGTGCAGCAAACATTGTTTGAAAACAATGTTTGAATCATTGTCAGTTACGCCTGTAACAGCTACCGATGCAAACTCTATAATGACGCTAGGCCCATGCTTTGTTCACAGCCGAGTCATGTCAATGATCAAGACAGGCAGCCGAGCTACAATACCAAGAATAGACCACTCTTCAAACCGCTAGAAACACCACGTCAAACTCTAAAATGTTACTTCAGACACCCTGGGCCTCAGCTCTCATGCTTCGCCGACCCCCTCGTTTTCCGTCACAACCACCCTTGCAGCTTCTTCATCGACATGATCAGCCTCCCGCTTGTCATCGGGCGCCTTCTTGCCTGTCAAAGCTTGAAACAGAATCACAACGATACCGAGCGCAGCCATGGACTGCCAGACGCCCTTGGTAGCACCAGCATAGCCTTCGATCGCTATGTCTTGCTCAGCGCGACTTAAATCACCGCCATGAACCAGTCCCGGGGTATTAACAAGGCTGGAGACTAAACGCCGTCGATCATCGCTCAACCGTTCACCGCCGTCTAGCTGGAGGAACCCTGCCTCTAGACTGCCTCTAAGGAAACGGTAGAATATTCCGCCTGCCACGGCTGTTCCAAAGCTCGACCCAGAACCGCGGAACGTGCCAAGCAGGCTCGTAGCAATATAGCGGGTATCGTCGTAACTCAGATGCAGAATATGTGCAAGAGTGTAGTTGACTCCCCCGCCAGTCGCGAGGCCGTTGATTAACACGACGACGACGAACAGGGCCAGAGGAAGGCTGGTAGTACTGATGAGTGACAGTGTATACGTGCTAATTGTGAAGATGACCAGAGCAGAGATGGATGGTAGCCAGAATGCACCATTGCGGCGAACGTGAAGCAAACCGACGAGGATGCCTCCCAGGCCGAAACCAATGTTTGTTGGTATCAAGATAGAACCTGCAGCAGCAGGAGACGAGCCGCGGACTGCGAGCATGAAAATAGGCGCGTAGAAGAGGACGCTCCAGCGGGCGATCATGAGGCCTAGCTGAGCAAAACACGAAAAGAGGATACCTGGCGAGGAGAGTACCTTGATAGGGATGATGGGGTCTGTGGCTATATAGATCTCCACTGAGAGGAAGAGCAAAAGCATGATGGGTGCAAGACAAAGAGGTAAGATCTGTATCTCATCTGCAATTGCATAGAGGAAGAGGACAATTGATGTAGTCTTGACACGCGAGTTAGTGAGTCTTGCTATATTGTGTACGTGAAGGACAAAAAGCTTACCAAAAGTGTAGCCCCTAGATAGTCTATTCGGGCAAGTTTCTGTCTGAGGGGAGTCTTGTTGTCGTGTGGTTCTGCGGCGGCAGGTATGCTGATGAACACTCCCAAACCTGTGGCGAAGGCGAAGGGGATCTGTCCCCAAAACAATGGTCTCTAAATAATTTTGTTAACACGTTTTCTTTGAAGAAGAATCCAAGGCTGTTTCTTACCCATCCGATGACCGGCATCAGGCCCCCAAACACAATCGCCCCAAAGGAAACCCCGGCAGTGAAACCCGCGTTTATCAAGCCCAGAACAAGACCTCTTGATTTCTCACTCGCCAATTCGATTGCAATTATGATAGCAAGGGACAAGACACCAGCAGCACCTGTGCCTGCAATGACTCTTCCAGCAACAAATGCTCCGAAGGAAGTCGAGACTGTACAGACAAAACCGCCTGTTGCTATGAGAGCCGCAATAGGGAGAATGAGAGTTCTGGGCGGAAAGATGGTAGCTAGACGACCTGTTACAGGTGCCAGAGAGGACATTGGGATGAGATAGGCGCCGGTGAACCACATAGCGGATGAATCGGTGTCAAATTGAGCAGCGATAGCGCCTTGAATCAAGGTCATGCCAGACATGTTGCATGCTGAGGGCGTGTTAGTATGGTGGCAACGAGAACTATGAAGAGAACATCTGAGATGAGCGGCCGTATACCTGTCAGGAAGATGAGAAGCCATAAGCTCAAGCCTATGGCGATTCCTCTGGCGAGCGGGATGTGTACTTTGGATTGAGCATCCTCGACATGGCAAGAATTGCTATCCTTCTGCGTACCCGATTGGAGGGACGAGCTGGAGCTAGACCTGCTGAGCAAAGGAGTCTCTTCCGTCGTAGTCGACGGGTCGTTACGGACATTAGAGGACGGACCGGGCGTGGCGCTGCCGGAGCCGGGCCCGGAAGGTTGCACTGGAGAAGTCATGACCTAATCAAGATGTGGTATTGTCTAGGAGCGAGTAAATGAGTAACGCCAAAATATCAATCTAATCTCATTGTCAAACGAGGAAAGCAATCTAGATGCCTGCGGATGTCTATGGACGGAGTCGTGGAAATGACGTGTGTGAGGTCCATGTTGTTGCCATGAGTCGCGATGACGTTTGTGATGCTTATCACGATAAGAAGCACGGAGTGTGGAGCTCCGAAGCTCCGGAGGCTCAACTGCAAAAACGCCAACAACTTGACCGGGATCCGTTCGACTTCGGCAGTTTTTACGCCGAGATCAAAAGGTTAATGCCACAGTTTGCTCCGAAGAGAATATTTTACACCGGTGTGACAAATCTGTCTGGACTTCCTATTGTTGGATGTTTTGTTGAGAACATGGGCTGAAAGTGCGGTCAATAATGAATGCTATTTATTCGAGATCCATTATATGTTTGTTATTGTGCTGTTAAGGAATAGTGTCAGTTTTAACAGCAGGATGATTATATTATAGTGCATAAGGCTACACTACAGGGTCGCTCACCGCATGAGACTTTGTGAGAAGAATTTAACGTTGGCTCAGTATCCGCAGTATTCTAAGATGTCCATCGGATTCAGCCATCCAAGTGCCCACTGATAGGCTACTAAGGTACAACCTATAGCGGAAGAGACCCTGCATTTGTCTCGGTTACAAGCGCCCCGTGCCACTGCAGGAGATGGAACAAAAGTAGGTCGGGGAGTCTGGATTGCAGACCAAACACAGACCATGAAGCATCTAGAGTTTATGTATCAAGCAGATCATCGACGTGGCAGCTGCAATATTGACCGCTAACATGGCATCATGTGCTTCTAATGCAGATTTTTTGCAGTGGAAGAGTAAGACGTGCTCATTCAATTGTGGCTATTCGTATAATAGATACAAATGAACAATATCAATACACACCATATCATATCGTGCGTACCCTGCAAATAAAGAAAAAAGTAAAAAAGACAAGTCTAGGCCGTGCCACGCGGGAATTATCGGTTAGGGCCGTGACAGACATGCATATTAGCTGCAGATAATGTGTGATTTATACTATTCGCTGTCTTTTCTTTTTGCGGTGAAAAGTCGAATTGGCTTGGTCACTAGCAGTACCATAACCGAAGAAAAAAGCAATTTTGACATGCAGTAAATCATTCCCAATTGACACGCGGCATCCGTCGAGAGCGGACCGGCGATCAGAGCTTGGTGAAAGCTTAACAACCCCTGTCAAGGCCAGAAGTGAGACATGACGTATGAGGTCAAACATTTACGAGTTCTAAATGAGGATAAACTATCCGTAGGTAGTATAAGCTGAGAGGATCAAAGGCGGAAGAAATGCGAGAAATAACTCATACAACGTAGTAGATACTGAGGGGCGGCGGCACGACGGCGCGGAACAACAAGTATCGATCATGTGGCTTAGATTTGATGACTTGTCAGGACAGCAGCTCATATGTAAATGAGTTGGAGGCTTGGAGGGATAATGGTGTGATTGAACATCAAAAGACAGCGGAGCCGCGGCAATCAATATGGGGAAACTAAACAGGCACCGAGATTATCAAGATCGTTGGGCTATTCGATTAGTACGTGTTGTCACTCTGCCATTGGGGCAGTAAGTTGTTGTTACTGTGTGTTGTATTGCATGGTCTGGTCTAAATAGTCGAGTCGGAATTGGCTGTAACGTGGTACATTCAACAAAGAGGGTTAAAACTCGAGAGCAAAAGGACCGAAACGGAGATGGTGATGTAAAGAAGGAATCAGAATGGTTAATATCCATGAATTGAATTGCAACAAACAAAGATACCACGACGGTGATGATGACGATTCAATCCACCCAATAAATGAAGCTACGCAGTCTAAGGTGGACAATCAACCACTCACCACGCGTCAGTGGCATCTTTCCCCTCAATTTCAGTGCGCACAATCCATTGACTCTAGCTCATCATTCCCCTCTTTGGGCGACCGAACCCAATCCTCAGCCGAGCTGAACTGCTTGCCCAAAGAACCTTACCTACCTATTGGTAGTAGAGTAGGACCCTGCGGTTATCAAAAGATCATCTTTGATTTTGAAGAGTTTTTTTTTCTCAGTACCCAACCCAATCAACGAATAACAAACTCAACCCCTCATTATCATTGGACTCTGTTAGCCACGTTCCTAGTCGTGTTTAGGTCATGAATCAATAAGTACTAACTAAGCTCATAACCCCAGGATTTTTTGCAGTAGGCAGGTACCTGACTGACTCAATTCGAATCACCTGACCCTCAACCGATGAACTGGTAATTACTACTACTAACGTAGTAACCGTTCATGTAACACTGCATAACTAAAAAGGAACATGTGACTGGCGAAAAGATACCGACCATTGTACTTGGATGGTCAAAACTCTACCAAAACTTCATCTCAGCTCTCTCTCACCGTTAGAACTGAACTGCCACGGAGGAATGCCGTTTGACAGTAAAGTACCCATCGCATCCACATCACTGGGGGTACTAAGTTATTAGGCGTTCTCTTATTTAGCCTCCCGCCCGAATCCTGGCGGGGCATTGAACTGTAGCGATGGGCCTGACTGGACACTCATGGATGGCCGGTGGCTGAGAAACTGCCGCTAAATCCGCTAAGAAAAACCTCTCCCCGTTTTTTGCGCCGCATTCCTTTCCCACCACCACGACGACCATCCAGGCGGGTTATGGTTACTTTACTTTTTGCTTGTGCTGAAGACGAATCTAACGGGCCGGGAGGCTTTTGCTTAGCTTTTGCTTGTCTTGATTTTGCTTTTTGGTTCCGCTGATCCTGGAACCCCGAACCTCGCTAAATCTCCCCTTCACCCTTTCTTGGTTTTGTTTTTTTCGCTTGCTCTGTCATCCCATCTTCAAATCGGCAATTCTCGTATAGTGACAAGACTACGCCACCGCAGTACGCCATCTGACGAGAGACAAGAACAAACAAACTTACTCAGACCATATCAGCCGGGACTCGACCATTTTCTTCCTCTCCAATTGCCTCATCCTCCACTGACAGCCAACTTGTCGAACCAAGGTATTCGAAAGTCGCAATTCCTCGAAGACATGGCACGCTCGTCCAGGTAGCAACGGCTCCAACTTTCTCAAGCCAACCAACACCTCACTCTCCATCTGACGAGTGACGAGTCCATGTCTCTTCAAGCTTCGACCTCGACATGTCCGACTCGGCCTCCACCGACGATGGAGGCATTCCCGATCGTGGTCCCGCCGTCTTTGCGGTCACGACGGCCACCCTCGTCCTCGCTACCGTCTTCGTCGCCGCACGAATTGTCTCACGCACCTTTATTGTTAGAAATGTCACCTGGGATGACCGCGTCATGATCCTTGCATGGCTATTCGCCTTCTTCCTCTCCTTCACCATCTGCTTCGGCGTTCACAATGGCCTTGGACGACACGACGAAAATATCGACCCTCAACGATTACCCGCCCTCCGTCGTTGCGAATACGTCTTCTCCATATTATACAATCCCGCATTGATGGCCACCAAGACCTCTGTGCTCATATTCTACCTGCGATTGGCTAAGCACACCCAACGAGTACTTCGATTTGCTTCTTGGTTGACTCTGGCCATTGTCAATATTGCTGGTGTTATACTCACTTTTATGAATGTGTTTCAATGCCGCCCGACCCAAGCCGCCTGGGATGTAAAATACGACGATCGCCCGAGTGCGAAATGTATCCCTCTACTGACCGAGTTTATTTGCTCCTCTCCCGTTAATATCGTTACGGATCTGGCCATTCTCGCTCTCCCTATACCCGTCCTTACTGGCATGCGCCTACCTTCTCGACAAAAGACGATTCTGGTTCTGACCTTTACTGTTGGTATTTTTGTTACGGTTGTCGATGTAGTAAGAATTTACTACCTGCAGCAAGCCATTACCGCACCCACCAGCACGACCTCCGACCCTCAATCGCGCTTTGGCGGACAAACTGACTTTGCATGGAACGCATCAAGATCGCTCATGTGGAGCGCCGTCGAAGTCAATGTTGGAATGATGTGCGCGTGCGTACCAACTCTAAAGCCTCTAGTCCTCAAGCTTCTTCCAGCTATGCTCTACGACCCCAATGGAACCAGAGCCAGTACACCCAAGGGACCCAATGACTCGGATTCACCCTCGACAGGTCATCGCGCAAGTATCCAGCAGCCGCCTCCGGTCGCGCAACCCAATGCGCAATCCCCACTCAATGCCAATGCTCCCATGAGCGCTATGGAATTTCTAACAACGCCGTTCGATGGCCCAGGCCCAACTCGTCCTGTGCAACGTGCTGCTCAAAGCAACGGGACGTACCAGACATCGACAACCATGACATCTTCTACCGGAACTGTTGAGGGCGTCTACTTTGGCTTTGTAAACATGACGAAACCGAAGAGTATGCTTAAATGTAACAAGAAGGAGTCTTTCAAGTATTGTACGATTGTATCTATCTTGTTTTTGCTATGGGGCATATCCTATGGTTTGTTGAATACGTTAAACAACGTCATTGCAACCGTTGACAACATGACCACCCCCGAAACACTTGGCATGACGTCCGTCTACTTTGGTGGTGGTTACTTTTTCGGACCCCTGCTAGTGGGTGAATGGATCCTCCGGCGCGACGAACACAACCGATCGAAACGGCACAAGGGTAACGGCCACGACAGTGTTGGTGGCTTTAAAGTTACTTTTATCGTGGGACTTTGCTTCTACGGCATCGGAACCGTCATTTTCTGGCCCTCGGCAGTCACCCAATCGTATGCAGGATTCATGCTCAGCAACTTTGTCGTTGGCTTTGGTCTCTCAATCCTAGAAGTCGGCGCAAATGCGTTTTTGATACTCTGCGGACCTCCTGAGTATGGGGAAACTCGTGTACTCATGGCCCAGGGTGTTCAAGGCATTGGGAGTGTCCTCAGTGGCCTCCTGGCGCAGAAAGTCTTTTTCAAAGGCATCGTTGAGCAAAACAACGCCACCAGCATGACACTCATCAACGTTCAATGGACCTATCTGGGAATCACGCTGCTTTGCGTTGCCCTCGGTCTCTTCTTTTATTACATGCCTCTTCCGGAAGTCAGCGATCGCGAGCTGGAGCAATCCGCGACGCATCTTCCCATGGATCCTCAAAAGAAGAGCAGCGACCTGCAACTACGCACCTGGAGCCTGATTTTGGCTGTTCTTGCGCAATACGCCTACGTAGCTTCCCAGGAGTGTTTCAGTATTTATTTCCGCAGTCTCATGATCTCCATACTTCCCAATCAACCTAACAGTGGCGAGAAAGCCGCACAAGGCGCTAGCGACATTCCTAATCCCGACAAGCCACCTGGCATCAGCCTCTCTATACCCGACTACCTACTTATTGCGCATACCGCCTTTACGGTATCTCGCTTTATGGCAGCAGGCCTCACATATCTCTCTGTATACCGCTCCCGCTTCCCCCGGCCTCGCACTATTCTCACCGCCTGCATCGCTGGGTGTTTCCTCTTCGCCCTTCTCCCCGTGGTTGTCCGTCCACCCAACCCCAACCTTCTTGTTATCCCGATTGTCCTCTTCTACTTCTTCGAGGGACCTATATACCCCCTTATTTTCGCTATTGGTCTTCGCGGCCAGGGTCGACGCACCAAGCGTGCTGCTGCCTTTATCACCATGGGTAGCTCCGGCCCAGGGTTCTTGCCATTTGTCATGTACGGCATTATTAAGCACGGAGGAACTGTTAAAATGGCTTTTATTGTGGTCATCGTCCTTCAGGCCGTTTCCATGTCATACTCAATCTTCCTCCAGTCTGTCCGCGACGTAAAGCGAATGGTAGATCCTTGCCCTGCAGTTCGAGATGCTCTCGGACAGCCTGACGAAGAGATGCCATCACCCATGGAGACGGCAATGGCGGACCGAGCACGTCGACACAGTACAGTCAGGGCCAAATCTCCAAGATTCTTGGAAAAGGTGTCCCAAGGCACTAGAGTCATAGGTGCCAAGTTCCTCAGCTCTCGTCGTCGCTCCTCACAACCGTCGATACAGCAATGCGAGGACAGTCGCGATAACGCACCACTTTAATTAATGTTGATGACTTTTATAACTTCATCCCTATTTGTTTTTATACTTGATAAGTTTTGGGACTTTTGGTCTCAAACAGCGAAAAAGGGAGGCGTCGGGTGGGATCAATGACGAATGAATTGTTTTTCGGATGCTATATACCCAACACGTCCTTATAACGGAGGGACATTGGTACATATTTTTACATAGTTTTAGTCTTCGCAACAGTATATTGTATAACGATTCCTGTTGTGATAGTTGATGCTTCAGAGAAGCGCAATGACACAAAATTTTAAATATCTTTAATGAAGTATCTGCTGCCTACCTATGTTTTGATGGTCCAAGTGAATCGTAGTGCCGCCTTGTCATCATACGCATGAAATTTGGTCATAAAAGAGTCGTAATAACATCAGGAGGGCTTTTTCGAAAAAGAAGAGGAACAAAAAAACCATCACCACCCAAATTTCTCCAGATGCAACTCAACACCCGCCCCATTGTCCATGATAGCATCAGCAGCAGCATTTTGAACGGCCGACATGAGTGTCTTTGGCCCGCAGCCCATGACCAGCACACGTTTGTACGAAGGCGTGCTTTCTGTACTTTCCTTAACCAGAGAAGCAACGTCTGGCCTCCCGGAAAAAACGACGGTGTCACCTTGAGATGAATGGGTCGTGATCGATGTGGGCGATGAGATACCATCTTTCTCGAGGTCAGGTGATGACCTAGCAATTACAGCGGTACTAGGCTGTGTGATGATCTCTTTATCTGGATTAGGATTGACGAAAGTGCTGCTAGAAGACGTATTGGAAGACGTGGAAGGTTGTCTATGGGGGGCGCTTTCGCTTGCTGAAGCGCGTGTTACATAGACTCTTGTAGATACGCGATGATCTCGGTGTAGGGTCTCGAGATGATGGGCAAACCAAGAGAGGTATGCTGTAGCCATGTTAGAATCATTGAGCCTCTAAATTCTTGATACAGAACCCACCTTGGTTTCTAATCATCCAGATGAACTCAATGACGATCTCTTCGTTTCTGTTCAGCTTCTTGAGCATATTAAGAGCCGCACCAACTGTGAAACTGGCACCGCTGCCTCCAGCTACGAATATAACCTTGTCGTACCCCCTGATATCAGGCAAAGTGCCGTAAGGACCTTCAACTGATGCCTTTAGCTTGATGCCGGGATTTTGAAGCGCACAGTCGTGCAACTTTTGGGTGAAGCCATCATATGCTGAGACGACAAATTCCAGGGGGTCGACTGCAACCATAGTGAACGGATGAGTCTCAAGGGCGCGCACAGCAGGAACCCAAAGGAAGCCGTGTTTTCCGGATGTAGAGCCCAAAGGAGCTTTTGCAAGAGTTACACGAGTCCCGCCGTTGGGAAGAGGCGTGAGTGTGACAGTGTTGTTAATGCTGTTGCTGGCCAGGCGGCCAAAGCGAACAATGCGGCAAACAGCCCAGATCCCAGCAGAAACGCACACGATATATAGGACCTTCTTACCCGGCTCTGGCTGGTGGAGGCCAGTCATTATAATGGCGAGGATCCAGAAGCTGATGTGGATATAGTAGAACAGCTCGTACCACCAGACCCGAAGTACAGCGCCCGCGAACGAAAGTGTGATGAAAGAGCCGAGCGCAACCATGCCAAAGATTTCTTCCTTTACAAGCAAGTGTTGGAGAAAATTTTGGGCCCCGAAGACGGCAGTGTAAGTACTCGCGTGTACTGTCGCAAATACGAGGGTGGTATAACCGGCAATGCGATGGAGGACATTCAGGCGCTCATAAGACGAGGCTAATAGAATAGCGACCGGCGTGTTCTTGAGAGAAAAGAGAATGACAATAAGCAAATTGGCGATAGCCATCCTGTACCGAAGTGTCAGTGCAGGATAAAGTCACATAATCAGATCACGTACCATCCAGTCCGAGAAGCTATATTGGAAAGGAATGGCATGTTCTCATTGTCCAAGTACGTAAAAGTGACGACGGCGTTGATGACGAGGTACCCGAGAATAACGAAAGTATATCCTCCCGATGGCAATCCTGGGATGTTTCCGAGAGCAGCAGCTCTCATGTACCTGTCCAATTGTCAATATTAAACATCCGCGAGAATATAAAGCAGGGTCTCACCTAAAGATCGCCGTGACGATGCCTGGTTTGCGCGAGGCGCCCACTTCAACACAAAGTCTCCTAAGAAGAAGGGATATGTAGATGGCAAGATAAAAGCTGGCCATGGCCCCGGCAAAGAAAGTCAAAGCATAGCAGTCCATTTGCTGACGACGAGCAAGTCTGGCGAGAAATGCCGGATCTGAATGGGAAGAGTGGCTCGCCATGGCTGGATTATCATGCGCGGGAAGTTCAAAAATCGACTACCTAGTCAAAGCCCCCCGGCGATGGAAAAGAAGAAAGCGGGGGGTATGCTGGGCTGAAAGAACTGCCGTTGACTCGATCCTGTACCAAGTGGCACAAGAAGAAATGAGTGTGAAAAAAGATATCAAGGAGTGAATGTATTGATGTATCAGAGAAACAACTTCCGGAGTAGTACGGTAATGACCGAGTGTGGTGGTAGTTGTTTGAGAAGAGAGTAAGGCCGGTGGTCTTTTTATTTACTAATTTGAATAATCTAAGCTCTGAAGCGACGTTTTGATGCCTCAGGGCGTAGAAGCACAGAACTTCATAAGTGTTGTCGAGAACAAAAATGCAGATAACCTCCGAGTCGTTCTGGCACAAGTTGGTGGGGAGCGTTAAGACTTCTGACTGAGCACTCTATATGTGGCTGCAATGCTTTATTTATACGTCTATTCGGCCACTACGTCCCAAGAGTTTCCGATTTGGAAACAAAGATTGCGTGATGGAAGCAAAAGGTCATGTGTGGTCATGTGCCAAAGGGATCCTAGCTAATAAATCGGTTGACAGCATCTGAACAGAGACACAAAACTGCTGGAGTGAATCACTGTAGGCAGCCACAGAGCGGAATAACTGTCACTATTTGAGAGGCAATCACGGCCCAGTCTTCCGTCGGCATATAAGGTAGGTACTCAAGTGTTTGAATCTGAGACTGTGTACTTCCATCCAAAAACCTGGCCCAGGAATCACTTGGCTCTGATGTTTGTCCTCTGATACTATAAAATTGACGAATGCAATTTGGAACAGCTCAAGCTCTCTGATAGAAATGAAGTTGCTGTATACCGATTAAGACTTTAATCGTGGTAGGAGCTACTGTCTAACACCGGGTTCGTTAAGCGGATGTGAAAGTAGGAAAGTGTTCCCCAGCGTCCATCTCATACCTTCTCCTGCTCTTCCTTAGGATTCCCCTAAAGACTTCCCTAAGGACTTTCATAAGGATTTTCCACATCTCCCGCCTAAAATATAAGATCTCATCTAGACCTCAACCCTCCCCGATCGTCGCATCTTCATTGTTCGAAGCGCCTCACGACAAAGCGCACATTTAGATACATGGTGCTTCAATTTTCAAAATCGCCCTCTATATCATATTTCTACTCATATCTGCCAAGAGTCCCGCAATGCTGTCATGCTCCATGGATTCTTTATTGTGATATTTAATGACTACGGCGGAGTCCCAGACAACCTAGAGGTGCTTATGGAAGGCTTCTTTACTACCATACCTCGCCTTCAGACACTTAGCTGTATTGACTCAGTTGGCATACTTTGGATACTAGAACACGGAAGGGTTGCTAATCTTCACTCTTTGCCTATGCTACTGCCTGGAAGCAACGGTGATATATACAGTTTCATGAGGAGGCTATGAATCAGCGAGGTATTACACTATATATTTGCGGAAGAAGAATTAGAGATACTTAACTTTTGAATGAGCTAAGATGATGGATGAGGTGTAAGTATTCCTTTCCCTTTACTATATGGAACTTGATACTAATACGAACTAGGTTTACTTTCTAACAGGATTATATGTTTTTTGAGTGGTTCAATGGAATAGGGGGTATTCTTATACATGATGGTTACTGAAGAATAGGTAGTATTTAAGAGATAATAGCGGACTTGCTAGTTGATTGAGGTTGGAAGAGGAAGAAGTTACTGCTGTCTGTATGGCTTAATAGAAGCAGCATTGAGAGGTAAATGCGAGCAATGATAATTTTAATGTTAACCCCTGAGACAAAGGTTATTTAGATATAAACATGTATCGCAATTAACCATCCGAATCAGAGTCGATGAAGAACTAACAGCAGTTAATGACAAGCTTGCACTTCTTCCAGAGTCTTGGGTTGACCTCGAGGGACTCGAGAAAAGAGTGTGTTATCTTTTCGCTCAGCTTATGTTTGTATACACTAGTAGTAGGTAGCAGAAAAGTTAACTTTCAAGCTTTAGGCTACATAAATAAATAGTCTAAGAAACATAGTCCTAAGTAGCATAAGTTGGCCTACTGATTTCATCTCTTATGCTTCTAGCAGCCAACTTTTCTGGTACCCTGATGACGCATGATGTACTGTTTGCCCCATCGCTTTATCGACCAGCCAAAGACACCGAAAATGCTTTGCTTTTATCTTGTAACATGGCTGTTGTGTACCATCGGCTTCTACCCCAGATGTGACACTACCAGGTCGTACAGATATGTTTTATCAAGCTGACAGATATGTTGCATTTGTAAACGATATCTCACAGCATGAGGCGTGAAACTCCTTTCGACTATGATATGGCGTGAGCTATTAATTATCGTAGGGTGTCCCGTTTCAGGGTAGTCGGCATTGTGCATAGTGAAGATTGCTGTACGAGCAGGTTACAACAAGTGGCGACTCGATCACAAATCATCACGGCCACCACGCTGCAATGGTCAAAATGCCTGTATGTATATTTCCTCGAGTTCTGTTTCCTTCATATGTGGGAATCGCCGTAGAACGACACCAGACTTTGTTTTGCTTGCTATGAGAAAAATGTCCGACATTCGTACTCGGGTCCCCAAGATGAAGCGTAGTATTCGCATATCAAAATTGTAGTGACGCTTTAAATGTGTTTGCCTGTCCGGGTCTTTATCATCACTCGACAAAGTCTCTAAGAGATTGACATTTTCATTCCACCATTAGCACAGATGACGCTACCAGTCGTCCAGCCACTCTCTTCCGAACATAGCATGTCAATTGTGCCAGCGATTTCAGACGTAAATCCTGGCCTTCGCCCACCCATTGACTCGCGTACTATCCGATCGAATCGCTCGGCGTCGGACCCTGCCTTGGCCAATATCTCTGGTTCACCGTCATACTGAGCCAAGGGAGCTACATCAACATAAGGCTGGTTGATATCCCAGAAAGCTTGTCCGGCGGCTGCGTACATGTCGCCCCAGGCCGGTCCAGGATTTACAGCGTTGACGGTAGCACGAGTAGCTAGCTCACGACTCCAGGTCCGTGTCATGGCTTCCAAAGCTGCTTTACTTCCGGCATAGACCGATTGGCCCTGGTACCCGATAGACGAAGAAACACTAGAGACGTTTACGATACGTCCGCTGCGGTTGGTGGGAAGATGCGGGGCAACTGCTTGAGTTAAGAGGAGAGGAGCCAAAACGTTGACGTTGTAGACGCGATGAAATTCGAGTTCGTCGATAGCCCCTTGCTTAGTGTCATTCATATGCTGATTAGAAGAGACGCCAGCATTGTTGATCAGAATATCGATTTGGAAGGGTTTGTTTGAGCTATACGAAGCATGGAACGACTTTGCAGCGTCGATAATCTTAGGTTCGGCCTCAGAAGGACTGCCTAGGTCGGCCTGCACTGAAGAGCATTGAATGTTGTGTGAGGACGAGAGCTCACTGCATAGCTTCTTTGTCGGTTCTGTGGATGACTCGGAAGTGTAGACGAGGAGGAGATTACATCCTTTAGCGGCCAATCTTGCAGCAACTGCTGCACCAATACCTTGAACACAGTCAGAATGTCATGAAATGGGTGGTCTTGTATTAAGAAGAGCGACTACAAACCTCGTGAACCTCCAGTCACTATTCCAAGTTTTGAGTCGTACGGTCGATGAGTAGCCATGATGGAAAGGCTTGAGGTATTGCAGACTTGTGGTAATGACGACTTGAAGAAGGAATTGACAAAGAAGAAGGGTGTTTGATATGTTGACTCGACAGGAAGCTACGTTTGGGGGTGAGCTCCCCACCAACTGACCTAGAGCCGTATCATGATGGTGGGGGCATGGTGACGTCGACCGCTCAGCTTCAACAGAAGGTACGAACGGGTTTACAGCTACTTTAGTAGGTAGGTATGGATAGACGCTCCTTCCCTGAGCACACGAACTTCCTCGGCAGGTTGCTCATAAACAGACAAGAACCCCACAGTTCCTACCACCTTTTCAAAGTGAGTATCTTGACAGACGAGCCTTCCTGTTGACAAGAACATCATGGGAAGCTCTTGCTACCCCGAGGGGAATCGATGCGGGGTAATGTCAAGCACTGGAGAGTTTGTTGCTATAGAGTGGCTCTCTTTGGTCCAGCCTCTACATATATCCATCCCCCGCGACAAGGGTCTTAACCAATTAGAGACTCAATCTAATGAGACTAACAAGCTGCTCACCAGACAGCTGAACAAGTTTCTCCACTAAACCTTTCTCATTCCATACAACTTACATGTTTAGTTGCCCATTGTTCCCGTTAAACGCTTCGACCGCTACTCTGCTGCTCTTTCTGTTGTCTCATTTGGGTAATTCCGGCCACTTCACGATGGAGACATGCCAGATCATCTTGTGGAACAAGCGGGCATGGCTTTTGTGTTGATACTGGCGGAACTACCTGAAATAGAAGATGAATCCTCTCTCAATGGACTTATTAACACCATCATATAGATAAGCAGTTGAGAGCGAAGTGCTCCAGGGGCGGAGCCAGTGGGGAGAAGTTGACGAGACATCTGTCTGTTCATCCTGGGTATAAAACTCATGAATTGAGTCATTTCGAGTTCATATTCACCTGAGTTTTCCTGCCTTTCTTTTCAGCTCAATAAAACAATCTTCACCATGTCTGATCTTCACCCTCTCAACGGAGGCAACTTCGTCCATGATAACAACCGCGTAGTTGGTGGCGGTTCTATTCTCAAGCGGTTCTCTCTCTCAGGCAAGACCGCAATCATCACTGGCGCCGCTGCCGGCATTGGCTTCTCTATTGCTGAAGCATATGCCGAGACTGGTGCCAATATTGCTATTTGGTACCGTACCAGCAACAAGGCCCAGGAGCGTGCTGAAGAGCTTGCCAACAAGTACAATGTCACTGGTAGCTATACCCCCGAAATCAAGTTGCAGTGTTTCCTTGCTGACCGAAAATCTCTCAGTCAAGGCGTATCAGGTTGACATGCGAGACGCCCAAGCCGTCGAGCAGGCTGTCGACCAATCAGTCAAAGATCTCAATGGTCGGCTAGATATTTTCGTTGCTAATGCCGGTATTCCTTGGACTAAAGGTCCCATGGTAGATGGCCCCATTGACCACTATCGTGATGTTGTTCAGACCAATCTGGATGGAACCTACTACTGTGCAAAGGCTGCTGCGAAGCACTGGCGTCGTCAGAAGCTTGAGGGTACTGATATCAATAGCCATCCTCTGAACAACTACACCTCAGGTAGTTTCATCGCTACCGCTTCCATGAGCGGAGGTATCGTGAATATCCCGCAACTCCAAGCTGCTTACAATGCTGCCAAAGCAGGTGTTATTCACCTCATCAAGAGTTTGGCTGTTGAATGGGCTCGGTTTGCTCGTGCCAACGCCATCTCTCCCGGCTACATCATTACTGAGATCTCCAACTTTGTGGACCAAGAGACCAAAGACATGTGGAAAGATAAGATCCCTGTGGGGTACGTATGTTGTTTCTATTGTGTCGTCTGCAGTGCTAACAAGAAAATAGTCGTGAAGGCGAGCCCCATGAGCTTCAAGGCGCATATTTGTTCCTGGCATCAGACGCTTCCACGTATGCCACTGGTGCCAATTTTGTTATCGACGGTGGTTACAGCGCTCCTTGAATACAATAATGAGATCCAAAGACCATATATACCTCCTAGATGATATTAAGACTCGAATTATACTATTGCAATGAAATAAGGATATGATACCAAAGTGGGTTCCTAAGATAATGTGAGAAATGAAAAGAAGAAAACAAAACTCCATACATGCACCAAATCATATTTGACCTTCATCCTGACTTTCGTCCTGGTCCTTGTCTTTAAAATTCTTTCCCCGTCCTCTTTTCCGATCTAGATTCTTGCCCAAAGTAGCCCTGATTTGAGTCTTGGAGGGAGTTCTTGCTATCTCCACCAGGTGACGTTTTCCAGGGATACTGATGCGTAGCCTTTTCGTGTACGAATTGATGCCTTCTCCACCTTCGGACCTTTCCCAGATTTCTTGAGCATGAAGATAAAGTTGGGAAAATGCCAACTCAATGTTGTATTGTTCGAAGACATCGAGCCCATCTCGGATAATTTCTAGGGCCTCTTTTACTTCCTCTTCTGTCTTTTTAGTCAATACAATCGTTATGGCGTCGACGACGCGAATCGAGGTTCCGATTTGAATGTTGACGCTTGGATCCATCGTTTCAAAATCCTTGTGACAGAACTCGGCCCAGTCTTTCATATCTTTCAAGAGAGACTCGAACATTCTTTTTTCGTTCAGTAGGAGAGCAAGCTTAATGCTGTTTTGGATGCGGATGAAGAAAAGCAGGTGGAGGTAGTTGATCCGATCCTTGAGGCTGATCTTCTGCTGAATATAGGAGGGCGTATCATTCTTTCCAATTGCCGCGATCAAACTGTCAGCCGTCCTGAATTGGACAACCTCAAATACTTTTAGGCGATTCCGGTAAAGATTGCCCTCTTGTCTGATATTGTTGGAGTTCTTTGTGAACTCTCTATCCTTCTCACGGATCCTGTTGTTGAGCTGTTTGATGTCTTCCTTCTGCGTTTGCACTCGGGCTCGGAGATTCCTAGTCTCCTCGGAGGCTTCCTGGAGTTTGCTCTCATTCTGCTTGGAGGTGTCTGCCAACTTTTGTTGGAGGTCGGAGTTCTCCTGTTTGAGTCTCTTCATCTCTTCTTCCATCTGAATCGAATTAAAAGATGGTGCCATTGAAGTTACTGAAGATACTCGGCGATGCTCTGAGGTATCTTCTCCAGACACTTCGGATGAAGACAAGGAAGAGGTCTCGTGGAGTTTGAGTTTTAGTTTCTCGACAACCTGTTCTTTTTCCTCGAGTTTTCTTTTTAGTTCCTCGATCTCGTTTCCTTCTGTCGAACTGGTGAATACAGTTTCATCGCCTGCATGGGATAAGATATCACTTACTGTCTTTCAATTCCCTTCCTCTCTGCTCGAGTGCGCTCAGTAGACCCATATCACCAGTATTGCCCCCTTGCTCTAGAGCTTCCATCGTAGGTGGCCAATCTGTATCGTACATGCGGTCCAGTTCCCTCCAGTACTCGGTTGTCTCGTTGAGAAGGGTTTGGAGTTGTGCACTTGCCCGTTCATCGTCCCCTGAGAGCCCATCATAAATACCCTTGTTCCTGAACCACGCTACCTTGTGCTTCTTTACCTTTCCGAAAGCTGTATCGTGAAATACTGTCATCTTTTGGGCGTCTTCTCTGGCATCTTTGAGATATTCCTTTGTTTGGTCCAACTCGTATTGTAGGTCGCGCTGCTGCGTGGCCATTTCGAGCTTCAATCGGTCCGACCCTTTCAGCAGCTCATTGGCGTATTCAACAGGGACGTGTAGTTCGTTTTGGCACCACTCTGTCAAGGCGGCGACCATCCCGTTGTTCGTCGTGTAATGACTGATAACCTCCTTGGCCAAATCTAATGTGACGTTCACGCCCTGCTCTTTCAGAACTCGTAGCTGCCTCTTGGCCTTCTCTATGGGAGGAGTGCTGGGCCGCAAGTGGACTGATTGGGTATCATGCACCCCTGTCTCGGGGTTTTTGATCGATTCTCTGTACGCCTTTAATGCCTCTTGAACCTCTTGGTTGGAGATTGGAGGGTTGTGGGCGTATATATGTTGGCGATCTGGGTCTCCTTTTTCAGGTTCAGCATGCCTATCCCCCCACCATTCTTTGTCATGCTCAAGACGAGCCTGACGATTGGCTTCGTATTCCTCCATAGTTCGTGGATTCTGCGCTGGCTGGACTTTGTTTTCTGAATTGTCGAGTCGAGTGCTGACTGACTAACGGAGATAGAAGAAACAATCGAGACCAGTTGTGTACTGGATGCTGAGTGTTCGAGGATACTCTGCACAACCTAAAGAAATCAAACAATACTAAGAGTTTCTTGAACAGAATCACAGCTGGGCATGAACGGGCTTTGTATCCAGGAATATTACGCTATTCCCGCGACTCAGCTTATGTGAACAAAGAATCCCGAGTTCAAGGACAGACCACCCTTCATTGTAAATCCAGACTTGGCAGTTCTTTGAGACCGGGCCGTGGATCAAGGTCGTTTCTTTCAACTGGGGGCAATGGAGTTAACGTATCAATCAGTCTCTCTAAGAACAATAATGAATCATGTATAACTTCATAGTAAAATTTTGTTTTCCCTACCTATACAAGCTCTTCTTACGACTTTTGAATGATACACCGAACCATAGTTCCTAGAATTCTTACCATATATGTTGCAGCCAGACCTCTTTTTCGAATTAGCATTGTTAACTGATCAGATCTTATGAGGCTGAATTGATTGAAGTCAAGTTCTTTGTTGACCATCCTTAACCGGTAACCATGGAAGCGAACAACCAGCGCATGATCTGATCCGTGTGTCGCACATTATCCCCCTTATTAAAATTAAAGGAACAAAGAAACTTGGATTTGCAAACAGACTATTCTTAGAAGGCCGAGTGGGTGTGCTCGACATCGAGGTATACCAACTACTTCTTTGTTTACGATAACAAAGATTGTCATATTCAAGTGGCATCTATCTCTCAGGGATCATTCTTTCTTCGCTGAACTGATGGCATTATAAGTTGAGCTAAGCCCCACAGTTTTGGAAGAACTATAGAATCCAAGTTTTCAAGGTATTAAGCACTATTTACTTTGTTATGTAATTTCAAAAGTTACTCCATGCTGGTGTCTTGGCCACTCTCTCCTCTAACCCTTCCCTGTTGGGACGGTCACTGCTTTCCACGTGTACAGAGAACTCGGTAGTCAATTTGATACCCCTTTCGTTTTCCAGCATCTCAATATCAGCTTCTGATTCCGCGTTTGACGCCTTTCTCTTCCCTTTCGGATCTCTTGGTATACCGTGGATCAAGACTTTGGGATTTGCCGTCATCAGATCTCTCTGCCACACATCGTCCTGTGGATCCCAGGCGCTGCTTTTAGAAAGCTTTCTCATGTTGTAATGGTTGTAGTTCCTGGGGTTGCTGCTTGGGTCAACTAGTGGCTCCAAAGCAAGCAAGCTGCTGCACCAGAGTCCGATATGGACTTCTATAGGGAACCAAGCTTGTGTGCGAAGCATTTTATAAGTTCTGTAGTCATGTCAGCATTATGTACGGTTTAAAAAGGTGGAACAACTGACGTGTCGATGCTCAAGTCGGTTGTCAACAACATCACGACTCTAACAAAGGTTGAAACAATAACGAACACACCGAGAATAAGAATAAATATCCGTTTGATGGTTTTGGCGCGTGTTCTTTGAGTCGTAGATACGGCCTTGATCGTGAGGCCCATTATGACAATATTGATAATCGTTGCCACAATAGAGTGCGCCTGTCTCATACGACCCAGAGTAAAGTTAGAGACACATTGCCTGTCTGTCTTTCCGGCATTAAAGACATCACTGCCAAAAGTTCAGTAGGGATCTTTATTGGTCTGATGTATAACACTCACGCTGGAGGACTGCACGAGAAGACAAGGAAGAGAAGAGAAGTTGCAGAGATGATGATAGTTGCCATAGAAGCACCATAAATGAATGTCATAAAAGACCCTGTTAATGTTTCTCGTTAGTAGTTCAAGGTGGCAAATAAGGGAACTTCTTACTAGCTCTGTAAATTCGAGGAAGGCAAAGCACAATCGATAGTCTGACAAAACAACCCGACGATATGAAAAGCATTTTGTCAACAGGCATTAACTATAAACACGAGGTGTCAGTAACTTGATCAGTCTGTTAAGAAATACCATAGTAAAGCACCTACTGAAAACATTTCAGCCAATGCCTCTTTAGGCACTTTATCCATATGCGTTCCAACTCCTTTCGTCACTAGAATGACTTCTACGCATGACAGGGCGGTGACGTTACCCTGAAACGTACCATGGTTAGTTGAAGCTGTCCAGTTGCTAGTGTTGAAAGTTGGAATACAAGCAACTCAACTCACCCAGGCCAGAATAGCAAATAAATCATCCCATCCAAGACCCCTGACAACTATGCCTCTTACGTATAGCCGCACAATCACCAAGACACTTGTGATGACAATAAGTGCGATGTTGAGATCCGAAATGACATGACCGTCGCTGTCGTTGGGGTCGACCTTTGCTCTCGTCAACAGCACAATCCCCTCGCTCTCTTCCATTTTATTCCTCTTCTCTATGCTATCGATTCCGTCGCAGTTGTCGTGATAGTGATAGTGGTGGTGATGGATATAGCCCGCGGCTTCTCGTCGTCGTCGCACTCGGAATACCGGCCTCTTCCGAGCTTACGGTTGATAATATCCGAGATCCGTGCAAATGCACAAGACATTGGGGATCTGTCTCGAAGGTTACGGTGTTTATGACATAAGAGGATTGTGTGGCCTTTCATCCATGGAGCGAGTCAACGGAGCAAGAAGTGGGATGTTCGTATCGGGGGTGCTGTTCCTTTCTTTAGAGGAGACGGCAAGCCATGGCGTAGGTTTTAAGACGAATCTGGACTTTCTTAGGTCATTCAACGTACGAGTAGAAACACAATAGGCCATGGCAATTGTCTTTGAACCAGCTGGTTGCCAAGATCAGATCTAACTTTGAAGCCAGGCACGTTGGTAGAAGCACTGGGGGCCTTATTTGGCCGGACCTGGCTAAGCGTGGTTGATCTATAACAGGATTCTATTTGAATGTGAACCATGTTTAGTATGTGATCAGACTGCTTAGGAGATTTTATTCAGTTGATCGTCAACGGGAGTATCTTCTTTGCTGAAAGTCGACGCCCCCAACTCTCAATCCAAGGTCAGAGACGTTTGAATACAGAAAATTGAAGAAGTAGGCGGAAATCCGTTACAGACAGAGTAGCGATACAGTCATTCAGCTCAATTATTATTAATACGGGTTTGCTCACGCTGAGACAAGACAAAGTCGCTTCCTAGAGGTTGATGCCGGCCTTGGGAATAACAACGGGTGATCTATCACATTCAATGACAAAACACATCATCTAAGACAAGGCCATATCCGGTCGATCTAGTCTTTAGTCCAGTCCTTGTTTTCTTCCCGTTCCTGGCAAAGACACGCTAAACTAGCGTCCACGAATGCTTTTGTGCCTTGCATTGGATGACATAGATCCCCTCGCATTCCATTCAATAGCAACCGCCCGTTGAGTAGACTATTTTGGCATGACAAATCGAACTTTACAACATTTTATGGGACATGATTCGCTGTAATTCGATCAATCAAAGTTAAGTGGCAGATGCATTGACATAGGTGTCAGGAGGTTGCCAATAAATACACGAATCAATCATTCCGAAGACTTCGTCATCCCAAGAGCCAAGCAACTAAAGTTGTGATAGTGAGCTAGAGAGACTGGAGTCATAGGGGCCGAGTAGTCGCAAGTTTGTTCGAGAACATTCGTAGCAATAAAGCGGAGTTTCCCGAGGCCTAGATAGAACAAGACATATCATACTTAGTTGGTAAATTCACATTAATCCGAACTAAGGCCTATAGACACGCCATATCTAAACAATTCGAAAATACCGCCCCAATTAGTATCGACCTAAGTCCAAAAACTCTATCGGTATAAGAACCAACCCATGCTCGTGGTGTATCAGACAGTGTCAGAGGCACCACGCGCTTTCTTTCCTTCCACAGCAATGAATGAACGAACACCCCCTTGGTATAATATATGACAGTGGGTAACCAACCAGCAGTACTCCCTGTGGCCATAAACACTGCTCCTGATAAAGAAATCATAGTCCTTCGCCTCAAAACTTCAATTCTTAGATAACCTCATCACCACAATTCTCCATCGGGTACCATATCCTTAGGTACTATACCCCTCTGTTCGGTTCTGTAACTATTTCGTGATGCTCGAACAGCCGAAAGATTTAAAGGCAGGGGTGGTCCTTTGCGAGGGGCACCGGGTTCCCTAGGTTGTCGAGGGCTTGGTGGTTTTGGTGCAGGCTTGGGATGCGAAGGTAGCCCCATGGAGCCCTCGGGCAGCTCAGGCGGTCCGCCGGAATTCCGTTGGTGTTTTGGGGTGGTCGGTGAGACTTGTTTGCGTATGTCGGGATCGTATAAGTGGTGGACAAGGTGGCCGCTAGGAGACTGCACAGGATCAGGTCGGCTTTGGCGTTTAAGACTTTTAGGTGACGTCGGATCCCAGGCCTCAGCAAAGGCATCCCCGGGATGAATAACAGTCAAGAGAGATGCGGCCAAGAAGGGCAACACTCCTCCAATAACCATAAAGGCAGCTTGGTTCTGGAACACATCTCCGGACACGCCATCTGCAAACTCGACAAGTCGATAGAAGGAATAGACAATCAGGAGAGCAGATGCCATCTCCATTGCTGAGTCTGTGTTAGCCAGGAAGACGACAGTATGATAAGGTCATCTTACCCATAAGGAATTTCTTGAATTGCGATGACGAGTAAATTTGTGAATGGCGGGCATCGAGACTTCCTCGTCGAGTACTTAAGGTGAGGGTGAACCAAAAGTGCAGCCCAGTGCATGCTATCAAGGATAAAGCTTGTATAGCTAATCCTGTGGCAGCGATGGCTGCTCCCTGCTTTCGCTGGTTGAATTCAGTAAGTAAAGGTTACAGATACTAGGAGTGACATACGCTAAAGCTCTTCGTCTCGTACGCTGTGAAAATGACGCCGACAAGCTCGAATACAATAGTGACAGCAGCGAGTCCCCAGAAGATCAGACCAGCCACTAGCGGTCTAAAGGGACAAATTGGCCTTCCATATATGCTAAGGATGTGAGGAAGGACAATGAATATGGCGAGGCTCATTAGCGATGGGCCCAGAACTGTTCCAAACATAACGAGAAAAAAGTGACCCTGATCATCCCGTTTTGAGTGAAGCAGAATTCGGCCAATAAATCCCAGCACTTCGAGAAAGAGTCCGGTTGTGAGTACGAGGGAGAAGAGGTAGGTCTTGGATCGAATTCCAAAGTATAGTGCAGCAAGAGAAAGCAGAGCAAAGACAGTGAGTAACACGGCGTTACCACCTACACTCGGGCTATAAGCGTAGAAGCCATCAGAGGCCGGACAGGTCGATCCACAATCGCCTGGCATTGTCGAGTGTCGACCAACAAGTTTGGCTAATGGTCATGGCAGGCTGACATCTGGGTCAGAAGTAAAAAGAATCGGAGAATAAGACGGGATGGCTTGGCCCCCTACATATAGACAGACCAGATTCTGCCATCTGCCTACTTGCCTGGGCGGAACCCTGCATGTGAGGCTCTGTACCCTGGAGGCACTGCAGAGAGGGGAGAGCTGTTGGGAGGATCATGAATGTAGTGCAACATAGGGACAGACTAGACAAGGACTTGACGGGTAAGACGGGTATTCAGCCTTTATTCGATATCTCTCGGTTGGACCAATAACAGGCATGAACAACTACCGCAAGCTCGAACCATGACAGCCCACGGGCAAACTACACCAACAATCTTAGTTATGATCGACGGTCGAGGGCACCAACTTGCATAGCACCCAGTCTGTACGTGACGTGCGGGACTTGAACGGAAGGCCATGAAGCATTAGAGAATAAACATGTGGCTGTTGGTCGTTGCATCCTTGTAGTCCTAGACCAGGGATCATGATGTTGATAGAGTGGTACTTTGCAAATCATAAACAGCGTGTGGTCACTGGATATTCCATCCTTGTCATGTTTGACCAGGATGACATTCGCAAATTGGTTTGACAATATGCGTGATGGGTTGACATGACTAGGACAGCTGCAGACAATTGCCTTTGTAACTCAAAAACATGACAAAGTAAAGCAGACGTGTAACTTATCCGGAGCCTGACAGGGATGCATATCCAGGATCATGACAATCTCTGCCTGCAAGAGACAATCTCTTGTCGTTGTGCTGGCTTAGGATGGGGGCTAAGCTTGCCAATCATCCAAGGGATCAAGCGGGGAAACGGCGGCAGCCCGCACGGCACAGACGCAGCGGGCGACCGGTGCAAGGCCATCCAAGCGGCCAGTCTTGATCATGGTTGGTGGACGAGCGCGAGACGGAACCTGCCATGATCTTGGGCGGCAAACGGGCCGCATCATGCCATTACGCGAGCTACTCTAACGCGAGCTACTCTAACGCGAGCTACTCTAACGCGAGCGGTGATCAGGACTTGACCTGTGCACTGAATGATGTCCAGAGGCATCTCGAGATATGTGACAGGCGTGAATGTTTGGGATTATGGCATGATCCGATATTGGAATTGAGTAATTAATTTGCAGAGCCGCGGAGTGATTCCGGAGTCTGAGGGCTCCTGGGATTGCATACGAAGCGCTGGCCGCGCGAACAATGCAGGCAGACCCTGCCACCAGCCAATTCCTGGTGAACCTCGGACCAGCTGGAAAGAGTCGTACTGAACAGAGGGACCCTGAATATGCAGTTGGTCCAAGATGCAGCACATTTCATGCCAAAGAATTGTGGGCATCGAAACACCTCGAGGAATGTTTTTGGTGTTGTCGATCGCCCACCTCTACTCCCCTGGCAGGGACATTTGCCGGCACGTATTGGTGTAATAAGGTTCGCATCCACATGAAAGCCACTGATGTGTTGAAATTATTGTGTTGGTGATTTCTCCTACGGGTGCAGTGGAGAATGCAACAGGCTCCAGGGCTTGAACAAGCAGGTGATGTTCATTGAATTTGTCGTCACCAACAAAATTCATGCAACTTCTGCATCGTCAAGCACTTGGAGCTTGGATGTGATGTTTTCTCTGTTTCTAACCAACTCGTGCCGGGGGATCCTAGAGCCTTCTCCACCAAACAAGTACCATCGTAAAGCGGCACAGCGAGATATGTGGTCGTGTGAAGATTTCTTCGATAGCGGCCACCCCTGCTTGAGGGACTTTTGTCAGACTGCCAGAGGAACAAGGTTGAAGAACCACTTCATCGGTGATCAACAAATTCCAAGATCTGTCAAACGCCTAGATCGGTCTGCCGGCGCTAAAGAGCACCGACTTAACAGCCACATTATTGCGCGCCACAGTCAGAGATGACCGCCACAAATCACCCCTCCGTCATGTCATGTCAGGTGCGGTGCGGTGAGGCCTTGGTCTATCGCGGGGCTTGGCTCAGGCTGAGCAGCCTTGGTGACGTACAACCGACCTAGATTCCCGCGCATCCGTCACCTTGAATCAGTGAAGAATACTTCCAATTGTTTTCTATATACGCAATGCAAAGTTGACAGCTCTTTGGAGCCTTTTGAAGGATACGTCAACTCGTAGGCTACTGATTCAACAAACGAGTCGAGTCGAGTCTCGACTTCCAGCAGTCTTAGGGTCATCTTACGCCCAAACAGCCCAACCATCCATCCGCCACGATACCAGCCATTAGACCGTTAGGCCCAAACAAGCCTAAGATAGAACGGCCGCGTCGTACAACCGATATTGCTGTTTGCTAACACTTCATCTTCGCCCATCATGTCTATCCGAATAGCGCTGGACAACCAGCCCGAGTTCTACACGAACCTCGATTTTATTCAAGGTCGAGTCATTCTTGGCATTAATCGCAACGAACAGATCGGCAGTATTGTTGTCAAGCTTGAAGGAGAGTCCGGGACTGCCTTACAAGCCCCCCATGCCTTTGATCCCCAAAACATGGGCAGGATTCAAGCTGGCCCTCAACGACCTCCTGGCAGCATAGCAACAGAGAACCACAAAATCCTATACAAGCTACAGCAGGTCTTTCCGGACGACTATTATGCCAGCTCCTCGAATCCATATGGCGCATATCCGCTCCAGGCCGGCGAGCACGAGTTCCCCTTCAAGTTCAAACTCCCCATCAACAATGCATGCAGCGACCCAATGGCCATGTCCAAAATCGGCGGCATGGCCAACGTCGGAGGGTTTGGGGGTGGAGGCATGTTTGGTATTGGTGGTGTGAGAGTCATGGACGGTAGCAAGCAACTCTACCTTCGTCATGTTACTCGGACGTTACCCCCCTCATTGACGGGTTATCCCGGAGAGGCAGAGATCCGCTACTATATCAAAGTTACAATACAACGGCCAGGACTGCTGAAGGAAAACTGGAGGTATCAAATAGGATTGAAGTTCTTGCCTATTGAGCCCCCCAGGCCAAAACCGACAACTCAAGAAGCTTTTGCGCGTCGTCCTTTTACGTTCCGACCGCAGTCCCCTCAGCCAGAAAAGAAGCGCTCTTCCCTTTTCAACTTTGGTAGCAGTTCTGAATCCAAGTCTGCCTCTAATCCGGATCCTTCTGCGGATATTGCTCCGGCGCCTGCAATTGAGATATCGGCTCGTCTACCTCACCCCAGCATCTTGACTTGCAATAAGCCAATTCCCCTGCGACTTATCGCCAAGAAGCTCAACAACAATCCAGAACAAGTATACTTGGTCTCGTTCCAGATGGAGCTCATTGGGCGCACTGATGTCCGCGCACTTGAGCTTCATAACCAAAAGATCAACCGATGGGTCGTTGTTTCTAACCCCACTATCAATATCCCGTTGACCACGGGTCCCGATGACGAGGTTGGAAAGGAGTTGGTGATTCCAGATCATGTGTGGAAGAGCATAGCTCTACCCAACACCGTGGCGCCGTCGTTCGCCACATGTAATCTTTCGAGGAAATATGAGCTTGAAATCAAGCTTGGTCTGGCGTGGGGTCAGCCCAAGAAGGGACTGACCACCAAAAGCCCACCAGTCATTATCCTACCTTTGCACTTTGCGCAAGTGGAGGTTTATTCCGGTATCACTCCTCCGGCCGAGCTGGTTGAGACAGCAAGGTCAACACGTCCTGGGCGCGCAACCTTTACAAACAACACTCCTCCTCGTCTGCCGCCCAGGCAGAATTCCGTCCATGTATCACCTCCACAGCAGCAACAACAACGGCCTTCTCAAGCGTTCAACCAAGCTCCCGCTCAGCCTCCTCACGATCCTCTTTATCCACCGCAATTGGCCCCAGGACAGGACGCACCTCCGTATGACGATGCTCCGCCCAGTTACGACGAGGCTGTTGCCGAGAACTTGGCTGGCCCCTTTGATGGGATGCAATCCCGACCAGCTTACAGCGGTGTTACCAACGAGAATGCACCTAGCCAGTTGCCTCCTGAGAAGAACTAAATTGGACAAATCGCTTTTTGTGGCAGGTTCATTTTACGCGCCGGCGATTATGACAACGAAGGGTTTAATATGGCAGTCAGTTAATTTTATGAGAGGGAAGGGAGTGGTGTTTGCAGGTAGATACCCTATTCGACCGTACTCACTAGTGCCATACGCTTGTTTCTTCCTGGTCGGGGTAGATATCACTGTGATGGGGTTGAGGACGATGTGTAGTGCGAAAAGGATATAACTCAACAGTTGGCGCAAACCCCATCGTAGACCCAGACTTCGATGCGCCTCCAGGTTCATAAGCATATACTTTGGGCAGAAGGTCTGGATTAAATGAGTATACTTATAAATTCATTTTACTTGGACTTTATTAAACATTAAGCAAGGCACTCTCTTCTCTCGACCGGCACCAAAATGGAAGATCTCTCATCTGCAAACATGGCCATTGAGGCTGTTCCTGAGCTCCTTATAGTGGTAGAAACTTGCATAAGGTGTATATTCAGCTCAGATAACCACTTTGGTAAGGACAAAATACGGTAGAAACTCTTTATTTTTTATTTTATATATATATACAAATAGTGCCATAATTCACATACACTATGACTTTGTGACTATAATTCTTCTCGAATCAATAAATATTATTCGGTAACAGCTGGCAGTTAACCCCCATCGATGAAGCCTTCGTTCTGTTTAAGTGATGGTCATTTTGGTCATGTATTTCTCGCAACTCGACATAGCATTTCTTTCTTCCTCTTGGCTCTAAATTTCATGTTATCTTATAATAAAAGCATGAGCAACTCTAGAATCTTTGGAACATTTATGATGATAGCACTCCCTTGTCGCTTCTTACAACCTCGGCAGTACTTCAAACCGCTATAAAATCGCATCACCCTAAACGGTGACGTCACCTGTTTAACACTCATCTTTCTCATATTGCGACCCTTCAATTCCATGTGACCACAACACTTCTTCGTGTCTTCCATCCATGCGATCCAAAAATTCATGAACAGATCTACAATATGGCGCAAAGCGCCCGCTTCAACTCTGGTCAGATACGCATGCCGCAAGCAACATCCCATAGTCCAATGTCGGAGCTTCACTTATAGTCGCTATGTTGGCCGTGAATATGACCCAAGGATAAAAGCCGTAGGTAGGGCGATATCCGATGATTATGCTCTAATACGAGAGAAATACGGTAAATTTTACAATCCCGGATCTTCGCCCCAGGGAACATCTCACTGATAATCACGAAACAGATACCCCAAAATACCCCATTGTCCTCGCACATGGCCTGTTTGGCTTCGCTGAACTAAGCCTCTCTCCCTACTTCCCATCAGTAGAATACTGGCATGGGATTCGCGATGCCCTCACCGCGCAAGGCGTCACCGTTTTGACTCCCGCCGTTCCTCCATCGTCTTCCATTGCCGATCGCGCCGCCGCTTTACGCTCCGCGCTAGAAGCGCACGCTCCAGTCCCAGAGGCTGTCACCATCGTCGCACACAGCATGGGCGGTCTTGACGCCCGATATATGCTATCGCACCTTGAGCCTCTCCCCGTTCGTGTCGCAGCACTCGTCACCGTTGCCACCCCGCACCGAGGCAGTGCCTTTGCGGACTATCTTCTTGACGAGGAGGTCTCGCCAGTACATCATTACTTGCCCCAGTTGTACAAGACTCTTGAGAGGGCGGGTCTAGGCACAGCGGCCTTTTCGCAGCTGACAAGACGGTACATGGCGGAGGAGTTCAATCCGAGCACGCCGGACCAACCTGATGTACGGTACTTTTCTTACGGAGCGGCAGTGGAGCGGCCGGCGCTGTTGAGTCCATTCCGGCATCCACACGCCGTCATGACTCAAGCGGAGGGTCCTAACGACGGGCTTGTGAGCGTGGAGAGTAGTTCTTGGGGTACATATAAAGGCACACTGCTCGGCGTGAGCCACTTGGATCTCATCAACTGGTCTAATCGTGTAGGGTGGACAGTTCGGGAGTGGATGGGGATCAAGAAGAATTTCAATGCCATTGCCTTCTACCTTGACATAGCAGACATGTTAGCCAAGGAGGGTTTCTAATATGCGCTTTCTTCTTACGGTGTTTGATTATTGTATCACTAGCATTAGATTATGTAGACATATCACGGGATGTGAAAATTAGATGAGAAAAGTCACGGTTTATACACAGTTGTTTTGGTCACTTGCGCGATTCAGGAGTCGTAAATAGTCATGTAAAGAATCATTATTGTTTGCTTCAAACAGGTAGGTATCAGTAGCATTAGAATATAGAACACAGCCACCTAGCCGCGAACACTCGACGAGAACCCGTCCTCCAGCACGTTTGTCCCACGAGATCCGGTGGTATGTTGATATGTACGATGAAATGCAAGCCAAGACTGCTGATCGTTGGGGTTCGACTGGCAACCGGCAAGCGAGGAATTGATGAGGGACGTAGCCGATGTATGACTGGAATACGGGGTCACTGTCGGTCACCCGAAGTGTCGCAGGAGGCACTTTGACGTAACACCGCGTCTACCTGAGGCCAATAGTCCAAAGACGCTCATGACTATGCCTCAGGTCACCCTCCATTCTCCCCTAACCTCGGTCTTCTCCGAACATTCGGTTTAGACGGCGGAGGCCTTGTTGGCCTTGCGGGCAGCGGCCTTCTTGTAAAGGAAGAGGCTGAGAAGACCAATGGCGACTGTTGACGATGTTAGCATGCGTCGCAAAGTGACTCCAGGGCTTAAATTGACATACCAACACCAACGATGCAGAAGACAACGATAACACCAGCCTCCTTAGAAGCCCAGTTCTGGCGCTTGACGAGCTGGTGGGCGACCGAGTCGCGGGTCATGAGAGACTTGATGGCGGCCATTGTGTTGGGAGCGGAGAGGTTACTAAATGATATGTTAGAACAAAGATTGAACAATTTTCGCTTTGCGACATGAAAAATCGAGGTTATGAGAAGTTCTCATTCGCGTCCATTGAGCGCTGATGTCGCAACAATATCACAACCATGGCCATATCGTTGCTCAATTGAGTCGAGTCGAGACGAATTGATAAAACAGATTTGTCCCAAGAAGGTCTGGTGTGGACGAGGGTCTGCCGAGCGCTGGTACCGGCAGTTGTACCAGGATTGTGACAACATGCGTGACCAGAGCTGAACTGAGAGACGACGGTCATGGGTGAAGAATTGTTGTGATCATCGCGACAAACAATGGACGTCGAGGCGGATGAGACGAGTGACGAGAGCAGCATAACAGCAAGGGAACGGCTTACCTTTGCGAGCTTTGAAGGGTGATGGAGAAGCAGCAAGTAAGAATGGTCGCGAAGGCGGGCTTTGCTATGGTTTTGTTGATCAGCTATCGACACCAAGAATCACCCAAGAGTTGCGAAAAGTGGAGAAAACATCGTCACGACCCGATGACAAACAGTCTTGAACCAAACGAGGCCTAGAATTCCCTGGGTAAAATGGGTCCTAAGCCCGGTAACAGCAGCTAAGAAGAGACCAGGGCGAGCAAGCCGGGGTCGCTTTTAGTGGTTGCTTGGGTCTTCTGGGGGTGTGAGCATGGGTATGGGCATGGGCACGTATGAGATTGATGAGAGAGAAAGAGAGCGAGTGTGTGTCTCTCTCTTTGTGTGTGGTGTGACAGAGGCTGGATACCTAGGCGCTACCTACTAAGGTAGGTCAGGCCTATCCTGCGGTGTTTTTTTCGTGCACTGTACAGCCAAAAACATGACGCCCGAGTGCCCCGGACGATGTGGATTTCCGATTTCCAGAGTGATGATGATGTTCCAGTCCATGGACCGAGGGAGGAAAAGACTGGGCAGGCCTGGGATACAAAGTGGAACTCACAGAAACAAAACAAAAACACAGTGATTGTCACTGCTGGCAGAAATTGGCTGATTGGAATTTGACTGTTATGTACTTGTCTGAGAGGTTATAGGAAAGGAATTTGTGAGGTTATGAGAAACTGTAGAGAGGTTGATGAAAGATTGTGTGATCTTAATAAAAGCAGGTAAGACAACTGAGTAAGGGAAGCTTCGTTGATGTGAGGAGGGAGTACCTCCGTGGTAGTGCAGGCAGGTACTGTAGGTGAGGATTCAGATCAGCAACATCCTGACTGACATGGCATGCCTGGAGAACGAGGGATAATATTTCATGCACCATATCAAGATCCTACTCTTTGAGTTGCAAAGATAGTAAACGACTGGTCTCACAATAATCGCTCACCGAAAATGAATACGCATTTCAGGATGGATGGATGCAACAGACATCGCGATACTTGAAGCCCAAGGTAACTCCAATGTTACCAAATTACCAAGACTCAAGACCCATACCATTCGATTCTGTTTACATGCTTGGTCAATTCCGCGCTCCACGAACGGGCCGCTTGTACATGAGCACTAGTCCCAGTGTAAGGAACGAGCGGAGATACACGAAAGATACCTACGAATACAATCGCCCGGACGGTATTGTGCCGTGGGAAAATGGTACGAAAAAAAGAGCTCTTGCCTGGGTCTGCTTGATCAATGCGTTCAGTAACTCGGAACACGGCAACTGAAGAACGGTACGGTGAGATTATCCAAGTGGAGGGCGTTGAAGCTCTATGCCACTTCCATCAGTGGTTCCACTACCCGCAAGGGATACCAACAACAGCAAAATGCGTACAACAGCAAAGCTCATGATACAGAGAATTACAGTGTGATGATATATCCATACGGTACATGCGGCTTCACTTCTCAGCACACAGCAGAGGCTCGCCCTCGCGACTGACAAGATGAGCTGCGCGAATTTCCCTCCCTCTTGGTTAACAGCTCCGTACCATTATTGGGTCCGGCTATGACGGAGTTGATATAACGGATACCCTCTCGTTGGTAGGATGACGGACATAAATCAAAACTCACGAGAGAGATTGCCCAAAGGCTCCGAAATGAAGACATCTCCATCGTCGTACAGTTCTGTTCCTGAACAGTTGGTCCCCAATTCTCCCCTCTCTCTTACGTTCGTTGTTTCTATCGTGAGTTTATTCTCATCTTTTTAAAATACGGTACATTCGTAATGGGAGATGAGTCTCTGGATCAACCTGACCTGGATCAACATTGGTGCCTCGGCAGCCCTTGAAACGCCAATCAGATAGCTGCCGCAAAAGCTTAGGTGCAGGTGCATGGCCGTTGCTTACTTATATCAGAATGTCCATTGACTTCAAGTTATCATCAAGCTCGATCAAAGACAACACCTTACCCATTGACTTGAAGTATGAGACAACATCAAATCTGATGAATGGGTAGCAGCCTCAGGGAAGCCGCCTATTTCGCATCATTGCTTACTATACATGCGACTCTCGTCAAACTCTTATTCCCATTCGCTGGTAGGTTCCATCCGAAAGGAAAATCCTCAACAGCTTGGCTCCACATGTTTTCCCCGATCTCCACAGTTGCGCATGGCACTGTGCAGGCTTGACGTGACATTTACAAGGATTGAGCAGAATCAAGCCTTATCGACCCAGTTCAATGCCGGGAAGAAGCCTGCATCCTTTGTTCCCGATGCTTTTGTAGGTTGTCGCCGACTGTCTACCTCAATATTTACAACACGACAGGAATGGTTGTCGGAGAAGTCCTCAGAAGAGGAATATTATGAAAGAGTTTGTCTTGATACACACTATATTGTCCCTAAGTGCAAAACGGCCATCAACTACTAACCCATAACACGACACGAATCTGATTATCATGAGAACGCTTGTGAGGCCTGGACTGGGGGCCATAAAAGAAGAAAAACTTCCCAGCTTGGGTACGTGGAGTGAAGCGTCGATATCTCATCGCTGGATATTGAAGGCGTCTGTATGCATCAATTCATATACAGAGCTTTATGCCCTCCTTTATGAATACAACTCTCTACTATTGTCCGTATTTCATACTTTGATGCCCTCTATCTCACAGACAGGTACAAGGTGTGAGCTGTGTCCTGCTGAACAATAGTTTGACTCAGAAGCTCACACTCCGGGCCGTTCCCGCTGAAAACCTCGCCTGGAAGTACCGGAAGACGAGGGATAAAACAGCCATACGGTTTACAAGGTTTCTCGCTTTACCTGGTTGCCGACTTGTCGCCGGGACACCTCGCTATCGCCGGGGGTTAAGCTACCGGCACGACAACCGTTTACTACTATGAGGTCATCGACGATTACTGTCCAAGCTCTAGCAAGGCTCTAAGAAAAGCCTCGTCAAAAAGAACGGCGCTTGTGATTAAGTACAGTCTTGCCTAGCAACAGGGACTTAAAGTTTATGTCTCGAACCGAAAACCCCAATGGATTTTACCAACCTCCCGCGCTATTGTTAAAAACGGCAACAACATGTGACCTTGCATGCAGTTAGATCTATGCTTGGCAAGCTTGGCTACCGGCTGCTGGAGAAGGATATACATTATGCCATGATTTTCCCAACAGCACAATAATGAGGCTTGCAGATTAGCAAGAAACTGAAGAGTCGGCAATTGAATTGTGGTTGTAGAAATAAATAACCTGAAAGCGGTTGACATAACTGACTTGCTTATTTCATCTCTCATGTTCACAATAGCCAGGTTTTCTCATCGCGAAGGCAAGATCTACAGTCACCGAGACCCGATAATGCCAAGTTACCTGTGAAAGCACAGAATATGGGGTAGATAGTTGGTCGCACAAGCCATCGCCAATGGACCTCAGTACAGAGTACGCTTCATTAATTGAAGGACGGCTCCGCGATTAAGGATACCCGGGGTAGGCTACTAGGCTATCTTTTGGAGGCGGTTTGCTCTCTTGCTGAAGGATCGACAACATCCTCTGGTGTTGAAACATACAGTGGTACGTACATACACAAGGCCCAGTGAACCATGCCGTGGTGGTTCTTCTCATTTGGGTGAATCGAGAGTGCTGAGCTCAACTTTGGCCTGTATGAGCGTCGAGTGCACTATGTTTGGAGCTGGAGAATAATTCATTATGTTGTCTAGAGCCTCAAGAATGTGTTTAGTGCCGGGTAAGGATCTGGCACAGATTGGCCCGTTTGGAACCAACAACTCGTGTCGGAAGCACTCTCAAGGTGATGAATATATACACAAACTTCAATAATGTCTTTCACATACGACCATACCTATCAGAGAACTCGGGATCCCGTCCGCTCTCCCATAGATAAGCTGGTAAGGGGCGGATTAGTAGTTGGGTCGGTGACGACCAGCGAATCCCCGCTGTTGTATGTTTTTTCAGTTCATCTTCTGCTTTTTCAAGCAGACTGTAACCTAGACACTGCACTTCTCTCTTTCTTTTTTTTGCTGACATTGCCATGATCAATTCTCTAACACACCGTGATGCCAGTCTACAGCCACGGTTTGTCCATGCCCCGCGATCGGACCCCAAGCGCATACACGGGTGGTTCCTCTTCAAGACCGTTAACGTCCCGAAACTCTGATATTGCGTTTTCTCGGCTCCAGTTAGCAGTAGCAGTATTATATGTGATCTCTTCGAATACTCAAGGTTCAAATAAATGAGTGAGAAAAAGAAGTGAAGGATTCATTCAACTGCTACAATGGGTCTTAGTTATTGGTCCGACTGCGGATAACAAAAGCTACTAGGTACGACTGTAACGTGAGACGAAGCAGCTGACTACAATGCACCCAAGAGGTTCAACTCGTTTAATACTTTGCTTTATTACTTTGTGTAAGAATTTTTAAACTATTGATGATAGAAACACGACCAAACTGGGTAACTGCAGAAATGATGTTAACGACATAATCTTATCACTTACTGCGGCCTTTTCCCCTCGTCTATCTCAACTCCCCACCTGGGCTTCGTCTATCACTTTCTCTTCTCATCAAAGGGCCAGTTGCGCCTTCTCAAACACCATAATCACTGAACATCTATCTTCCACCGCCTTCCTTTGATTGCTACCAACTTTCAGTATCTCTGTGAATTCCCGTCGGCTGTTTGCATAAACCGAGGCTTTGCGCTACTACCGACTCGCCTGGTCTTTGAAGCAGTGAGGCCTGCCAGGTTTCACATCAGTTGCACAAGCCATGGCACCCTCATGGTTGAACGATGTCCGTCGCATCAACCGAAATAACCTCGCGACTTTGCGTGCAACACCATGGGCTGAACTTTCCGGGTCACTAGGTGATCTGGGAACTTTGCTGCCGCTCATGATTGCCCTCACGGCACAAGGGTCTATCGATCTCGGGAGCACACTTGTCTTTACAGGTGTGTTCAACATTCTCACTGGGGCATTCTACGGGATTCCTCTGCCAGTTCAGCCGATGAAGGTTTGTGAGGTCTCATGCTATCATCAATATTCAGTAGAACTAACTCAGACACTCAATGCAGGCTATTGCATCGGCAGCTATCCAGAATCACTCTTCTATGGGCGTCGTTACAGCTGCTGGCCAATGGGTTGCTGCTACTGTACTCATCATGAGTGTCACAGGTCTCTTGCGATGGGTCGTTCGAATTGTGCCTCTTCCAGTAGTAAAGGGCATTCAGCTTGGAGCTGGTCTATCGTTAATTCTCGGGGCAGGCTCATCGCTGCTTCAGCCTCTGCACTGGGCTCACCCGGCTCTTGATAATCGTATATGGGCCTTAGTAGCTTTCCTTGTCCTCGTTGGCACACAGAAGCTACCTCGCTTTCCATACGCATTGCATTTTTTTATTCTCGCTCTGATCCTGGCCTTTGTCAACGTTACCGCTTCCCACGAAAGTCTTCCGTGGTTCTATGCTTGGCGTCCTCGCTTCAACATGCCGCATTGGATTGGGAATGGAGACTCGCCTGCTCTGTGGATGGCCATTGGACAGTTACCTTTGACAACACTCAACTCTATTATCGCTGTCACTGCGCTATCCCATGATTTACTGCCTGAGCTTCCCACTCCTTCAGTAACCTCTATCGGGATCAGTGTCGCCATGATGAACCTAACTAGCACCTGGTTTGGGGGCATGCCCGTGTGCCACGGCGCTGGAGGATTGGCTGCTCAGTATCGCTTCGGGGCACGTAGTGGCTCCAGCATCATCATGCTGGGCATGTTTAAGCTAGTTTTGGGACTTTTCTTTGGTGAGACCCTCGTGGACCTCCTGAAGGACTACCCAAAGAGTCTCCTTGGTATCATGGTTATAGCAGCTGGTCTTGAACTTGCAAAGGTGGGAAACAGTCTCAACGAAGGTGCTTCTGACTTGTGGGATACAGCTTCTGGGCAGGGGCCTCGTCGCCAACGCGATCTTTCCGAGGACGAGCGTTTGGAGAGGTGGACAGTTATGCTCATGACAACTGCTGGTATTCTTGCCTTCAGAAACGATGCCGTAGGATTCTTTGCGGGTATGCTTTGTCATGGAGCGTATCGCCTCTCGGAACAATTGACAGAGAGGTACTCATATCGCACTTCTCTAGTCGAGCGTGAGGCCCTGCTTCGTTAGGTATTCACCGTCCTATCGGTGTGCATTGAGTTAATAGAATTTGTCTTATTCGCGACGCTTTGTCTTTGATTGCACTGCTTTCATCCGCAATGTTGGTTTTGGTGTTTGTTCTGTTGTACCTACAAGACATTACATCTGGTGGGCCTAGTATCATGAGATAGCTATCTAAAGAGAAGCACGAAGTCTGCAGTGATACCCAACACACTAATAGAGCTCATATGATCAGATATAGGGCTGCATCATACCCCATCGAGACTCCTGGGTTTTGTCTGTTCTTCACCGAAGTTGTGACTCACTTAGAAAGACAGGCAGAGTATTTAGCGGGGCTGGGGTTGGACTCGTTTTTGCTCTTGTAATATCCATATTTTGAGTGATTTTGCAAATATTGTAAAATGTTTGGGGGCATATTTGGATCCCAACATCGGGTTAATTTAATAATGTTTACAGTGGAGGATGATACCTTTGATTGCAATGCTCCATCCATGTTTGAGGCTCTGTAATGTGCTGCTCAGCGGGTTTGGTTCCTGAACGATAAGAAAAATAAACAAATGGCTGACAACGCGTGGGGAAAGCGCGACTTGGAGCTTATACCTTTCTTGTACCACCTCTGAGAGTTTGTACCACAGATTATCTCTTTGATTGTAAACCTTAGTAGCTGGCTACCTATTATTTCCAACTTGATTATTCTCTTCTCTAACACTCAACTTTTGTTACCGGGTAAGCGATCCCATTAAGCAAGATCAACAACCACTGTCTATCCGTTGCGGTTGATCGATCCTTTCCTATTACCTAAAGAGTACTAGCGGCGCGAACCATCGCCGGCCAATTTAGTATGAAGTGAGAGGAGACTCGGAGCAGTTGACCAATCAAGGCGCGCAGCCTTCCCCTCTGACCCTCTCAGACATCGCGGCTTTGAGGACCCAGGCGAAAGCCTCGTCCGTCTTGAACCTTTTATTTTCCCCGTCTTTACTGCCAACGGCCATTCCTTCAGATATACACCCGGCCCCCGGCGCGCCCTCCGCCGAGACCCCTCGTCGTTTGTGCCAACCCCTCGTGAGGTGAGGGTGAGTGACGAAGGAGCTGGTCGCACGAACAGCGATGACTTCGTCCATTGCTGGCCGCAATGGCCTGCCCGATAGCCTGGGAACCGACCGGGACCATCAGGTCGTCGCAAACAGAAAACCGACAGCCACAACCACAGCAAAGGCAGCAGCATCTCCTCCAGCTGCGATGCCATCGACTGCGACTGCGACGGCGACACAAACACCAAACGCGATACCAAATTCGCCGGTAGACAACGACGATAAGCGCGACCAAAAAGTTACTGACCCTACTCCGGCCTCAGTCTCGGCCCCGGTCCCAACATCTTTTTTATCAGTTCCAGAGTCAAATTCAGTCTCAAACCCAAATGCTGCTGATGCTCCTCCTCTATCGGCTGCGGCTGCATCTGCTGATTCGTCAGTACAAACATCAACATCACCTCCTGCACCTGCCTCAGCAAGTACAGCCACAGCTACTGCTGCTGTCGCTGTCAATTCAGCGCCAGAAACAGCAGCAGCGACAGCAGCTACTTCAACAATGCCATCTAACTCGTCGCAGGCGGCAACTTCGACCGCAACATTGCCAGAGTCTTCAGACCCTCGTGCAGATTTAGCTTCTGCAGTTTCTCCAACGACAGCTTCAGCCTCTCAGCCTCAGCCATCAACTCCGCCGCCGTCTCGTACCGTCCTGAGCGGTCCTTCATCCGAAGCTGATATTAAGACGTCAGTAGAGCATCAGCAATCTGAAGCGCCTTCGAATAATGAGGCTTCAACTTCGGTGAAAGATGAACCTAGTGACCATACGATGCCTGATGCTCCTGCTACAAGCGACGCGGTTGTACCGGCGAGCGCTGATCAGGCTCAACAATCCACCCCTTTGCAATTGCAGATGCCAGCTGATAATATGGGGGAGTCATTTGCGCCTTCTACTCCATATACTTCGACCACAATGCCTACCATAAACCAGCATGCCTACATGATGATGGCTTTGGCGACAATGTCGGGAGCTCCCTCAGTCATGTCACCCCCTCCAACGGTCACACCAGCCCAGGTTACTTTGCCCAACACTCTAGATGATTCATTTCAAACCCTTGCACAACCTAACTCAGCACGCCAATCAGAAACCCACAAGGCCCTCGAATCTTTCGCACGTGTAGAATTTGCCGACAGTCTTTTCCAGATGACGACCTACGCTATTGTTATTGGACGTGATCAGCGCGCACTGGAACAAGCCCGCCGTGACGAGAAGCGCCTTGAAGAATACCGCCGCCGTGCTGAGGAAAATGCCCATCTGGGAATTCCACCACCCTCGCCCATTCAGCCCGATCGGAACAAGTTTAGCAAGTCCTATGTCAGTGAAGAGGGAGGAATGTTGGGTCCTGAATCAGATACTGGAGAGAACCCGCGACCAACAAAGCGGCGCAAGACCAGTACACAAGGGTCTTCGCAACACGATCACGATGAAGCAGTAGCACAAGCGCAGGAGAACATGATTTCTAACCGACAATATGTTTCCCACACGCCGGGTGCTGCCGCGGTAGATTTGACCTCCTTGCGCCCATCACCATACCATGTTCCTTTCATCGGTATCCATTCGCCAGGTCCCAATATTGCATCCAAAACCAAGGCAATTTCCAGAGAGCACCTAAAGATTGCATACAATCAAGAGCTGGGTGTATTTGAAGCCATTCCCCTGCATAAAAACGGTTTCTTTTGCGAAGATGTGCACTACAAAAGCGACAAGGTTGTGTTGCGAAGTGGTGATCGATTGCAAATTAAAGATATCGACTTTCGATTTCATATAAATGGCGTCGAGCGGGGACGAACGGGAGCTGAGGAATACGTGGAAGAAGAACCTGCGGTAGCTCTCAAGAAAAGGCATGCACAGGGCGGAAAGGAGATGAGTTTCGATTTCGAATCCGCACATGGCAATGCAGAGATACAAGACACGAGTGATGAGTTATCCGACGTGGCAAGTCCACCCGAATCGCCTGATTTTAGCGATGATGAGGATGCTAGAATGGAGGAGCCAGCGGCCGTTAAAACGGTGGAAGCGGAAGCAGAGACAGTGACTGAGGCGGAGGCAGAAGCAGAGGCGGAAGCAGATGCTGATGGTGATGGTGATGGTGATGGTGATGGTGATGGTGATGGTGATGGTGATGGTGATGGTGATGGTGATGGTGATGGTGATGCTGATGCAGAAGCTGAAGCCGACGTGGATATGGACATGGACATGGACATGGATATGGACGGGGACGGGGACATGGACATGTCAATGATAGGTGGGGAGCCAGGATATAAGCAGGAGGGTATGCTTGATCCGAACCAGGAACATCTAATGCTCCAGATGCCTAGAAAACGAGGGCCTGGTAGGCCACCAAAGAACGGCATCATGTCGAAACGAGAGCAGCGGTTGCTCAAGAAACATCAACAAGAGATTGCCAAAAAGACTCTGCCACAGGCACCTCCAGTGGAGCCCCCTATCAAACGCAAGGTGGGACGACCCAGGAAACATCCTCTACCTGAAGGATCCTCAGAGCGACCGGAGAAACGCAAGTACAAACCTCGCAAGCCTAGAGAAGATGGTGCTGAAGGCTCAGATGCAGAGAGGCGCGCGAAAGAAAAGAAGGAGAAGAAAGCCCGGCCGAAATCTCCTCCCCTGGAACTCAATATGTCAGACTATACCGAAGAACAGCTCCAGAAGCCAAACAAAAATTACGGCGTGCTCATCGATGAGACACTCACAGCAGCTGGGCCCGACGGGCTTACCCTCAAGCAGATTTACAAACGAATTTGCCTGAGATACCCTTGGTTTCACTTTCATACGGAGACCAAAGGCTGGGAAAGTAGTGTACGCCATAACCTTATTGGTAATGACGCATTCAGAAAAGATGACACGACTAACCTTTGGTCTCGTGTTCCGGGCGTCGAACTCGACGCTGGTAAGAAGAGGAAGGCCTCGTCTCCAGACCGTGCGGCAGCTCAAGCTTATGGTCAATACCCATACGCCTACAATGCCCAGCATTTGGCAGCTGGTACGCCCGGTTATATCGTTGGACAGGCGCCTCCTGGCTATCAAATGCCAGCATACACAGCACAACAAAGCCAGCCAGGGCGGCCAGTGCAGCAGTATGGAGCGTCTGCATCACCACCGGCACCGGCACCAGGCCAGCCAACCGCTACAACTGCTGCATCGCAGCCGCCGGCGCCAGCACAACTACCTCAAGGTTATGGACCACCGCCAGCCCCTGCTCACCCGCAACTCGGAGTGCCCCAACAAGGTACTTACAGCTCGCCATATGCGCCACGACCACCGCCTCCAGCAAATCCTGCGGTCAAGAGTGAAGAAGGACATGCCAATACCGTCACGTCTGCTAGTGCAAGCGTTGCCCAGCAGCAGCAACAGCAGCATCATCTTCCTCCGCCACCCCCGCCAACGGTGGGCGCCAAAACCGTCCCTGGAACTGGACCCGCGTCGGTACAGCAGCAATCTGCCACCCCTGTAAACAGAACTCCTTCAGTGCCTGCAGCTCCCGCTCCAGCGCGACCCGCTATCGAGCCCAAGCTACTCACTGCAGTTGTCAACCTCAAGAATGGCCTGATTGAAAACCTCAAGAAAGCCAAGAATCCCAAAGCCGCAGGAATCGTCATGTCAGCACTGAATCGCTGTATTGGCCTCAAGAAGGAGGCAACAGAGAACGACAAGATGGAGGCGATCTGTATGAAGGGCATTCGTCAAGTTATTGACGGTTACAAGTCGAAGAGTCCCACGCCTGGTCCAGCTTCTTCTGCTGCTTCACCGTCGGCTACCGAGATACCCCTCTTTCTTGATTCCAAAGTCCTCGCATCACTCAATGGCTTCAAGGATGTTTCAGTCAAAGCTCTCAGCCCCAAGCTCGGCGAAGCCAAAGCGGAAGCTGTTACATTATCTGCTATTGACCGGGTACTGGGCATAGCTGATGCTAGCATTGTTCCACCGCCGGGAGAAGGTGAAGCTGTCGGAAACTTTGAAGGCATTGAGCAGCATCTCATGAAGTCTATACGGCAACTCTTGACGGGGATGAATCAAAAGGTGTAGGAGGGGGGCTGATTTTACGTCGATTTTGCATCCTCGGTTGCACTAGCTTACCAGGTTGCTCTATCCGTCTTTTGGTCGAAGTGATGGTCCATTTCAGCGGCAAGGTTAAAAAGTCAGGGGACGATTAGATTAAGGGTACAATGCTTTACAAGGCGTTCTGGAGGGTCTAACGACGGATACGACCTAGGGGGCGCTGGGTATGCTGTTATTATCAGAGTTGCCATTCCGAGGTATAATCATTATCTCAGGGGGCCTTTTTTTCATCTATCATGATAGGGGGTTACATATCAAGTCAAAGCTTGATCAAAAGGGATATGGAGTTTCTCGTCGGGGTCATGATCCCCTTTTCTACTTCAACTTGTCTCATATACCTCTAGAGCAAGCGATCGTCTTATCCAATTCAATATTTGTCATAAAAAATTCTTTGCATTCGTTCCGTATAACTTTGACCGTTCTATCTAATGAGTCTGGCCTCACTCACTCAGTGCATCGTCTGCTAATGTATTCTCTGCTCGACAGGAAGTACTTGAAAACAGCCAGCTGGAACGTTTAGAAATGGTCTGTGTCAACAAGGCAACAAAGCCTTCTTGATATTATCACCATAAGAAAGAAGATTTGAGCCGCCAATATGTACCCCTTCATGAAGAAATTGCCGTTCCCCCATCTCAGCAAGTCACTCAACCTTCAAGGTTGGGAAAAGACCCAACAACAAAAGCTGACCTCATCATCATTGTCTCTTTTAACATGACATTCTTGTTCGTCTCTTTCGAAGGTTGCCTCTGATGCATCATCTCCGCAGCAACTGATATCTTATCCTCCACCTCCTACCTTTTAATCCACGTCCCGCCTGTTTCATCAACATATCTTCAAGATTTCTGGTTTTTTCCTGCGCCCTAGGTATCAAAATAAAAAGGATTAAGCTTCTATTGGAGAAGAAGGTAAAAAGATAAGAAAGGAAATCAACGTCAGGGAATGACCAGAAACGCCCCAGACCAGTTGGAATAGCGAAGGGATTGTGAAGTTGCGAATACGTTCTATCAAGACGCGTGTGGAGCCCCTTGCTCAGAGTCGAGACTTGACTTGGCTTCTTCGGCCTTTTGGCCGGCCAGCTTGTCGACGCCAGAAACGCCACTATCTGCTTCATCGTACGAGATCCCCAATCCATTGGCTTCCTTTCGGCCTGCGCCTGTCTCCTCTTCGGCCCCCTCTTCGAGGTTCATCAGAGCTGGTGGACGAGAACGCATCTGTTTGGCCTTGGTGAGGGATATCGTCTTTTGCTGATAGGTTGTGGTAATGGGCTTGGAATCGTCTCGATCAATAGTCGCTTTCATGAGAGCAGCCATCCACAATCGTCCTTGCTTCAAATTCGGAACAGCAAAGTAATGGACAGTTGGCTTTGTAAAGTTCACAGCTCTCGACAGACCGGCCCGGGGAGGAACCAGCTTGAAAATGAATATCGAGTCGTCTCCTTTTTCAAGATCCTCGGTGTCAGCTTGGCTCCCAGGCATTGATTGACCTCCTAGACTCGTGATTGTGGCATGAAGACCTGTGAGCTTTTCATTGTCTGCAGGCAGGACTCGGTGGAATGAAATATCAATAAGTCCCTTTTCTTGTTCATCATCTTCTGAATAGTAGTATGCCAATCTTCGACCCTTAAGAACAAAGAAACGGGGCTTCCATGTTGTCATTAGATTGGAACTCTTTTTCCTCATCCAGCCACTGTAGTCGGCATCTTTGCTTGCCTCCTTGGGTGAGATCTTGAGTAATCCTCGGGTGTAGGCGCTCGTTTCCTTTTTGCCCTTCTTCCCGGCTTTCTTGCTAACTTGATTCACAGGAGTACCGGGACTCTTGGCGGTATCAGGAGATTCAAGATCAAAACTAGCTCCTCCCGATGGTGTCGTCGAACCGGTCCGCGCAGGTGAGTCCACTAAGAAGTCCTTGTTTGACGAATCGGTCGGAGTCGACGCTTTGGACCTGTCAAAGCTCAAGTTATCAGATATGGCTCGCATACCCTTGCTTCCAGCCAGTGCGATCGGTTTGTTCACCATTGACGACAGCCAATCCGAATTAAAACCTTGGTGCCGAGTGGAGACAGGTGATGCTGTCGAACGGCCTGATCCGACTGTGGTGTCTAGTTTAGTGACAGTGGGTGACGGAACGTCGTTGTTAGATACCGGTACGTTCATCGTTGACTCTGAAGCAGCTGACGCAGTTCTCCTGTGAGCGCCAGACTGAATACCGTAGTACTTCTGAGCTGCTGAGGAAATACCTCCCTCTGCCATCGACCCCACGCTTCCAAATCTTGACTGTCGTGCCATGGCTGTAGCGCTTCGTACCCTTTGCTCATCTGCATAACTGGATTTTCTCGACTCGGCATTGCTGTCACGCTTTCGCAATAGATTCCGCTTTCTTCCGTCGACTTCTGTTCCGGAAAAATAGCCTCGATCAGCGTCAACATTAGAATCTTGGGCGTCGGCCCCGGGCGGGCTAAGTAGGTCATGAAGGCCGGTCGAAGAAAGGGGTCGTTGCGGGGGTTGCGAATAAGCGCTGCCAAGGGTCCAGTTTCGGTCAAATGAGGGCTGCTTCTTATGAACACCCTCGGTTACAGGGAGGGTACCCGGTGTTGAGATTTTGGGAACAGGGGCAGGTCCAGGTGCTACTGCTAGGCCAGCTTGGCGAAAATCTGTCGATGAAGAATGTCGGCGTGAATGGTTTAATTCCCTGATCGATGCCGCAGATGGCCTCTTGATATGACTGGCGCGATTAGAACTGTCTTGTGTATGAGATCCTGCGAACGTTGGAGATGGTTTAGGAGTGTTCTGCGATAGAGACATCCGTCTCGTTTGAATAGAAGTAGGCCGGTTTGTTAGAGTGTTTGCTCGACTTCTCGGCCTCCGGATGTCATCTGAGCTATCATTTCCGTATGTCTGCGTCGTCCGGCGTGTCTCCAATCCCTGATTGTTAACTTCATCCTGAAGGGCCTTGATCTTGTGCCAAGTCTTCAGTCGCCGGCCAACTGAGCCAAGGTCGAAGGCTTTGATAAACAGCGAGCTTTGATCCATACCAAGAATAACCTCGCCGGATATTTCTTGGTCTCGGAAGACTTCGCAGTGGTGCTTTTCAACTCCTGAAGTGAAGAGGTATTCGGCAACATCATCAGGTGACCACGCCTCGACTTCTTCTCGTGTATGGAACTCCCCTTCTTCTTCGTCTGTCTCTTCGCCTTGAATGTACGACGCTCGTTGGCCAGGGTGGATGCTGCTATACTCGCTACCGGAATCGTTCGCTGCCGCTCGAAGCCCGCCATTGCTGGCTGGAGATCTCAAATCGGTTATGTGCTCATCAATGACAGTAAGTGTTTCGTGCAAGACGTGACTGTCTTGGTTCTGGGTAGTCAGTTGGCTCAATCCGGGCAGGACGGGAGGGTCGCTGGCTACCAAAGCGGGCTCGGATTTGACACTGTTGAGAGGGAGTGTCACAGGGCTTCGGGTCTGGGGCTGCGGCGCAGGTTCTTCTTTTGCGTCGGGGGTCGAATCATGAGTTTGTTCTTGATGAGGGGCCTGGGTTTTGGAGCTGCTGAAAGTGCTCGTAGGGGCATTTCTGGGGGCCAGTCTGGTGTAAACTGCAAAAAGTCAATTGTGATTCAAGAAACGGAGCATATAAAATGGGTGAGCAGACCTTCAGGAAAGAGTCCATTGTTATTGTTGACCAGATGGCGACCGAGAAACCATCCGTCGCCAAACTCGTCATCTCGTTCTATTAGTTCAACTCGATCTCCCTTTGCAAGGCTGAGTTCGTCGGAGCTTCGGGCCTGAAAATCATCTGCAACGAGCAAGAGAGCATGAGGGTCAGCTAATGCTATAGACAAAGAGCAATAAAGCCAGGAGACTCACGTATTACGACCAAGGTGTCGCCAACGTCAGGCCTCGGTGCCCCTTCGCTAGGGCCTCGTGAGGCCATGATGTGATGAAACGATGCGCTGGAGATGACTTGAGGCGATTGCGTTGATAGTTGACGGTTGGGATTCGTAGAGGGAGGAATGGAGCGGCAGTTTAAGGGCAGTCGTAAAGTCTGCGGAACCTGACGGTGGCGCGGGACCGAGCGGGTAGTGAAGAATGGAATCGGTCGACTCAAGAGAGGCCAGAATGTTTCTGTTGTTCTGGTTCAGATCCAGCTGCCGTCGACCGAACCAATACTCCGTAGCCGTGTTGCCAGAGCTGGGCTCGGTTGGTTCAACTCTCTGCAGCGAGAGGGCTGGAAATGATGTATAAGTTGGGTACAAAGCTGCTGCAGTGCAGTCTGAGCTTGAGGAAAGACCCGTGGCAGTGGTGGTGCGCTAAGGTACGAATGTTTTGCTGGGGTGGAGCGGCGGTTGCGGTTGGGGAGGCGGGAGAAGTGCGTGGTTCCTGGACAGCACAGAGCGAAATGCCTAGCGCGGAAGACGGCGATTGGTGATTGGTAAGACCCGGGCCATTTATGGCTTTAATCGACGGCCGTACCAGGCTTAATTAATTCGAAGCAGGTCCGACGGCAGTGCTGTCTTTTGTCTTTGGTAGTGTGAAGCACGTCTTGTAGTTGCAGGTAGGGCTTGTTGATGAGCCTCCAGAAGAAGTGGTGCATTCCAGGTTGACCCCCTCCAGTCCAGGGATGTCTGGGATTGGATAGCCGAACAGTCAAATCTTTGATGCTATTTTAGGATGTTATGCCAGCGCAGTGGGCTTAATGGAGTGGGCTTAATGGAGTGAGAAATTCGATGTGATACGAGGTATACATATGGACACCTACTATGATACTATAACTGGGACGCAGCACCTAATGCCTTTATACCTACGGAAAATTATTGTCGGGACCGACGTCACCAGGCTCATTTAATAGGATCAATCACAGGTTGAACAAGAAGCGGTGGTAGTGATGTAGGAAGCCTATGGTAATGCAAGGCAAAGGCCAAGGCTAACTAGATGATGTCGTACAAGAAAGGCAATCCTTGCTCAATCAGTGTTGAGTTTGACAATGCTGGTTTAAAGGCGTTGAGAGATGTTCGAGTACTACTACAAGACAGGTGGGATACGAGATGCCGGACATTCATGGGTGTTTATCGATATGGATACTATCATATATGGTAAACCATTGGTTATCCGAATAAACTCTCAAATTTTAGTCGCTTGTACTACAGTCGCACAACGACCACCCAAAGTGATTCAGTAATAATACCTAACCTATTAACTTGGTACACAGAGTAAACAATTACATACTAAGTCAGTTTTAAGGCTGCGATCCTATCTTACCCTTGCTCGCAATTACAGGCTTTTGGCAATATTTGGCCGGACCGACTCTTATTAGCGCATGCAGCCTACCTTAGTGCCTTCTTGTATCAGAAAAGTATGCTCGATTGAATTATATGTGCGAGTTGCTCACATACAATATTCAAGTACTATACGCATCATATAGGTTATATATAGTATATCTAGTAGTCATGGCATATGAGCTCTTTGTCTGGTTTATCAAAGCATTTGGCCATGGTCGCTCTACTTTGTGAAACTGGGTGTGTGTTAATGTGTATGTTCCCTTCTTCCTCTGCACTTTATATCTGATCTACTAGGGCAACATACATGTTGTGAAGTGGGTAAACGAAGTGCGTAACTAACCTGGACCAGTCAACTGAGACATCCAAAAGCACACAGCAATAGCTAGACTAAAGATCAGATATCCAATATCCATCCCAGCCACCAATTTGGGTAGTTAGGTAGGTACCTTGCAAGTCATCGGCTGACTGCAGAGCAAACAGGCAGGCAGGCAAGCCAGAGTTTGCTTCTTCCTCTTCTTTGTTTGCTTCTTTGTCTCTTGAGCTGAGGCGCAACTGCACTTTTAGGTTTTGACTTGGTACCTGACTGGATCACTGCTCTAGAGTTTCTCCGTTCGCATCAACAAACAACGAACTTACACATCGTGTGTTGATTCATCAACTCAATCTTTTGGCTAAACTGCTTCTTTGAATTGTACAACACGGTGATTCTTGCCTCTCGTCGCCCATCTCTGACACAACCCCTTCGTTCACTCACTGATTAGTTTTCATAAACTGTGACTGATACGACGACTCGCTCCTTTGGCACTGCTTATCTGCTTCACTGAATTATGCTCAAATTTGTAGCTCTCGACTTCAGGAAGCGACGACGTTAAGAATGGTTCATAAGTAGGATACATATGATCCAAGTGGTCCTAGGTATGTATTGTGATCACCAACTCATTTACCAAAACACACGTCATCAACTTGTGAAATGCCAAAAAGCTCAAAACAAAATCAGTCAAAGACTGTGTCCCCTCCTGATTCTCTTCAGATTGCTTCATCTAACGCAACTCTCAATACCTTTCTCGGTGGTCACACTTGGTCATGGATGACCGGGGGGTCAGCCGTAGTCACCAACCCTAGGCCAGCTCCAGTAGCGTCTAGTAATTCCCGGAAGCGGAACAAAAAGAGAAAGGCGTCTGACACGGCTCCCCCGACCCATAACGACAATGACATAGAACGCGACAACGTTTCACCTGTTCAATCATCTGAACAACCACCGGGTGCCAGAGAAACCACCATGTACGTTATATCTGTCATTTCTGAGCGTCTTGTTCTTTAATACGCAATTCGCCTCGAACCAAGCAACAGAGTGTCGGCCGCGTGATCCGTAGTCTTCGGTTGCTAGCTTGAGGCAACATTGCCACTGACCTTGCGCATCGTTTACCAACGTCGCTAACTTTGCAAAACAGAGCCCCGACCGTCCTACCCTCTCCGGCCCTGACCGATGCACCGAGCCCGAATGGCTCGAATCAAGTTGACCACATCAATCCCGATTCAAGCGCTCACGTAGAGACTGTAGGGCCTGGGCGGCCAGTTTCTGATAGTAACATGAGACGAGGCGACTTCGTACACGTCGCGATCAACACCAACCAACTGAACCATGCACCCACCACCTTTGCGCAAGCCGAGAGCTCATTTCCTCGACAAGCCCATGGCGCAGAGATAACAACTCTATCTGCAGTCACCAACCCGACAACGACTGTGCAGCCCCTTCAAAGATCGAACGTGTCGTTCGGCGTCGACAACATACAGTACGGTTCAACTGAGCTATCAACATCAAGCCCGAGAGTTCATCCAAGGCCATCATCTATCGACAGCGAGCGCAGGGCCAAGCGTCCTCGTGTACAAGGAGGATCGACTTCAGAGTTAATAGCAGATCAAGAAGTATGTCAGTATTGGTCACAAGTAATTCAGAGTCGCATAGAGCAGCTCCAGAATGATAAGCTCTTCAACAACAACAATAACAACAATAACAATGTTGAAGGACCTAGGTATGCCATTTTGAGGGACGCATGTCAGAGTGAGGATTTCATCTTCATTGCTTTTCACCAGGCGCTTTGCGCTTGGACCTTGAACAAAGAGCCTATTCATGTTGTCTTCAACGGCTTGGTGGATCCTGACACCCTAGATCGTGCTTTCGAGATAATGCAAACCATTGTAAGGAGAAACGAACTCATGTCAGTTCCTCATCTTCAGTGGTTTGCCAATTTCCCCACTCCCATTTCTGATTTCTCTCGGGCGTTTCCAGGTTCAGCTGCGGCCAAAGAAATATCTGCCTTTCTCATCCGGATGGCAACACATTGGCACACGCTCTTGCGAAATGTTCAGGCTCGAAATTACCCATTGATTGCATATGAAGTGATAGGTATCCTACAATGTCGGTTCTACGGGCTACAGTCTATGCTGTTTACTATGAGTCGCAGGGTGCTTAATGTGAACGACGGGCTTACGGCAAATGCGCTGAACGAAATCTTTCGACAGGATCGGTGTGATGAAAACACCTTTGAGGCGCGTGGCGAGCACCCTGAAGTTATGAGGATTCAACGAGAAGCTGTGGTAATGAAATACAAACGAGTTATGTCATCACGGCCAAGTGTCTCTTCCAGTATGTTCAACTAACTCATTATATATCGATAATGTACTGACCGTTACGGTGGATAGATACGACAGTGTCCCCTGTTGTCGGTCAAAATCCTCCCGTGATAGAGCGAAACAGGCAACAGCCAGTAGCCCGGCCACCGCTTGCAACAAACGTTTCATCTCATGCCACAAACGTAGCGGCTCCACCTGTTCCTTTACCCAACTTCGATGCCGTGGCTGCTAGAGCTTCTATAGGTGGCCCTGCGGCGACAAACCCGATGCCTATCAACCAGGCCTTTTCGCAAGGCAGCAGAGGTCTCCAAGGCGCGCGACGACCAAACCATCTCCATATTCAGACGGAAACCCCAGCAGTTCCACCATTTACCGCTCATACTAGTCAGTCTCCTCTCGCGCAGCCTCTCACTCTACCAAGGTCGTCAAACGCTGGGTCGCCAGTGATGTTGCAACAAAACCAGGCGTTGCAATCAAATGGCCAGGTGCGAACTCCCGTTCTGCCTTCAAATAGCTTGCTGCCACAAAGACGAGCCAATTCCTTCGCTTTTCCATCTCCAGGGCCTCCCGGCGCTCAAAACACAAACACCCATAATCCGTCAGTACATCCTCATTCACCAGGATTCCAACAAGCCAGGGGTCCGGCGCAGATGACGTCTCCTCATCATACTCAGACAGTACAGTCTCCGCAGCATCCACCAGTCTATCCAGCAACGAGCCCGCCGCGCAGGGTATCTGTGTCACAAAACCTGAACTACGCGGTGCAAACAACCAACCCCCCAACCGTACCATACCAAGTTCCAGTCACAGCCAATAGCTCTCACCAAATGCTTCCAGTACAGCAAATACCTTCGGCGGAATACCCTCCGAGTCCACATGCGGATAGTTCGCTCCAAATTGGTCTTTATCAGATTGAGGTACGCAGTCCTCGCCGCGTCCCGTCACATCCAGGAACAGGTCGATTTTACCAATTTGTCAAACAGCTTGTGTACGAGCCTGTACACTTAGAGCCCGCAAGAAGCCTACGGCGTTTACCTTTCACCGTGCCAGAAGACTATATGCGACAACTCACGAGAAAAATCGAGGGGACTGGCCTTCCGTTTTGCTACTATTCTGAAGGGTCCTACCGCTGTCGACTGCGTATGTGTATGCTGCCCGAGGCGCAACCAGATCCTAAGGAACACGACTGGGTGGTAACGGCGACATCCTGGCCGAGCTACATCTTCTTTGTTTTGAATAATAAACAATTAGAACTGCGCCGCAAACAGCACTTCGGCAAGGATCAGCCGGTGGAATTGACTGATTTCTTGCTCAAGGGTGAGAACCATCTTAGGATCAGTTATCCTCCGGTCAACCAGAACAACACATCGGGTTTTAAGTATTTTATTGCCATCGAAATAGTAGAGACGATCAGCCATGATGCCGTCTGTAATATGATCAAATCAATACGGCGCTGCTCCCCAGACCAAACGATGGCGCGAATCAAGCGTCGCTTGCAACCGTCAGACTCGGACGACATCATTATCGAGGACGAGACCTTGACAATTTCCTTGGCTGACCCTTTCAGCGCGACAAGGTTTAAGGATCCTGTGAGAGGTAGCCAATGCAAACACCTCGAATGCTTTGATTTGGAAACATGGCTTCAGACCCGACCTCCGAAACCAGAACAGATCGGAGGCGGTCCGAAACAGCAAGGGGGCGAGCCCTCGATGGTGGATGTTTGGAGATGTCCGATATGCTCTCTTGATGCGCGTCCTAGCAGCCTCTGGATTGATGGGTATTTCGCAGGAGTACGTCGATCCTTAATCGGCATCGGTGATATGCGGACAAAGAGTATCAGTGTGACCGCTAATGGCAGATGGGCTCCGGTGTTGGCCGCGGACGACACAGATGATGAAAACACGCCTGCGCCACAACCCAGAAATACAGTCAACGGCAATGCTGTGAAGCAGCCAAGACCATCCGTTACAACAGCACCGACTGTTATTGAGATCCTGGATGATGATGATGACGACTAAACCTTTTTTTGGCGTAGGCCTTGATTGTTGTTGTTCTGTCGAGAGACAAAGTTTTCTAGTATTTTATGGTTACGCAAGGCGTTTTGGAGACGGAGTGCTACTCGAGCTTCGCAAGAATGCGTTTTACAATTAGATACCACTTATATGACACAAGATCCGGCGTTTTGGGGCAGGTAACTTGGACGGCATGCTTCATAGAACACGTGAGATTTTCTATTCCGTGTTCCAAGATAAAAGGAAAAAGAAGAGGGTATGGGGGATCGTGGATGTTTATAAACCACCTAAACTATAGTACAGACATGTACATGTCTAATGTGTTGGCTCTACCAACACATCAATGATGAACTGTTCTAATTTTTATCCTGACAGCCATATTAAATGATATCTATGTTTATCATACCTATTTTGAGAAGTTAAATTACGGGAATGCAGTGTACATGAATGTAACAAGATCCATCCAAAAGGGCTTCGAGGGTTAATGTTAGGGTAAATTAGTAGTATCAACCAGACGCGTCAGACATGTTGGGTTACTTACTCCGATATCACATCCAACAAGCAATAACACGTGTACTCATTTGAACGATATGAATTTGTCGTCTCGACGTTACGTCCGATTAAAGTTCTGTTGCTGCCGATATGACAGGGAGAGAACCCAGCCCGCCGCGTCGCTTACGAGCTTGCGCTTCTTGTGTCAGAGCCAAAGCCAAGTGTCATTTCCGACAAGACAACCAGAGAAGGCACATTTGCGATAGGTATTACAGCACCAAAATCAAGGGTTGTTTCCTGTACTGGATATGAGAGTAACTTGGTCAAGGTGCGAGGCTTTGAAGAGAGAGTGTCTACCACAGACAACGAATAATCTGAGAAAATCACGAAGGATCCATCAGAGTAGAGAGTAAGACCGTGGTTACTTCACGCGCCATATACCTGGTTGACACTGAGACTATAGATTTATTGCGAAACAACCAGGCGTGGCGACAACTTCAGATGGTGCAGCATCTGTATCGAGAATATGAACTTTTACTGATCCTAAGTAGATCCGAATGAGAACCAACAAACGCTAGAACCTAGGCGAATCGCTGAATACGCTCAAAACTCAACCCTAAAAACTCCAGATACTCCTCGGCCTCCATTTGGGCTCTCGTGGTTACAAGCAACCCAGATTCTAAATCTCTTCCATCAAGAATACATTTCTCAATTTCCCTTTGTGCTAATCCGTAGCGATGACACAGCGGAGCGTCTTTATAAAGGAAACCCATTCCTATTCCGAGCCATCATGTTAGTTGCAGCGCCACTATCCGAATCTAAAATCATTAAGATGAAGCGCAATGTGCTTGCCTACTTGGGCTATAGAACACTTGTCGAAGAAGACAAGACTCTAGATATACTTCAAGGTATACTAGTGATTGTTGCTTGGTGATCTTTTACGTCCATCGCTACTAAACCAATACTAAAATAGTGTATAGGGCACATAAATGCCATATTGATAACAGTCAAGCCGTCAACTTGGCGTACCTTGGGTTAGGATATGCGCATAATCTAGGAATCACACAAGATGCTTCGCCGTCTTCTGGTTCTCACGACAACACCCACGATTCAAGTACAGCAGCAATGGATCCAAAACAAGATGCACATCCAATGGTGACGAAACGCGCTCTTCTTGGAATCTACTGTGTGTTATCAACGTAAGTATTTGACTCGATCACTACTGGGTGGGTAACTAATACAGTACAGTCTCTCAATGAGACAATCATGCAAAAATCCCCTACAGACACCTTATATAAACAGCTGCCTCAAAACATTCACCGAGACCCAAGACTCGCCATCTGATTCTATAGCAGAGCACATGGTCCGTCTAATCCAAATGAGCGAGAGACTTTCAGAAGGGTTTGGTGAGCCGTATGAACGTACGCTCTCCAGACCATTCGCTTTCCTTCTCGAAGGGACTGGAAGACGCTTCCACTCTGATCTAAGTCGCTTGTCAGAATCAGTCGCATATCCCAATCTCGCAAGCCATAGCCAGATATTTGAGCTACATCGCTTATATCTCCTTGTGCGGCTATATGAGCCTGCAATTATAGTGGCATGTCATCCAGACGAGGGTGTAGCTCAGTTTTATTACCTTTTGATATGTCTGCGTAATTGCCTTGAGGCTATGCAGTCCTTTTTCGAACTTTTCCTGGGATTGCCTGTCGAAATGGTCCTGCGCTGTTCAATACTTACCGTCGACCAAGCTCTCTATGTCATACTGCAAGCATCACGACTGCTTCTCATTGAAACTCCTGAGTGGGATGTCGAGTTCGCTCGACAGACACTGGGCTTCAGTGCTGTACTGGATCGAATGATTGCACGTTTTGAAGAAGCTGAAGAACTACGTAAGAGGGACATAAGGAATTTTGTTAACAATGTACTCGAAGACGGGAGTGAAGAGAATGTTAGCAGTATCACGAGGACCGCGAAAGAGGTGCAGTGGTTGAAATACTGGTTCGAGGCCAAGACTCAAGGGCGTCAAATGGAGGATGTATCATCAGATGAGCAAGGTAGAGATATATCCGAACACGAAATGAAACCGAGATGGCTTGTAGGTCTCTTAGAGGAGATGCCATGGAATCTTACGTCTTGAAGGTTCCATGTCAAGTATATAGAGAATCAACAGAAAGAAGCAATTCGATTCAATCAAATGCAATTGTAGGGTGTCATGTAATCTCGAGAACAAATGAAGAAATATGTCAAAAACGACCCATGAAAACGCCAAACATCGTCGCGCCCATCATCAAGAAATCATCTCTCCCCCACCATCTTATTATCACAGTGACTCTTTGCGGCTATATCCATCATCAGTGAGAGAAATTTCAGGTATGTCGTCGTCTAAATCTTCAAGGCTGTCATCTTCAGAAAACTCGGACTGGTCATCATTCGACCAGGCGAAGCTATCGCCTTCTTCAGAAAACTCTGGCTCATCTTCATCTTCATCAAATACTCCCTCAGTAAGCAACTCCCAGCAACTTGGGTCGGTCATATCAAGGCCCTCAATCCTCTTACGCCACTTCTCTTGAAGGGTTCCGTCGTCGTTATATGGCTTTTGCCTCATCCAGCTTGTCCACATCATAATATTCTTGGATGCAGTTGGAGATCTGATTTTGAACCACTCTTGATGCGAAACATGGCAAGTTGGGCACCCTTTCTCCCGCTTTCGCTGATTTCGTAGCTGGTGGTGTACGAGCTTCTCGACTTTGACGTAGTGCTCAGCGGTGAACTGGCAAATAACTTTGGAGCCGTATCCGCATTGGGTTTTCCAATCCTTCATACGCTTTTCAACATTTTGTGCATATCCAATCTTTATAAAGGGATTGACATCGCGGTATGTCTCGGGGAGAATGTAAGCATAGATGAACCCGTCTGACTTTTTCTCGGTATCTAACAAGGAGCGTAGAAGGAGTCTCCTTATGCGTTTGTTTATCTCGATGACTGTCCAAGCATCTCCAAAGTCTTCAAACTCATGTTTAAGGGTGGTGACCTTGGGAGATGGTTGCTTGGAGGTGGTGGACGCGGAACTGATTGAAGTTTTGGTTGGTGTAGATGGGATCGGTTGAGATGTGTGGTCATTTGTGATTTTCGACATCGGTTTCTTGCTCTGGGAAAGAACTTGATGCTTGACTGCCACTATATCTGTATCTAGAGACTCTGAGCCATCCTCTTTACAAGTCATAGGGGGGTCATTTTCGTCTTCCTTCTTGAACGCCACTATTTTAAGCGGCTTCAAGATTGTCACCCATAATGATATCCGTTGAGATGCTTGGTTTTGGTGGTTTCTCTGGCACATGATCAATGGGGCCATTTCCATAAGTAAAGACTCGGAAGCGCAGAAGCTACCATGATCAACGATCTGATCTAGTAAACGGGCAATCTTCTTGGAGTTGGGTTGGCTAATGGGGCTTCTGCATCGCTCGCCAGTCTTTGTAGACTGGCCATGGCATTTTAATTTGTCGCCATCGTCAATATTGAGCAACTCCCGGAGAGCAGATGCAGTGGTTGGCCAAACTATCTTGGAGGTGGTAGTGACAGCGGTAGGAATCATCCTGACAGCCAAGATATCGATATATCGTAGATAGAAGAGATAATGAATGGTTTCTATGCCAACCTGATACTAGAGACGTAGTTCAGGACGATATATAGCCAGATGAACGTATTGTTAAGCGCCAGGAGAGGCAGTGTTGTCTTGGAAGGCCTCCTACATGTCCGTCTTGAGGCTATGGTCATGAACCGGGTCGTAGGACTTCAGCTGGGTGGAGTCTGTACAGGAAGAGATGGTATGATGTGTTATTTACAGAGACGATAAAATGGCCCAACATGGGAATATATAGGTATACCCCTCCGTCTCTGATAGTCTGATGAATCCATGCTGAATGCCTTCCTTTCAGCTACCTTATGTTCCTAAATATGATCCTGATGCAGACATGACAGGAGCATTTGCGATTCCCTATCCTGTCCACCTATTCAGAGATCAATAGCCAATTGAGATTGAGTCAGGACTCGTCTGGACATGGGACTTTGGACTTCTGTTAGTGTGGCATCCCAAGATGTGTTGGTACACCCTGGTCTCGAAACCTCTGCGCCCCTCTTGGCCGCATCATTTGAGTCATGAGAGACCTCAAAGCGCTTCTCATATTCAGTCTTGAGTTAGCCTCGAAGATTTATCTACTATCGTTGGCAGATTCACTTACGTAGTCTTCAGCAGGTTCGCTAGAGGTGTCACATCATCACAGCCGTGTTCGCGGGCCGCCGCGAGCAGTGGACGGATATTTACCTACGCTTTGATGGTCTCGCCTTTTCTGAGATATTTAGCAGGGCTCTTTTAATTTCCCTTGAATATGTAATTTAAAACGTTTATGTTTTTTATTCTTGGATATGGTAGAGGTTCATTATTTTAGTGTCAACAGCCATAGATGACTTATCCAGGCTATGAGGGAAGACGAGCCAATGAAGCAGGACAAGGCAGCTGATCAACTGTCCTCGGTTGAACAACAAGCCGACTGACGGAATCCATAGAGTTCAATTGGCGTGTTTCACTAGCTACATAAGTATCAATCAACTCGTTACTTTCATCACATCTAAACACAGGCTGTTCACTATCATTTGTGTGCTGCCGTAATCGCCTCATCATCATGTCCTCAGCTGAAAGTCAAACTGCTGCTGCTCAGCGCATGTACACTGAGCGTGCCCATAACTATGAAGATTCATGGCATCCTGACTATAGCAGACGCTTCATGGAACTTGTTCCCATTCGTCAAGGCGATCTTGTTCTCGATCTTGCCTGCGGAACTGGTCTAGAGGCTATCATTGCAGCGGATCGAGTTGGTGATGATGGAATTGTCGTCGGCGTCGACATCACTGATGCAATGCTTGCTATGGCACGCAATAAACTGAACCACGATGGGCGTTTGGCTCGCCGTGTCAAGCTAGTTCAGTACAATGTCACCGATCTGACTGGCTGTCCGCATGTGACTGAGGGCAGCTTCGACCTTGTTATCTGCTCAAGTGCGTTTGTTCTCTTTGACGAGCCCGAAAAGGTTATTGGGCATTGGCATAAATACCTCAAACCTGGTGGGAGGGTCGCCATCGACATTACCCATGAGTATAATCTCCGCGCAGGCCTTCTGCTGGAGACAGTAGCTCAACGTTTGGGCATGTCGTTCCCCGCAAACCGAAGCTGGATCAAGTCAAAAGACTCATTCAGCGATATACTCAAGAACCGGGGTTTCATAATTGAGAAAGCCCAAGAATTGGAGAAGATTGTGGGCCTCGGCTCGACGTACATCAGCGTGGATCAAGCTGATGAGCAGTTTGACTTTGTCGTCAACGGGCCTCTTACTGCCTCCATTGTCACGGACGAATTAAGATTCAAGGGCAGAGAGTATTTTAAAGAAGAATGGAACAACGCTGCTGTAGATGGCAAGGTTGAGGTTTCTGATACTGTCTACGTTTATATTGCCAGAAAGGCTTGATAGTATTGCAATCCAATATCAACATACTTGATTCTGCCATGTCGTTCACATCTTGGCCTTAACTTTCCTAATTTTGGCCTCGACAGGTATCCTTGGGTGATTACCAGCAAGCTTCAGTCCAGTAACGCGCTCAAGCTCATCAACGGCCTCGAACGCCCTCCCAAGATTCACCTTGATCGTTCTTAGTCCTTGTTTGCGAGCTTCTTTCAGGTTCTCTCCAATATCATCAAGAAATGCAACTTCATCTGGCTTAACACCAGTGTTCCAGTTTCGATCCTTGCCACGAAGTGACTGTGCATTGGCCTTTGCGAACTCGTCTACTCTAGCAAGGGCAAGCTGATACATGGCCGGATCAGGTTTGCGGATTCCCACATGGGCGGATGAAACGAAAACATCAAATGTTTGTCGTACAGGTTCGTCGAAGAAATGATCGAAATGGAGCTTGTGGCCAGGTGGGAATATAACAGTGTTGCTTAAAGCTGCTAGGATGAACTGACCGTTCTCCTTGAGCTTCTTCAGTGCCGGGTACATCCAGGGATCAGGGCTGTTGGATACAGTCATCATCTCATTGAATAGCCATTCTGCATCGATAGTGGGGACTGGTGGTGTTTCCTTTGGAAGACTGGGGTCCTTGTTTTGCTCTCTTTTGTAGAAGGCTTCCCATCTAGTTGGGTCATGAAGGTCTTGACTGAACCCCTTGAAGAAAGGTTCGTTCATGGGTATTTCACCCTTCTCCAATCGGTGCCAGAAACCGTTGGGGGCTGTTCGGGATATCGAGTAGTTGACCCATCCTGGAGGGATACCCAGACTCAACTCATAATCTAGGATGGCTTGGAAAGGCGACACGACCTAGGGATGTTAGCGATATCAATACGGTATTTTTCTATCGATTTTCAACATCAACGAGTAACAAAAGCTAATATTGAATGGCACGAGTTGAAGTCGTCGCGAGTCTCTTGAATCACTTACACAAACACCACCAATATCAAACAAAAGAACCTTTGGCTTGCTCTCAGACATTATGGTCTTATACGGGTTTAAAGTGAGAAGAAATCAAACAAGTAAGTAATCAGATTACAGGATTGAGACTGAATATTGTATAAACTAAACCATTCAACAACTCCCAAAATGTCCTCGAAATATACATCCAAGATGACTCCACCGAGGCCTGGGGCATCAGATGAGCCTCGGTAGATCCCCATTTGACTTGACTCTGGGGTGATAAGATAAACAGTGACCACGTGATTCGATTGTCCCTCGTCCCCAACCCAGGTGCAGATACTCGAAAGGCGAAAACACATGCTAAACCCTTTTGGGCGATTAGGGCTATATGAATCCCCCACCAAAGCCAGACTTTTACGGATTATTCCTCTCGCATCAACTCGTAAACTTCAACACCCAAGTCGTCGTTGAGCCAATACCGTCAAGATGGTAAGTTGAGGCCTATCGAAGGGGGGTTTCCTTGCAAAGGAGCTTCCTTGATGTTTTCCATTCTACGGCAGAAATGCCAATTGCTCTTGGAAGAGTCAACGCAAGATGCTTCGGAAGAAGAGCAAATCTGAAGCGCAAATTGCTGACTCGGGGATTTTGACAGCCTTTCCACAAGTTGGTCAAGAACAGCGCGTACTACAGGTGAGGTTTTACTGTTTTCCTGCTTTGGTTATCTTGAGAAGGAATGCTAACAATTTTTCAGTCGCTACCAGACTAAGTACAAGCGCCGCCAGCAGGGCAAGACCGATTACTACGCCCGAAAGCGCCTTATCACCCAGGCCAAGAACAAGTACAACGCCCCCAAGTACCGCCTGGTCGTCCGCTTCACCAACAAGGACATCATCTGCCAGATCGTCACCTCTGAGATCACTGGCGACAAGGTCTTCGTCTCTGCCTACGCTCACGAGCTCAAGGCTTACGGTATCGAGCACGGTCTCACCAACTGGGCCGCTGCTTACGCTACCGGTCTCCTCGTCGCCCGCCGTGCCCTCAAGAAGCTCGGCCTCGATGAGGACTTTGCTGGTGTTGAGGAGGCTGATGGTGAGTACAAGCTCACTGAGGCCGCCGAGACCGACGATGGTGAGCGCCGCCCCTTCAAGGTCTTCCTTGATGTCGGTCTGAAGCGAACCTCCACCGGTGCCCGTGTCTTCGGTGCCATGAAGGGTGCCTCTGACGGTGGTATCCTCGTCCCCCACTCCGAGAAGCGTTTCCCTGGCTACGATATGGAGACCAAGGAGCTCGACGCCGACACCCTCCGAAACTACATCTTCGGTGGCCACGTCGCTGAGTACATGGAGACCCTCGCCGATGACGATGAGGAGCGTTTCCGCAGTCAGTTCCAGAAGTATGTCGACGACGACGTTGAGGCTGAGGGTCTTGAGGACCTTTACACCGAGGCCCATGCCGCCATCCGTGAGGACCCTTACAAGAAGGCCGAGAGCGACGCTCCCAAGAAGACCAAGGAGGAGTGGAAGGAGATCTCCAAGAAGTACAGGAGCAAGAAGCTCACCAAGGAGGAGAAGGAGAAGCGTGTCCAGGAGCGCATCCAGGAGATCATGCAGCAGGATTAAAAAGTTGCTTTATCTCATTGGGTCACGGGCATTTGAGGATTGTTAACCTTTGCATTGGGTTTGGAGTTCCGAGGAAAGGCAAGGTCTATGAAAAGGACCATATGAATGAATTAACAAAAAGATACCTTCCAGCCAAATTCCATAGTTCTGGTGAAACGGGCATCTCATTACTCCAATGTTTCTTGCCATTTGTGCGTGTGTACGTGAAAACAAAAAATAGCTCTGTGTGGTCGCATCGAGCGTGAAGGGCATCACGTGCGATGTCACGTGATCTCGTACATCTTCCCCTTTTACCTAGCGATCAGTATAGGGTAGGTTCACTAGAACTAAACTCTTACGTCAAATGTCATGGTCTGGACAAGCAATACAATACTACAATACTGTGAATTTCCCTGAATTGTTGACAGGTACTGAGACTTTGTTACCAATAACAATAGCAAGTTATGTAAAGAATGAACCAAGAACGTACCTTGTAATCGTGGAAACGGTTGAAACCCGATTTCTGAGGCTTCTGTGGCGGCAAACCTACACACAATGGTGCATTAGGTTTGTTCCGGATTGCCCATCAATCTACCAATGTACAGGGCATATCAGCTAATGCATCTAGTGTTGGAGGAACTCGATCGCGGGAACCGTTTTAACTGTTCACCATGATCGGACTTGAAAATCCGGTAGCCCGGATATCAGACATTCCTTTCTTCGGAAAATGGTGAACTGTGCATATGGTATAATGGAGTAAGTAGGACCCTGAGTCTGACAAGAGTCAAGATGGAAAGAAAAAAACAACAACAGCGGGCTAATGGGTATTTCGAGAAAACCCATAACTAGTCGATTCCGCGGAACCTAGAATTTTAGTAGTGTTCGGTCACCTCGCCTCACCGGACAATGTGTTGAGCCCGCGGCCGAGGACCCAGTCAGTTATTATGATGCGGCTGGTGATGATTTCGGACAAAATCAGGTGGCGCGTGCCAAAAGAGAAAGGGGACCCGACGTAACGTTATTGAACCGTCCAGCTAGCTGTCTCTCCGAGTCGGATGGACCCGGTGGGTATTTTGAGCGAGAGCGAATGATGCAATCGAGTAAAATGAAGATCGGATACATCCTACGAAATGGACCCTGCTTTGGAGACTTGATGAACCGAAGAAAAAAAGACCCACGTTTGTTAACAATAAATAATAAGGGTTCTTATTGTATGTCTCGGCGCAGACCAGGGGTTAATCTCGGCATCGATGGATACTCTGTTGTGCTTGTGCTGCCCCCTAAAAAATTGTTGTGCGATGACATCGTCTGCCAAGAATTATATCAATCAGGGCCCTCTTTTATTAGATTTACAGTGATTGACTTTGGTAGTTTTAGACTTCTTTCTCGAGAACAAAGCGCATCATTTTACAGTCGAGTAACGTACCTGTTAGTTTATAAGAGTGCTGTGACGTAACGTCGTTTGTTTGTGCTTTGCTCATCATGGACTGAGCCGAGGGGATTTGCATCATCGGAGGTTGCACCGACTATTGTTGATCTCTAGTTTGTGCGATGCATATTAAACCTGATCACTGCTGATACTGTACATGCATCAATTTCTAGAGTAAAGAGAATAGGGGAAACTTTCCATGAACTGGGTTCATTCATTCATTCATTCTCGCTTGCGCATATTTGCGTATTCTGTTTTAACACAATGTCCTATCCCGTCTCTGCACTGACGTTCATTTTGATGGCTCAACTTCCGTGCCCGGGTTCCAGGGCGGGCGGGCCCCGATAAAACCGGGGGTGCTCGACAAGCTCCAGTCGGTTCGGTACATGGTCAAGTACAGGTACATGATGCATGGGACATATCCGACCGGCTACGCGACGGGCGGCTGTTTCTTCCCCTCAGATCTCAAAAGCCTCTTTTATCCGTTTGGTAGGTACTACAGACATATACAATCTCGTCTCGTCTCGTTATTGCATCACGAATTAGACCCGAGATTCGCCTCGAGAAACGAAGTACTGCTTGCACTATATAATTGTATGCATGTGTAACAACCAAGATCTTTGTCGGACCCTGAATTCGACACTGACTTTATTTGTCAGGGCTGTCATTGATTAGCAGGCATGGAAGGTTTGGCTTTTTTAGTTCTTGGTCAGCAGCATAGTACAGTAATTACTTATTACTTGCCTTCCAGTTGGTCGGTCACTCCCGCCTCCTAATCAATCACATTTGCACCAAATAGTTGAAATCCTTAACGCCCTCCTATAGGACTTCTGTATCATGATGTGGTCGACTGTGCCTTTACTCGACCGCTTGTGACAAACCTCTACCCCGCTATTGGATATTGCAGTAAATATGTCATGATTGCCCCCATCCACTAACTAAGTGATCCATCCTCCCAATTCCACATCTTTACTGTACCTCGTCCTCTTTCATCTCCCATCGTCATTGTTCCATACAAGGCCGAGACCGCTCGCGCATAGTCCAGATCAAGCCCACTCCAAGTACCTGTACTTTGAAATCCGTTCTCGGTATTGCGCATATTTGACTACCAGGTACCTTAGCCTTGTCTAGCTCTCTATCTTATTGTCGACTATACCTCATCCAGCCCACCAAGCTCGTCTCCAGGATTCGCTAGCCATCCACATCCCAACACCACCTCACTAATCATTATCTTTCTGGCTGTTTCTCTCCTCTTTCTTTACTCACTTCCTCCTTCTCCTCTGACCGACTACAACACTGTTTAATCTGTATACAATAATATTATCGTTTTCAACATTATATCGCTCGAGTCTCTATCTGCCGTCGCGGCTCCCCGCCCAGTATGGAGCAGGTTCATGGCGTTGATGTCAGCTGGATGACCCATGGTGCTTCCAAAGGTATGTTCCCTAATCGCCACTCGTGCTCAATCGCTTCACCATGAGATGCACACCGCGTCCATTGTTTTGATGCGGTAGACCAAGATCCAGAACTAATACAGCATACAGATAAAATAACTAGAAATTCGCCTCCGACCAAAACTCCCTCAGCAGCTCTTCCACGACAGATCCCAGGCGCAAACTCGAGACCGAAGCCACCGGCTTCAGATAATGCTTCCGTAGACTCAAACACCTCACACAACGGCCAGGCCACGACGACAAACGGTTCAAACGGTTCTACCGCCCCTAAACGGGTATCGCGCTCGAATTCTATAGACAAACAAACTCTTCCTGGCACTTCACCTCACCGTCGCAATTCATGGTTCTCCAATATATCAGCCAAATTCTCTTCCTCCGGCACACCGCCAGCCGCCGGTCCTCCTTCACCAGCTCCCATACCAGAATCATCACCAGCGCCATCGCAAGATCCCCTCCCACCAAAACTGACACATACGAAAAATGCCGTTCTACCGCATGCCGCGAAGCCAGAGGGTGATGGCCCTTATATACCTGCCCCACCCAAGAGTGGCCAACCCGGCTTCTTGGGCATGTTCCGCCGGCTCTCGTCTTCCAACGGTGGTGCACTTACGCAAAGCGGAAAGCTCGGCCATGGTCTTGTCGACAGGGTGGTTTTGAATGTTGATCAGAATCGTGAAAGATGTCCTATACAAGAGCTCTCTTGTGCAAAATTAAGAAGAGTTGCGTTCTGTGTAGATGTTGAGATTGCGCCACAACCCAGATACGCCGAAGGCGACTTGCAATTGCCCAAAACGACTGATAAGACGCAGAAAAAGAAGTTGGCCGAGAAGGGCGAGGGCGAGGCGCTCAAGAACCCAAAGGCTGTTGAAGAACAGAAAGAAACCAACGGAGAAGTAAAGAAGACAGGCGAGACGCTACCTCAGGAACCCCAAATGGAAGGGACCGAGGCTCCTCAGCAGACTGAAGACACGACAAACGGCAACGCGACTCCCCTCCCAGAGAAAAAGGAAGAGAATACTAAGAAAAAAGATAAAAAGAAGAAGAGCGAGGAAGAACGAAAGGCCAGAAAGGAGAAGAAACGAAAACTTGCAGAAGCAAACGGATCTATCCCTATGGAAATTCATTACGACAGTAGCGATGATTCTGACACGGCGGGATCGCCCCCCAATACCACCAAGGCTCCTAATGCTACTCAGACTGCTAAGACTCAGACAGCACCTACAACAAACCCTGTCAGAGTATACCGCAGATGTTGTCAGCTGCGCGAAACGCCGATTCTTAAGAAGATCACCGAGCAACTCACTGATACAAACAACTATACAGCCTCGACTGGCACAGTTAACAAGCTTGATCTCACTGATTACTGGCTGCAACTGCCTGATCTAGTCACATTGGGCGACTATCTGGCAATTGTTCCTGTCAGGGAGGTACTGCTAGAAAACAGTGGCTTGGGCGATGAGGGTTTGCGAGTTATTCTGGCCGGTCTCCTCGCGGCCAGGCGACCTGCCCTAAGACGACGGAAACACAAGCATGACGAAGAAGAAGAAGAGCAAGGAGGAGTGGTGGAGCGTCTAGTTTTGAAAAACAACAAGATTGGCCCCGATGGATGGAAGTATCTTTCGCTTTTCATCTATTTGTGCCGGTCACTCAAATTTCTTGACCTCTCCCAAATCCAGTTCCCGCGTCAGCCCCAAACTCCACCGAATGGATCGCCCAACAGCGGAGTGCAAGTACCCCGAAGTATATCGAACATCTTTTCTAAGGCTTTGGGCGAGCGTCTTGGAGGATCAACACTCGAGTTGATTAACCTTGGCCAAGCAGGCTTGACAATGGAGCAACTCGGTTCGGTTGTCGATGGTCTAATACAATGCGGTGTAAAACGACTTGGCTTGTCACACAACGAAATAGATGCAGATGGTATGAAACACGTCGTCAGGTTTCTCAGCGAGGGCCATTGCGAGGGTCTAGACTTGGGTGGCAATGACCTCAGTCAACATACTGAAGCTCTGGCCACAGCAATCGAAAACGACACAACTTTGTGGGGTCTGGGTATGGCTGGCTGCAACTTGACACCTTCGGCGCTTTGCAAGATCTTACCTGTGATGGTCAAGCTACCTAACCTGCGGTTTTTTGACCTGTCGCAAAACCCAGCCTTATTTCAGTCAACTCCCAGTGCCGTTGGTCTGCTAAGGAGGTATGCACTCGATTTACTTGATATACTGTTGACGCATATATACTGACTACACCCAGATATCTACCAAAAATGAAGGTCTTGAAGCGTATGCATTTGGAAGATGCTGCAATGACGCCAGAACAAGCGATTGCAATTGTGGAAGTGCTCCCCGAAGTGCAAACGCTAGCACACATCAACATCACCAACAATGCCGAGATTGTCAAGCTTGCTGATGCGAGAACGGAAGAAGCGCAGGAGGAAGCTTGCGCCCTTTACGCCTCTCTGCTTGCTGCAGCCCGAGTGTCTAAGAGTCTCATCTGTGTGGATGTCGAAGTACCCAGTGAACATTCAGGTGAGATTGTCAAGGCCATGGCCAAGCAAGTTGTTGCCTATTGCTTGCGTAACATGGAGCGACTTCCCGATGCCGACGCTGGCGCAGTCATGGCGTCGACACTTGCGGAGAACAATCTTGAGGCTGGTGATAGTAAGCTCCCACTCTATCCTGATGTCCTCGCACATCTTGTCGGACACGATGTGCTTGACCAGGACGAAAGCGACGACGACAACAGCTCGGCGCCCGATGAAGATTATGTCATTGGAGGCACCGGCGTGGTCAAGGCACTTGCTTGCTGTTTGAAGAACCGAGGCGATGAGTCAAGGAGACAGTCCGGCGAGTTCATCCGTGACATCGAGAACGGTGCAACGAGCCCAGCAGCGACACCATCAGCGAACCTGTCAACGGGAGGAAAGGCCAAGGACATGTCGAAACACTTGTTGATGGGCGCCCGCAAGATTCGATTACGCCTCCAGCCAGCACTGATCAAGGCGAGGGCCCATTCTGACGATGAGCACAACCTGCGTAGGCTGATTTTCTTGGACGACACTCTACAAGGTATCATCAAACGGTTCGAGGATGAGTATCCAGATACACGCGAGGATGTGACACCTCCGAGACGTCCACGTGCTGGGACCAAGGGCATCGAGGAACTACCTACAACCCTACCTCTGGATGATTCTGCAATGGCTCTGTCAGACAACGAAGACGAGGGCGAAATCCATGCAGGCAAGCCACTCTCAAGATCAAATTCTATGGCCAAGATTCTGGTCGAGGAAGAAGGTCGAATTCTTCGTGCTGGTCACCGGTTCCGTGCTGGTTTCTTCAAACAGGAGCAGATCGATCTGCTCAGCACGATTGACGACATTGGTTCCGATCCTATGCACGTGGGAATGCTAACCGAGATGGCCGAGGATATTGGTGGGGAGCTGTTGGAACTCGTCAAGACGAAGGGTGCTGTTAGGGCCTTCAAAGAAGACAGAGACGTTGCACTTAAGTGCATGGCCGAAAGTGACCCAGAGCATTGGGAGCGATTTGTCGATGCTCAGAACAAGTCCCGTGCCAACATTAGCATTCCACCAGCAGCAAAGCAGGGGGATGCGGCGGACGAGAGTGCAATTGCCGATTAGAGTAGTATCACCGTTGGGACGGTTGTGTAGTAGAAGCTTGTTTGGTGGTTGCATGGCAATGATTTGCTGGCCATTGAGGGCAGACATACATGTTTGAGGTGGACAGAAGGACATAACTTGCGCATGGACGCCTGCGCACTCGTTGATTCCCATTTCCTCTTTTTCTGCTTTGAGCGGGGAGTTATGAATACTACGTACAATCTCTTCCAGGAGAGAACTGGTTATATTTGTTACCAATTTTGCGTGGATGAGACGATGGGCTGGTAAACTTTTGAACAGTAGTAAGCATCTCTGACAACATGAGGACGTTGCTTTTTGGATAAGGGGGATTGGTTGATTGGGTAGCTCGATAACTGTCCAGTGAGGTTTCTTGCGAAGTGTTAATCTCGTACATCTGGACCACAAAGCTTGTTAATTTGATTGTTCATCGACATTCGAATTTCCTTTGGACCTATGTAACCTAAGGAGTGGGTAGGAAAGGTAGTACTCCGTGGGTAGTGCTAGCTGGGTATGGGTTATACGGCATTGCCGGGATGAGTACAGTACGACATAGGTGAGCATGGGGATAGGATGATGCAAGTCATTAGATGTTTCCAGAGATGTGGTCTTAGCGATTATGAGCTGAAGTTGAGATGAGATGGGATTCTGTTGTTTGTTTCTTTGTCCTTGATTAGGCCTTGAGAAAAGAAGAAAGTGAAAAAGAACAAGGTCTTCCCAGTTGGTCTATTTGGTCCAAAATCATGCTGTTTGGTTGGTCCGTGATTTGTGGCCCTTAATCTGACCTGCAACACGCGCGATCCCGTACTGATGTGACTCTGAAACACGAGCTATGCCTTATTGGGTAACATGGGAGGCTTGGCGACTTCTCTCTAAGCCTGGGTCTCGGTAAGGCAGGAAGCGGAAGCGAAGCCTCTTTCTCTATGACATGACTTCCTTCACCTTGATTAATTAATCTTTAGTCTCTGTGCACGTTTCTTTCTTTTTGGACGTTTCACAGCTAGTCTGTTGGGTCTTTTCATTCGACAGAGGAGATATGAAATCCACCTTTTATTCCCGTCTCGGACGCACCGTCTGATTTCAATGCTTCTTTTCTGGGTCGAGGAGACGGGGAAGCTGAGGCTGAAAAGGAAGGAAGGATTGAGAGTCATGGTGATGATGCGCTCTCAACTCAGGCCCAACATGTGAGCCTCGCCAGATGCGGCGCTTATTCCAGAAACTTCACCTTTCCTCACTGTTGGGTTTTTGCCTAGGACTGTCATCGTCATTGAGCTGTTTGATCTGCATCTTAATACAGGAGTTATATACCGTCCAATACGAAGATGGTTGCTGAGCTGGCAATGCGAGGACAGCAAACCACCCGAACCTGAACCCGATCGATCCTATTCTTTCCCCGAACATTTATTGATTGTACCTCTCAAGACCTTGTGCTGATCAATACTCGTGCAATTCCTCGCCTGGTCTGTGTCGAAGCGACAAAACGACCTAGAGTGTGCACGTTTAAGTGTGGATTCATGGTTGATACTCGACTCCATCTCCCACGCTCCTGATTCTATTTACGACTCTGGGCAGTCTAGCTCTAGCAAGAGCAAGGACTTTCTTCTGTAATATAAGCTGATGTCGAAACAGAAGCACGTCCCCCATCAGCGGATTTCCCGCAGCCATCCCGCCGAGTTGATTGGCCTTAGCTTGTCCGTTTAATTCATGCAAATGCTTGCAAAGCATGTACAGGGATCCCAGGGGAGACGGGAGATCCTTGCCCATGAGCCAGGATCCCTCGACATCTGGTGACGAGAATCCGGGTTGTCCTCTCTTATCTCTTTGGTCCACGACTTACTTCTCATGCTTGCATTTTCCCCCTCTTCTTCACGGTCTTTCTTTTCACCTTGTGCAGCCTGTTGACTGGCTTTGGCGATTCGCTTCTTACGCTCGTTTACGTTTAACGTTTAGTCTGTCGTTTCCTTCTCATCTTTTACTTTCTCGAGGCGAGCTGCGCTCATCACTGTAGCCATTTTCACTCTTTCTGACCATTACTCACTCAATCTTGAATGTTCTCAGTGACCAACGCATCTTATACACTTTGACCATCATTAACCAACGAGTGTTGCATTCGATCTGCCTTGATCCGCGTCCTGGATCAACTTTGCCACATTGTGTGACAGCCCTTTGAACAAATCATACATCACATTCCGTCATCTCATAAGCCATGAGTCCAATAGAAGGACCTCCATCGACTCGGTCGACTCTCCCATGGGTTTGGGCCAAACCAGGCTCGGTTATGAATTTCGAAAGGTAAACTAAGCAACGGCAGCCATGTCTATTCACGATAGTGAACTAATTCGATATAGTATTTCGGAAGAGCCTGGCTCGTCGACAAACACACGACCCCCGACTAGCCGGACTCGAGGCTTCACTTCTTCTTCAGGACGGCAAACCGTCAAATGGCCCTTTCACAGTTTCAGCAATTCCCGATCTTCCATCCCCAACTACGCTCGTCGCCCTTCCAACTCAAGATCTATTCCGCAAAGCTCAGGGTCACTTCCTCGCCGTGCTGCCGGCAGCATCAGCCGTTCTGTATCCAGCTTCCTCGGCAGCGACATTATCCCCGATTATGTGATAAACTTCATGCGGGGCGAGACACCTGAGAGTCTCGCTCAAAGGCACCGTATTCCAGACAGCCCTGAGCCGGGCCAGTTTCATCGTACCCAGCCCTCTCAGCTCGATTTCTCGCCAGACAACTCGAGACCATGTACTCCAAAGGCCGAACATGAGAAGATGCTCGTTGATGAGCGACCAGTGCGGACTAGGTCTCTTATGACAGGATGGAGAGCTGGAGTTGCTATGAACATGTTTCTAGCCTTTCTCGTTCTTGTGGCCTCTGTAACTTGCCTCGCCCTCGCCTCTGCCAAGGGACATATGGCGACCTGGGAATCGACGTTGATGCAAGGCAACTCGGCCACAGTTGAGGGTATCTCTCGTGGAATCATGGCAGGCGTCAACATTCTCGCCATTGTCCTGATTGCTGGAGCCAACTACGTAGTTCAAATTCTCAACAGCCCGACCCGCGCTGAATTGGACAACGCCCACCAGAACTTTGAGTGGCTCGACATCGGAATTCCTTCATTGCGAAACCTGTCATCCATTTCGTCGACCAGGGCTACGCTATCCGGAATCATGATGGCGTTCGCCCTTGTCTCTCAAGTAATGTAAGCAAGGAACCATATGCAGGCCAACCCGAAAATCATTGCTGACAACTTTTAGATATAATGCCATAATTATTACAACCGAACAGTCCGACAAGTCCAACTCATCACTCAATGTCAACGGGCCGCTACTTGCTGCTATCACACTCGTTAATCTTGTTCTCATCTTCACGTACGCTATCGCTATCGCTCTGGCTCTTACTCGACAATCTTTCAACCCGCTGGTCACGCTCGGCGATGCTCTTACCTCATTCCTTGCGGACCCCGACTATAGCACCCAGGATTCATGCCTCATTACCAAGGAGGAGGTCAAGAAGGGGTTATGGGGTGATCGGGAGGGCAAATACTGGTATTCCCAGTCTAGCTGCTGGTACAATATCCCTTCTCCCAGCCGATGGGCTGTTTGGATCTTGACATGGATCACGCCTGTAGGCTTGACGGCGGCTGCTCTAGCCCTCGGGGCCATGGAAGACCCAAAGAAGGCGTTTTCGACGTTTGGCAAGGCGACAGTGGTATATGAGCTACCCACAGGAATGTCGCGGCCTGGCTTAGCCATAGTTGCTGCACTGCCTCAGCTTCTTTTGGGTCTTCTTTACCTCTCAAGCAACGCGCTGCTGACATTGTTCTACCTATCTCATGAGTTCTCGCAGTTCTCATCAGACCTTTTGTCTTTCCGCGTATCTTCCGGTGAACCTCTGGGTGCACAGACAACCTCTCTATACCTTACCCTGCCTCGACCTGTATCTTGGATGCTCTTCTTCCTGATTACAGCCATGGCTTTTCTTCTAAGCCAGGGTGTCCTGCTCGTGTCTGTAGACGGTAGTGAAGGCTCGATTACAGGCATCGGGTTTAGCTCGCTGCCACTGCTCATACTCCTTGTGCTGCTTCTGGTATTGGCATCCGGAGTTGCTACCCTATCTCTCCGAAAGGTGGATCCCCGGGGTACTGTAGAGAGCGGAGCGCCGGCCGGTAACCCACTCGCCTTGGTGGGCGGAACATGTTCGGCAGTCTTGAGCGCACGATGCCATCGCGTGCCGAGAGAGAGCGGTGTTGAAACGCTCGAGGTTCGATGGGGTGTGGTGCGAGAAGGCGTGGGAATGAATGCAGGACACGCAACGTTTTCTGGACGTCCTGTGGGAGATATCATGGTCGGAAGATCTTACGCATGAGTTAATTTGATTTGGAGGTGTTGGATTATACGGTTGCTAATGTCTACATGGATGATATACCTGGCGTCTGTTTATTGGGAAAGGTTTAATGAGAAAAGTTTAGGTAGTAAAGTATTGAAATGCTTGACACTCTTTGTTACTGTAACCTTGCCTTTTTTGTGTCGGTGTGATTGATTGCAGCTTTGCCCAAGAGGCTCGTAGTCCACGCAGAGCGCCAGAATGTCCCAACAGAAATGAGAAATGTTGATAGTCAGGGATCTCGTGATATAAAATGATTAGTCCCTAGAATGGAAACGGACGATCGCCGACCTAGATAATCAAAGATGGGTCATGGGCTCATCAAGATCAACAACGAAGACGAAACGAATCATCTAGAGGTTGACTTAGAAGCGATGAGGAAAAACGGTGTACGATGGTGTCAGCAACAGACGATTCGAGCCAACCCCCCACATGCCTAATCTAGTCTTGCGAATGATGAATTATTGGTAATAGTTGACTGAAGTAGCAGATTACCAATCCTTGCTTATAACCAAGAAACATCAAGGAAGAAAGTGCTTCAGATTCATCTCAACTTTGACAAGAAACAAAAACTCTTTGTTCTCGACCTTGCTGGATCAAAGTCTAGAAGCTGGAAGAAAAAGGTTCGGTTACTAAGACAGGGATAATTTCGTAGATACAAGCCACAGCTAATTCTTCCCATGGGTTGGTCATACGATTCAGTACCACATCAGCCCAAAGGTCGGGCGTTTCTTACAATTAGGTGATTCATGATTGGTCAGGTAGCACATTTCCTTCCCATTCGGGATCTCCTGCCTGCCCTAGTTCACTTCGGTTCGGAAAAGCATTTGAGTTGGCGGGTAGTAGCGTCTGTGTCCCTCCCACGTATGTCCAGGAAAGTCCAAGTTTAGGCAGGTACCTGCGGAGCTCCCTTTTGTTGGAGAGTCCCCACAAGGGTACTTGCGGTAGAGTTAGAGCATTGCAGACAATGCAGGTTTAATCCAGGTACCAATGAATAAGAAAGCAGAAAGGACCTCCTTTCAAAGTGAACCAACCTCATTTGTACTTAAACACAAGCCCTTCTCCTTTGGCTAACCTTTCCTTCCCTTTTCTTTGTCTTCGACTTTGACTTTACACAATCCAATAAATACCATCTTATCCCCTGCATTCACCACTTGCTCACCTACAAACCACACTCACACTCACACTCAAGTCTTCGCATTCAGACTTGCAATACCGTCAAAATGACTTACACAATGACTGCCCACCTCTGCAAGCAGCTCTACGCTTCATGGCGCCAGACCCGACAGCCTTCTCCCGAACTGGCCCTCCCAAACCAGACTCCCTCATCTTTGATGCGCCCTGCCTCTCGATCTCCTTCACCTCCCGCCCAACGCTCTGAGCGACGTCCATCGAACGCTTCAGACTCGGACTGGGCCCCGAACAGACGTCACTAGACAACAAAGACTCGCGAATAATTGTTTTCTTACTCACGACTTATGAGATGAGTCGACTCATTGCATTTGGGACACGGTCACGGCATCTGGCGCATATAACTTGTTTACACCTGACGGAGTTCTCCCTTTACAACATACATTGTCTACGACTTTCTGAAAGACGCCGGCACCTACCTTCTGACGACGTTTTCCGACACCGAAATTTCTCACCCTGCAAAACCCCAACAAACAAACCACCCAAAGAATGTCCTCAGATGAGATGCAGCAAAAACAGCCCAGAAAGGGTGGGTCCCATTCGTGACCTTCCGGGACCACAAATTGTCAATCACGGCATTTCGTGCTAGAATGGTACAATGTAGTAGGCACATGTACGTAGTACTTACGTAGTACTGCACGACTTGGATCTTTGGTCAATGAAAGACGAAAGCCTTACCTGGTATGCGTTTTTGTTATTCCCTTTGGGTCTTTGGGCACCGAGGCCTCCGGCTGCAGACGGGCAAGGGCGAGGCTTTGTTCAGAAGCAAATGTTATTTTTCCTTTTATTTATCATCTTCATTGTTCAGTGGTTGAAAAACACAACCTCCTTTCTCTTACATAGATACCCGAAATGAAATCCATACTTTGAACCTCATCCTACTTTATCGAATCTACCGTGCTAAGCACCGTCAATCCCATTCTTCGACCCCTGGCAACGCATGACTCAAATTGGAAAACAGTGGCATGACCATCTGCCCACACCACATGTCCCCTGCAGTCGGGGCCCGCCGCTAGCTGCCTTACTTTGCGGGGTGTTGACATGGAGACAGCTGTGGCTGTAAATCTTTCAACGAGACCAAGGACTGGTTTGGAAGACATGAGTTCTTATTTCTCTTCTTGAGAAGGCCAGTATAGCTCAAGAGAATTTAAAGCCCCTTCGAAATTCCCATTTTGAAAACTCTTCTCAGGTCCTACTGAGTTGAAAGAAAACTCAGTCAAGCCCATGATTGACATTCTATGAGACAGCGGATTAGCGCTGTATATACATACATACACATACCACTTTGTAGAACTCACTCGAACCTAAGGACATGGCCAACAATAAAAGGCTTAATGGTTCCCCCCCCCCCCGACGCATTCAAGCTTACCCCAGACTTCAGCCCTGAGTTGCATGTCGTCAAGTAGGAAAGCAAAAATGTTACTTTTCCTCGGATCGGATCGGCTTTCCAAACTCGTATCGTACATACCATAGCCTCTTCCGAACCGAACTATCGAAACTTACACTACACCTTAGCCATGCCAGCCAGCCAACTCAACTTCCTTGCTTTGCCCAGAGTCTATTAATAGCGCTGACGTATCTCAACTCCAGCCAACTTAGTCTTAAAGTCATGGGAACCACAAGAACGGATGTTGCAACCAGTATCATGATGAATTGCTCACTACAGATTTACCAGATAAACAAAACCATTGTTATGTGTTACTGTCCAGTTACTTCCGATGTCGCTTTTTCGTTTCCGTCGATTCGTTTCTCATCAGCCCAAGTTAAAATCCTAGGTTCCTCCCAGTCTTACTCATGTTGTCTTAGTCCAATGACAGTGAATATGCTTCCCTTTGCCCTCATACAAATCCCCCCACGACCAATTCAATGGCCATGTCTACACGTCTGCGAAGGCTATTTATCCATCTTCTACATGCCCTCCGTAATGTTGAATATACTATCCGCCGTTTCCACCTCCAACGCCGTCTATGCCGCTTGCATCGCTCCCGTTTGCTGGGCCGGCATCTCTACATCGCCGACGCAGCCATAGTGTCGATGGTTGGCTTGGCCAATCGTGACGCCTGCTCTTCCTCTCCGCTGCCGTCTGGTGAATCTTGCAGCGCCACGTTGCCTTGGATACGTCGCTTGGCAGTTCTCTTCTCGGCTTCCGTGATGTTCTCTGCGTTCTTTCGCATGTCGGGAGTCCACTGTGGCTCACTAGGCGTGTGGCCAACAGACATGCCTACTCGGACCTGTTTGATGCGTTAACCACTGAGTACTTCACCTTATGCTATGTTCGTGACTTACCAGAGTTTCAAGTGCATCGTTACCATTGTCGACAAGATCATCATCAAAGACCATTCTTCCAGGCTCAAACAACAGCAAAATGGTGCTGCCGCCAAACTTGAAGTATCCAAGCTCCTCTGCACGTTGAACCCTGTCGCCCTCGTTGCGAGTGATAACAGTGCTGCCCACCATCATAGCACCCACGCAGATGACCATGACACGGCCGTGGCACTCACTGTCAATGGGCACAAGAACTCTCACGTTCTCTCCATACACATCGAGAGCTGATCGAATAGCCATAGGATTAACTGTGTAATACTCACCCTCGATCGTCTTAGGCTTGCCCATGACACCATCAACGGGGATATGGAAGCGATGGTAGTCCTGTGGAGCCAGTCGGAATATACCCAGCGCTCCACCTTCAAATCGAGATACGTCTTCGGGATAGGCGTCTCCTAGGAGTCTCTTCATGTTGAACTCACGACCCTTGACCCAAATCTTAGTAGCGATTGAGATGGAGTTAAAGACAACACTGCGGCAATCGGCTGGTGATACGATGATATGGGGATTGTGAGGTGCTGAGCAAGGACGAGCATCGGGTTTCAGAGCACGGTAGAAGAATTCATTAAAGTTGTTGAACTCTTCCAGTGGCAGCAGAACCTCTGACATATCAAGGCCATGGAAAGCAATGAACTTCTCAATCTCATCCTTGGACGCAGGGTCATCAAACTTCTTGCCCTGCTTAACGCTGAGGTTTTTAAGCAGCTTTCGAACTGGTGACCATGTTAGCGTTCGTTCCGAAGCTGCCTTTCGACGTTTAGCATTCTACACTTACTTCGCTTGTTCTCCATGTCTCGAGATTTGAGACCCTTGTAGAGAAGACGGATTCCTAATCTGACATAGACACTCATCTTTTCCTCGTTAATCTGTCCTGTGAGACGGTCTTGGACAAGGATATTGGCCGAGTTTGCACCCAGCTTGTATCCACCGTAAGAAATCTTGGTGATGACTTTGGAATACCACTTGCGCTGAGCCTGGCTGGCGGTTACGAATCCACCTACCAGGACGCTGTTGACCTGTCTCCAATCCTGGCTCGCGCAAGTCGCGATATGAGTGATGATGTCAGCATCCTTGCGCTTGTTGAGTCGTGGTTGATGGCAGATGGGGCATTCCCGGATCTCGACGACATGTTCCTCACCACGGTCATCACTGCTGTCGGATTTGTCGAGAGGATCACCCTCTTCATCTGCAGGTGTCTTCAACGTGGGGACGTTGGAGGCTGGTGTTTGGGTTCCTGACGTTGTGCTTAGGTCTAAAACGCTAGGATTCTCCGAGCCGCCATTGTTATTATTGTTGCCTGGACGAGACACATGAAGGAGGTTCTTCATGTCCGGTACAAGATGCTTCAATTTGTCTGCCGCAGTGGCTGAAGGTCGTCTCCGACCCTCCAACTGGTCTTCCAAACAAATGACAGCTTCGTCCATAGTGAGCTCCCAATTCTCCTCATTGTCAGCATCCCGATGGGGGAATCTCGAAAAGAAGGTGTCGATGGTATTCTCAGTAAGTGTGGAGCCCAAAGCCTCAAGCATTGTCGTGAGTTCAATTCTGCTGATTCGGCCGCTTTCATCGGCATCATATTGCCGAAGCATGGCCCTCCAGAATTGTTGTCGCAGAGCATCGTATGGCATGTACTTGGCGCGAAGGTACAGAATAGGGTTGTGCTTCTTCTCCCACTTTTCAAGATCCTTCAGTTTGAGGGGCACTGTGTATTCGTGAAAGTCGCCATCCCCGCTATCCTGACCGATCGAGTCCGGATCAGCGCCTGTGTTGGCAAGGGCATCTGATGGCGCCAGCATGTTAGGGTTGGGCGTGGACGTGGGCGCTGGGGCCGGAACTGCAGTTGTTGTGCTGCCACTAGATGCATGCTTGCTCAGTGGTGGGCGGATCATCTTGCTGATGCTTGAGGAAGAGTTGGAACGCGACATGGCGAGCTTCTTGAATCGTGATCGAGAAGGAAGGGCTTCAGCCTGCGCAGGCACCTTGAGATCGTATAGTCCAGTTTCAGGGTTGGCTTTGGGGGATCTCTCAAGCAATTCATGTAGGGGTAAATTGCAAGAAGCAATAAAGTCGTTTCCGGAGTACTTGTCATGGTCGATGACGGTGAAAGAGAACGAGTATTTCTGCTCATGGCTCTGAATTTGGAACAGCATCTTCTCATTAAAGACAGGGTTGAGGTTGTGACGAATGCGGCGAGTGCGATAGGTCTTCTTGCCGAGGGATGCAACAACAAATGGATCCATGTCGAAGCTTGTGCGTGTGAGATTAGATTCGGGAGGCAGGTCTGTAATCTTGACTACTTCAAGGTAGATGACGCCGACCGTGTCGAAACCGTTGCTGGCAAATGCGTAAGGATTGTTGCGCCTCCTCTTCTTTAGCCCTCGGATTCTAAGTCGGCGCTTTCGCTTGGTGGGATCTTGGTCTTGGTCGTCTCCCGATTCTGAGTCGCTCGAATCAGAATCATCCTCATCAAATTCGTCGTCACTGGGACTGTCTTGGGCATTGGCGGCGGACTGGGGAGCCGCATTGGGGCCCAGGTTAGGCGTCATTGAGGGTGTAACGTTGCGAGAACCAGCGGGAGCAGTGCCCACGAGGGCTTGAAATTTTTCAAGGATCTCCTGTTGCGTGGCCGATGGGTTTGCCGAGTCGAAGAGGGAGAACTGCAGCTGGACCTCTCCAGAGACAACACTCGTCTTTTTACCGGGACGCTTGCTCTTGAGGCGATACCAGGTCGGCTCTTGCTCCACCTTGCCGTTGTTGAATATCTCTTCGAGAGCGAGATCGAATTCGCCCATGTAGTCTTTTCCGAATCGATCCTTGTCCCAGCAAATAACACTTAGGAGAAGGTTTTGGACGGAAGTAAGAGGGATTTCTTCGGAAACGTTCCATTCTGGGTTGAGTGTTTTGGGAACATCGTTGGTTACGATTCGAGATTCGCCGGAAGAAACAATGATATACTAAGGAAGCTACTGTCAGCATTTTGTGAAGCATTTTGAAGACGACATTGAAAGAGGGGAGCTCACAGGATCGGATGTGCCGCTGCGATCTTTGGCCGCAAGGTCTTTTCCCTGGTGGAAAGTTAGTAATTATTCACGATTTGAGTTTTGTTCTGGAAGTCAGCTTTGTGTCCTGGACAATGCATGACGGCAACCTCGACTGGCAACGAAGCCAAACAAGGACCAAGATTTGGGTTGGGTTTCGCGTGTTGCGGCGGCGGCGACATGGCATAAGCACAGTTACATACTCTTATAATCCAAACTCTCAAAGCCAAACCATTTCCAGCATCCCTAGAGGGGCTCGTGCTGTCATTCTTTGATCTCATGGGGGGACTTTTGCTGCGATTTTTTTTCGTGTTTCCGTTGCTGACGGAGATTGTTGCGGAGGAGGAGGAAGAAGATCGAGAAGAGGATTTGAGTCTTGTTGGGATGATGCGCACCATGACGGCAGAAAAGGCCTTGGCTGGGCCTGCAGCGTACAGTAGTGGATGGACAGCTGGAGCTTCCCCCGTCGGGTTACAGGTAATAGATCGATCGACAGCGGGGTTACTGCGCTGGTGGCCCTGAAAGCAATCCCCGTCGGGCTTGCAGGTGAGTGGGTGTGGTGTCTCAGGCTCGGCCTCAGCTCAGGCTGATTTCCTTTCCAGGTGATGACGTTCACCAAATGCCCTGTAATCTGTTGCGTTGCAGAAGATATCGTTCCTCCAAGGCGGTACCCAGAATCGAGTGATGGGATTGGTGGGAAGTGACGTAGCAATCAATACCAGGCCAGGCACAGATTATAAATAAATACCCAAGCACCTAATATCTGCGAGTCCAGTTAAAGTTTCTATCTTGGGAAGTATGCAAAAGAATATTCCCTCAGTAATAAACTCAGACCCAAAGTTATTGTCGCATGTGTTTGTGTTTGTGTTGGTTCAAACTGGGCTTATTATTCGCGTCGTCTTATTCGTTCCGGGAAAAGCGTAATCCAGCTCTAGATTGTTCGCATGGATGAAACTCCTTTTTCGGCCCCTTTTTCAATGCGGCTGTATAAGTGGCCGTGTCGTACTCGTGGTCCCTTGGTTGAATATTGAAATGCGATATGCACTCTCGCTCGTACTTTTGTTTCCCTTTGCTTCCCGATGATATATTGTGATTGCACTGCCCGTATCGAACCGTATACCAAATTGGTTTGTTCCTTTGACGAGCGACGAAAAGCCAAGCCACGGCCAAGCCTCGTTATCGATGTCAGCGCGCGTGGGTGGGACGAGGAACGCGTAAAGTTCCTTGAAGGAGCTGACACAAGTCGTCGTTAAAAGTATAATGGTCGATCGTTCAGGTAGTCAAATATGAGGGAGGTATTGACTAGGAAGGTATCAATAGTGGTGAGATCAAGCTCGTTCGCAAGAGGAATAAAGAGTATAAAAATGTAGTAACAGAATTGCGATTCAAATTAAATCCAACTCGGTTATAGGCGAGACGAGACGAGACAAGAGGTTGAATTAAACAAAAATGGGGGGCCTAGAGACTCAGGAGTAACCATGATACTAATTTGAGCAACAGGCTATGGAGTAAACAAATGGGTTAATCTCGTCTTTATGTCTCGCATAATAATGATAATAATATCTAGGTAAGGTCAAGGGAGAGAAAAAAAGAAACAAGACGGAACGTCAAGAGCAAAAAGGAAACCGCCCTTGTTTTATTTACGAGTATAAGACAAGGTAGTAAGTAACAACATTTATTATTAGGTAGGTAGGGAGAGATACAATGATCTTACTCCCAATCCCGGACATGGCGCTTGTTCCTTCTTGCTTCTTCCTTTGCCTTGACCTCCTCTACCTCTGCCTATACTTCAGCCCAACACAGGCGAGACCAGACCCAGACCAGACTAACTTAGAGCCCGTGAATAGCTTGTTGGGGCATATCTTCCCGTGCCGATTTGGCCGTGACTGACTAGGGGACTGTCACTGGACACGTATTCTGGACTATGGATCCGTCCGTCTACCGAGACAGCTATACCTACCTAACTGGACAGGCCGTAAAGCCGTTCCAGCAGGTGCTGTACCTTTCATTCTTTCTTTGTCCTCTTATTCAGAAGAAGGAGAAAATACCTCTCGTGTTTTTTACTTTTATTTAGCCTGGCGGAATGGAATTGAATTCGCTTCTTCCGTTCTTGTTTAGCCTCATAGCACGTTAGACCGACTATCAAGTATTTGTTGGCTTCCAGTCTAGTCACTTTTTGCCCAGTACCTCGCCCTAGGGCTACATATATGCCTCGTCTTGAAGTTCATCGTATTACACTGGACTCAAGTCCGTTCCCCTCTACTGGATCGTCCCCTCCACAACAGGCAACTCCTCCTGACCCTTGACTTCTTGGCCCTGTTCTTTTGGCCCCCATGGTGCCGATTGTCCGGGAACCTGCCAGATCGGAAGTCTTGGTATATATAATCTGTTTATCTAGGACTATCTGACGAGAGGCATCCAGTGTTGAAATCGTCGATTCAGACTGAGGTTTATTGGAGCGAGTGTGAAAAAGTACGAGAAGCTAACAAAAGGAACTTTGGCTCATGTACTGTACAAGTACAGTACTTCTGACTCTCAAGTAAGACTAGGTAAGCCAGCGATGGAAGAAGCATGATTTTCCATCACCGTTCCAACACGGGCATGCAACAATGACATGGTGGTTAATGTCTATATTAGTTAGTAGACCGATGGCTAATTTTCTGTTGTTTTTCTGTCACCGCTTCTTCTTTTGGCTATATCATGATGCCTTTTGCATGTGATCAAAACTACATCCTTATGAACCCTGCAATACGCTCACTCACTTGAACATACTAACTAACTCTCTTCTGTACGAAGCTCTACTCTACTTTAACCTCCGCAATTGACACGTATATCTATTCTCCAAGTCGAATTAGTCTTTTAACCGGCATTCTGCTTGCTGTATCAACAAAAGTATGACAGCTCATTTCGACGTCACTGGAATGCGCCCAAAAATAATATTCATTTAAGACTGACCGGACCCTTGTCTCTGTTTTTTTCTTCTTCCTCCGGCCCTGTCTCGAGCTGAGACGAAGCCAGAAGTCAGAAGTCAGAAGTCAGAAGTCAGAAGTCAGAAGCCACAAGCCACAAGCCACAAGCCACAAGCCACAAGCCACAAGCCACAAGCCAGAAGCCAGAAGCCAGAAGCCACAAGCCAGAAGCCACAAGCCACAAGCCACAAGCCACTTAACTTTAACTCTCTTGCCATCCCCTATTTCCCCATCCGAGCTCTTCTTTCCAGAGGAGCTGATATGGTCTGGTCTGATCTCTGACCAAAACGAACAGAAACAAGAATAGATAGACATTCGTCTCCAGTTGGATCCGCATTAAACACCCGAGACTTCCGAAACCACATTGGCAAAATATTGTTACTGGGTTAATAGTTCAATTTGATATCAGCAATTTCATGTCTCATCTTGTCTTTCTCTGAGACATTCAACAGTTTTATTTTACATCTATGCAAGATCTTATCAAAATGTGGGTATAAGTAACATAAACAACAACCAACGCATTCGTGTATACAACGCTTTACGATGTTATGCTACCAATAGACTAATGCCTGCAACCGAGGCAAAATACAGTCCTCTAGAATCAACACCTTACTCCATGACATGTGCGTCCGCTCTGTTTTCACTGTTGTTTTGACCGCCAAACTCCAGTCGCTATGCGATCTCTATCACGCCAATGTTGCAATGCAATGCGATGCGCCCAGCCAAATTCGGCCGCAAACAATACCCCATCTTCGCAAGCCAGCTCAACAGTTCCCAGCAATTTCCTCCTCTAGTCGTATCAACACGTTTATGGCATCGGCAAAAAGAATGTTCCCTCCTCCTAAACACTCGGTCGACAGCATTTGCCTAACAAGACCGACAACTCCTCGAGCCCCGTTGCGGCCACTTTGCGTTTGTACCTCAGATGGCTCTTGAGACGCAACCCTTAGAATCCATTCCTTCGTAGCTTTTTGTGTCACGCCTTTTCTAGGTTTGTCTTGCTCCTCTGCTGTACCGAAAGCCCAACAGATTAAAGCGCAGACATATATGCCCCAATAATCTGATATGTCGGACAAGGGTGTTGTCTTTGTCTGACAACCCTCCCCTCTGTTACATTCTGCTTGGCTGGGCGAGCACTGCATGTTAAAGAAGATCTTCAACGCCCGCGCAGCAAATACTGTTGCTATTGAAGCCGTGCCTGAAATTCTCCATTTTTCAACAAGCTTCTGATGTTCCGTAAACAAGTCCGAGTCAGTCACCTTTTTGTTAAACACCCAGCTCTTGCCAGATACTGATAGCAGATAATATAGGGGTGTATGGTGCAATGCCAGATAGGTGCTGGCAATGGCCGACTCAGGGGATATTTTTGAAATGGGAAACATATTTAACTGAAACTTTGCTGCATCTTCCACGAGACTAATATGTGGTGGGCTCTGGCGCCGTGGAAGGAACAATGAGTATACGGCAAGTAAAACTGCCGCATCAAAATCTGGGCCAGATGCTATATCAGAAGCAGATAGTACCCCCAGGTTCGTGCTAGAAATGGTTTTGGGAGCTCTTATCGTCTGTAATTTTGACCATGATTGAAGATCTTGGGCTTCCCAAGCCTTTATCGTTGTAGCTGTAAGCGGAATTGGGAGAGTGCTCGGGGAAGAGTAATCCAAACCGATGACAGAACTGTATTGGCGTTCGTGATACCAAGAGCTATGTACATCGAGCAGGAAGCAGGCTGCCAATAACCGTCGTCTTGATTCTGTGGCAATCCATGCTATCCAAGCTTGGTGCCCATCTCTGATGGAGGGACGAGAAGCCGAAGTGAGTTGATCACTAATGACCTATCGGAAGTTGAGCTGAGTATTCGCATGTAGGTAGTTGATATGAAAGACAGCGAAAGGTATGAAGAAGACAGATATATAAAAAGAAGGACAAAAACATGCAGAAAAGTAGAGAAAGTGGTATCATAAGAGAATATAGAAAGAAAGATTTAAAGAAGGAGAAACTTAAGAAGAACTAACCCTGTTATAGAGTGAAGTGAACCGAGCAGAGGGTTGGTGCGAATGTGACTTTCTACCGCGGAAGCGTGCGTAGTACTCGCATAGTGCAATCGTTTGCTGGACTGGTATTGACCACTTTTCAAAGTGTGTAAACTAAGTGTATCAGCACCGGCCAATTGTTGCCTGGGCGAGTCTTTGTTCTCTCAACTCACCACTTTGGACTTTTGCCAGGCATAGGCATGAAGCTCCGCCCCCTTCATGCGGTCATCTGCGTTGGGGATAAATTGTGTTGCCAATGCAGCCATAGCACATTGTAGCACATGTTTATGCTCTGTCTCCTCTTCAGGGACGTCTTGGAATGTGTGCTTATGAATGATAGGCTTTCTGGGGTGAACTTGATCCCAATAGACCTCGAGATACCTTGGAATTGCTTCACTAGCAGCAGACGAAAGGGAAAGTGGCATCAGGTCTTGGGTGCTTAGCAAGCCGTTTCCTCCTGAAGTCCCAGAGCTGCAGCTGGCCAGATCGAAAGCCCCGCTTGAAGTTGGTAGCGATGGAACAGCTAACAAGGTCTCAGATTGAGGAACAGCCAATAAAGGGGACACGCTACGAACTGTAGAAGTAGGAATTTGATCGACAGTACTGAAAGTAGTGTCTTCGGAATATCCAGGTAAAGGGAGACCCATGCTAAAAACAGGAGTGTAGACCTGTGGCGGAGTGTACGTGTATGAGCCAGGATATGTGGCATGGTCCATACTTGGTATACCGTTCGGAGTGCTCTGGTAAGCCGACACTGGGTCTATCCAAGGTCCGTTCGTAGCCGGTGCAGGATACTGGTGAGTTCTCGTGTTATTCGGAGGAGTTGAGAAGGCGCTTGTTGTTGCGGAACTATCTTGCCAGTGTAGGTCCGGAGTTGCACTCTCTGGTAGAGTCGGCAATATCGGCATATCCGGTATGCTTCTTGGTTGCTCAGGATTGTTCGGCATGAAACTATTATATGATGTTGATAGATCAGGGCCTAACACGTAGTTGTCTGTGTAACTACCTTGTCTGTTTATACTAGGCTCTGTCTTGAAGTTGTGGTTTAAGTTGGGGGGAGAAACCATTGATGGCCAAGCTCCAGGGACATTGGAGTTGTTGTTAACAGGAGCCAATGTTCGATGGTCGTTGTAAGCTTCGATAGGTTTAGGTCGTGTAGCTTCCGCAGGGGACAGTGCATGTGTCCTTGAACTGCCTTGTATAGAAGGGCGTTCTGGTTCAGCAATATCCATGGTATCTTGATCACTGTTCTTTGTTAGTATTGAAAAAGTTGTAATGCAATATGCTCAACCTACTGTCTCTGAACATGTCGGTCAAGAAGGTCTTTGCGGTGGAAGGTCTTGTTACAACCACGGATGGGGCAATACAAATCGGGAGGTGAATGGCTGAGCTGATGCCGTCTGGGTCATAACTGTTAGAAATGTCCATAAAGATCGGAGGAGGAACGAACCTCAAGTGTTCTGCTCTAGAGAACGTCTGGCTGGATTAGGAAGCCGTGGTTGTAGACTGGGAAAGGATATTTACCTTGGGACACTGGTCGCAATTATGAACCAGTACACCTTTCTTTGCCTTGCTAATCTTTCTGGTAATTGGGGTCAACCTGACATGCGACTCGCCGCTCGCTGTAGCGGGAAAGGGCCTCATAGGGCTGTTTGACGATGAAGCATGCTGGGCTGAAGCATAAGGTGTTTCATTAGAGTCAATGCTCATGTTGCTGCGGCGGCGTCGGTTGTTCATGTTGAGATCGGTTGTTGTTGTCGGTGATGAGTGATCAATAACAGAAGACGACTTGGATGATCCTGATGGGTCATGAGGGTTGTTATGAGAAGAGGAGTGTGTCTGATAATTTAAGGATGTAACATAGCTGTGGACAGAGGGTGAACTTGAAGTCAGGTCAGCGGAACGGCTCTCAGATCGTGGATCGACGGGCTCGTCCTCGGTATTCATGATATTCTTGAGACTGGCCATGACATGTAGTTGATAAATAGAAGCACGAATTAAAAAAGGCAATGAGTCCGGAGAATTGTTGTAGGTCAAGCCAAACTTAGTAAGACACAGCCCCCCAAGATGCGGATGAGCAGTTCCCGGCAGACAGAAGGCTTTAGGCTCATGTAATAAAGGTGGGCGATGAGGGTATAGAGCAGCAGGTGGGAGTATTAGTGGGGGAGTTGACGTAGAATTTTATCAAGATCAGTAGATGAAGGAAGGGTATGGACGGCTAAGGCTGGGGACACAGCGTAGGCGATGCTAGCCTCGAGTGATGAGCAGGGATGTATGTGGATGCGAGGACGGGGCTTGGTGTAAGTGAGATATTTACTCTGATGCTAAGATAGAAACCAAGAGAGGCATTGCTAGTTGGATCTGAGCATGGTTAGTTGAGAAAAGGATAGAGATGGGGTTGCAGGGGAGGGTTCAAGTGATTGACCCAAGATTGAGGACAACCCTGCGAGCTGAGCATGGGGCGCAGGGCCCTGATGCATAGGTGGACAAGATTAGGTGTTCTGTGAAGTCATCAAGTCAACGATGGATGATGCAAGGCACTCGAGGGTCTGGGGATGCTGTAGCAAGCATGGATGGAATGGCCTCGAGACCAAACCCGAATGGCCATGCAGTCCGTCCATTGTTTAGTTTGGTTTGGTTTATCTGCCCATGTGCCACCCTTTCACATTGACCCTTGTCGCATGCTTGCCGCTCCCTGTTCGTCGAGATGTGATGCGACAAGTGGCGGGACGGGGCCGCAAGCGCCATCTAAGCCTTCAAGGAACGGTACCTGATCAAGCGACTAGCGCCCAGGTTTGGTGCAGTGCGGTACCAAACGAGAGTATCAATGTCAGCTACATAAAACATTCCCGACCGATCCGATGTTCTACGGCCAGACAAGTCGCGCTTATACAGCTGCCCAATGCCTTGTGAAGAAAGACACAATGGCGGCGACGATCAGTAAGAAAGAGAGCTGTGCCGGCAACAAAGTTGCAACTAAAGCTCAAGCAAGCCTTATAAGCAGGGAAGCAACTAAGGGGCGTAGCTACTGAAACATCTTTACATACCTCGGAGCTAGGGTGTCTATGTATTTCTCGTCCTGTATGTACCATAGAGTAGGATTTTGGAGCTTGATCGGGTGGAGGTTTGTTTGTTGCAAGGGGCACTGAGACATTGTGGGCACGAGTATGAGCGTGTGCGGGTAAGGCGTCAAGGCGCCTGTTGGTGGCTGTTTTAGAAGCGATCGTGACAACGGCCCATCACAATACTCGACAGGGATTGATGATATAGAAGTGGAATAGATCCAATACAAAGAGGCTGAGTGTTAAACTTGGATTGTACCCAAGTACCTAGAGGGCAGGAACGGCGGCCGACTGGGCTGTCCCCCTTGCCTGCTTTGTACTTGCACTTGCAACTTGCATCGCTGACAGGTACCAACTCATAGTACCTGCCATGTTGTACATGCTAGCCCTCCCTGAAGCTGACATGATAGTACCTGCTATCAATAGTGATAGGTGGACATAATATGCTGACTGAATAAGCAGGCCATGCAATGTATTGTTAAGCTGAAATAAAATTGATTATTGAGTAGTCTTGGTATGTATAATGCTGTCTTGTTCGGTTATGACTTGGATTTTCTTCCTCCTTGCTGAACCACGTTTATTCCCAGGCTCCCTTGTCCAATCTTACAAGTGCTTATCCAGTGGGTTACTGGCAATTAGCTCTAACCCACCATGAAGCCTGAGGGTATGGGTCAATATCTTGGCCCGAGAATCATCTCAACTATGAGCAATGGCACAGTTTACAGAATGTGCTGCTTTCTCAGGCAATTGGCTCCCTTCTTCCTTGTTCATAGTTAATTGGAATCTATACTGGATCCGTTCTCCTGGTAGCGCCAATTTGAATCCCTGTCTTGCTTGTACAGGGGTGTTATTAGCCCAGCCCTGTCGGGCGCTAGAGCAACCAAGTAGAAATCCCTTAGGGGACACACCAGGACTCAGCCACGTGAAGGCTTATTGGTTAGTATTTCATGATGACCTGACATGACCTATTTTTATATATGGTATACAGGAGCTGCGCCTGTCAAACCCTTGTCCATAACTCTGTTCGCTTGCAGTGCGATGAGAGCCAGGGAAGTGTCTGTATTGAGCAGGCGAGTCTTGAATGATCGACAGCTTACTGAATTAATTTATTTCAGACGAGGCATTCTTTGATACACAACTTAGTCATACGATTCCAATAATGCCTTGTGTTTTATGTTCAACGATCCTTTGGAAGATGAGTATCTGAATCAACAAAGGTCAGTGCTTCGCTTCTCTAAAGATTTCATGTCGGAAGCCGTTCAAAATAAAATATGCGGGGTCGGACCGTTCCCTTTGGTTGTTCCACCGTCTCCCCGCCTTTTGGCTGGAAATGGACATGGCATCAGGCCAACACCATCACGATAGACGTGTGCAAGTCTTTCTAAATTAGGCCTGCATATTCTTTGTGTGTTGTCCATCGCATTGGATCTAGTAGATCATGATAATGATCCTCCTCCTCACCCTCGCCTTCATGAGACCCAAGATACTATCTATGTTGTAAGATTCGGCCCGCACGGAGAATATTCCTTCTTTCATGCCCTCCACGCGACCTGCGAAAGCACTGTAACCACATATCGCGTGCAAGAGTGGAAAGCCTCCGGCGCTTGGGATCCGACTATTTTTGTCGTTGGAGGCTCTTTCTGACCAATGCAACATCAACAAGAAGCGGCTTTTCCAAATGCAAATCTTGGTTGAATGTTTGTCTTGGTTCCAGATGCCAAGCTCTTCGCTAGTATCCCGTCCCCATGCGTGAACTTACATCGTCACCAACATTGGCATTTTTACGACTAGCTTTCCAGCACCAATGCACCTCTGGTCTGATTCGCATGTGTTCTTTTCTGGGAAGGGTAGCAGATCTGCACGTCGGGAGTTGCTTACAATCTGGCTACCATTGCGTACCACTCACCTTTTGTTATTGCAATTCCTCCATACACCGCAACTTTACTCAAGCAACGAATCATCTATTTCCATTTTTTATTTGAGTTTATTTTCAATGAGATCTACCGGAGCTTGCGTCCTCTTTCGGACACATATACGAATATGATGTAGTGTCTTCGAATCTCAGCCTGTCGCGACAATTCTGTTTTATGACCAGAAACTCAAACATCAGAGTCCACGAATACAATGGCCCATGCAATTTGCATCTTTACTCCTTCTAATCTGCTGTCCCTTTCTCTTTCTCGGTGATTTCTGTATTTGCTGTCGATGCACCGTCACATTCTCCTGTTGACTGTTTGGTCGCCAAATTTAGATGTCCTCTTGTTATTGCAAATCGGGCATGATTATCATATAGAGTATGAGGGGTGCTGTTTCAACGAAACGTTACTTCAGATAAGCATTCACTTCCATACCAGATACTTTTAATGCTTATACATGTGACATAGCCGCTCAGTTAAACGCAAACTAAGCGCGATCGCCCCCATATCGTGACATGCTGCGCTTGCGCCCTTCGGAAACTTGAGTACCCTGGAGAAATCTGATTCGGGCTCGGGATCGCACTCATCAGAGCCTCCAGCTAGGTTACCGTACGATGAGACGTTAATCGAATCTGAGGTCAAGTTTTCCCAAAGTGTTTTTTTTTGTTTTTGCTGTTGACTTCCAAAACATTGGCAGCCAGCCTAGTACATCAGTACACGAAACGCAATGTGGACATCATCGAGTTCAAATAAGACATAATCTCTTCCATTATTTTGCCCGCTGCCGTACACGTAGTACTGGACAGAGAACTCTGGCTCAGTAGCGTGCTAACACGTCTCCGTAGCCGCAAGAGCATTCGATACATAAACAGAAGCCGGAACGCCTTGTATACCGGCCCTTTATTAAAGACATAGCCGAATACTGATTAAAGTAATGATCCAAAGCCCATTGCACAAAACACCTGCCGTCTCTTTTACGGTGGCCCTGCCTCCTTTGCCATCGGGACATGTTTTTATCCTATCTCTCACATTTGTAGTTAAATGTACACGGCTCCGTTTATAGCTTGGAGGAAGCCGCTGCAGTAGGGGTGTCTGATGATTCCTTTGGCGACTTGGCGTGGGCATCGCTCTCTTCAGACTCATCGTCGCTGGGACCTCGGCTGCTATCGGCGACATTCACTCGGCTCTTGGTCATCTATATAGTTGTTAGTCGACCCGAACCAAAGATGGCATGGTTTTCTTGTTACTCACCCATCCTCGAACACCACCAACAAGGCCGAGGGCGTATCCAGTGATAAACTCCTTGGGTGTACCAGAAGTACCCGGGGTCGTAGGTGAACGAAGTCCCTCGGCGGTACCCGAGCTGTTAAACCGGGCAGGGCTTTGAGGACGGCTGACAGGCCAGAACTGCTTCAGCTCGCGGCCGAGTTCTTGGCCAGTAGTGGACCAGTTGTTTGTGATGTTCTCTCGCAGGTCCTGGACGTGACGCTTGAGGTCCAGTTCGTTCTTCTTCAACCAGCTGACGTTAAGTTCCTGACGGGATGTACCGCGCTTGAACTGTCTAGCAATGTACTTCTCGTAGTCACGCACGATTCTACAAATATTAGAACAACCATCGGAGCGAGGGTGGAATGTCGGCTTACCTTGTAATGAGGCCAGTCGTGCTGACGCCCTCTGTACGCTGAGTAACAAGGAACTTGCCAGCGGCCTTGATGGGCTGGTAAATATCGTCGCCTTCGTCAGCACCGTAGGGGAGATCGTCGTGGGCAACGTAATCGAGCTTGTTCGCGTCGAGGAACTCGGGAGTGACGACCCATGGGCAGTCTTCGATAACCTCATCAACCCATTTGCAGTGACGGAGGGTCTCGGCACGCTCAGCGGCAGACATGACAGTCAAACCCTTGCGCTTGTGTGTTTCATGATCGCCTGTGACGCCGACGACCAGCGTTGTGTCGGGGAAAGCCTTCTTGGCCTGCTCGAGTTGTCGCATATGACTAGGAAGCTGTTAGCACACATGATTCGATTGCGCAATTCAGACTACTCAAAAAGAAAACATACCCCAAGTGGAAGAGATCAAAGACACCATCAGCGTAGACACGGACAGGTCGTCCAACAGGGGGAGGGTTGGTCTTGTAGCCACCAGCAGGATCTTGTAGGTTGCCAATGGGAGGAGGGGGCATAGCCTCGATTCTGCGTTGCTCCTCTTCATCGAGCTCCTTCAAAGCTTGACGTCCTTTGCGACCAACTCGCTCAGCAATGTCGACGCTGGCTTCGGTGGTGTCGCTAGGCTCACCAGGGTCAATGGTGTGATCACGGTTCGAGCTAGAGCGCTGCCTCTTAGGAATTGGAGCTGAGCCGCGGGCGTGAAGACGTCCCGACTCGGCAGCAGTAGTATCACCCTCCTCGCCTGAAGCATCACGCGAGGATGTCTGAATGCCATTCTCACCAAAGTCGTTTGTGGATTCGACGCGAAGAGAGTTTCTCTTGCGCTTGCCGCCTTGAGATGATCCGGAGGGCGACGACATGGCTACGGCTGACGAAGATGAATGGGAATGACGCGGTTTCGGGCTTGGTTGGGGGTGGGACTGTCGGGTTGTGGGAGAGAAAGAGGGAAGAGAGGCCTTTATTAACAAGAAGCGATGCCCCCAGTGTGTCTAGGTAGGTAGGTAAGGTCTGTCCTTAGGTACGTGCTGGGAAACAAGACGGGGGATGGAAGTCAGTCGAGTCTTGTACAGCAACTTATTAACCTGGAGAAACGGTTACGGCTACCGAAGCAGTCCCACGTTGACGCGAAAAAAACCGGGTCTAGGATTTGAGTCTCGACCTTATGCCAGAGCTGATTGGGCTTGGGGAGGTGATGATCCCTGCAAAAATCTGGGGGGGTTCTAAAACTTGGCTCGCCTTACAGTAGAGCATGTAGCTTTTTTATACGGGACGAGGGATACGGTTGGGGATACCGTCATCGGGAGGCGAGATATGATGATTGATAAGAGACCAGAAACAAGGAATGCAGCAAAATGTAGTCAACCAGAAAGATAAGTAGGAATTGGTCTTGAAGCCATCTGTACTGTACAACCCCTTAGTTATTGCCTGCCACGAATAACCTTTTCTCGAAATGACAGACACAATCTAAATTAAAAAAGTGGTCCAACTCTTCGTGTCCAAAAGGAGAGCAATCTCAAAAGAGTTAATAGCGCAGCCGCATCGTATCGTAGTGTAACCCATCAGACTTCTGTATATTGGGCAATTGCTCTCGTGACAATCCATATGCTTGTCTCTTTCGTAATTGTGTTCAACATGAATTTTGAGCATCTCAATGTTGGTTTTTTGGCCAGAATTCGTTGCTTCAACTGCTCGATTTCCCCAGTTTTCGAAGACCCGTGGCGTCATCATTGCAACCCCCCCTTTCATCTGTCCTCTCTCTCTCTCTCTTTGAATTCCAGGAAAAGGGGAAGGAGGAGGAGAAACTCATGGAAGGAGCAACCTCGAAATTGTGAGCTGCAAGTCACATGATGTTACACGTCAAAGTTCCAATACATTCACAGCGTCTTCACCATGTAAGCTGTGTCAAGTTGAATGATCTTCAAATAAGCTTCACACAATGATTGAACAAAAAGTGGATACGTGATGCTATCACCAACTCTGATGTGATTCCGAGTAGTTGACATCTTGGCAAAACGCACAAATCTCTAGCATTTTCTCTAATACCCCAACTCGTACAGGCCTTTATGACTCCTATTCGACTTGGTCGATGCTTTTACTGTTGCACTAATCCATCTCAGACCCAAGTCTTCCCCAGATTAGCAAACCCTTGAGATCGCAGCCAGGAATACAAGTTTGAGTATGCAAATGCGATTCGATGAACTGGCTCTGCTTCGTTCACCTTGCCGTTACTGACCTCTTCCGGCTGAATTCTTTACCTCTAAGGTCTAAAACATTTCATGTCTTAGGCCATGGCTCCTTACTCCTGCCATACTGGCCTGATCTCTTCATCAGAAAGGGCGAGTCATTGCTTCAATTCTTAGCTTTGATTGGTGGGTCACTGAATATAACCACCCGTCTACTGACTAAGGGACTGAGGCAATCATTTACTAGCAATACTTCAGGTAGTACCTATTTATCTTAGTAGATAATCGAAGGTATCATAAACAGACTCTGATCCTTTACTGTCCAAGTCTGCAGGATTTCCAAAAGTTCTTCATCTATTACGTTCACTCAAGGATCCAGTCACGCATAAAGGAGATTACTACTTGATCCTCATCTCCGTTTCCCCATTTCAGATGAAACCACTAACACTGTTGCTTGGCTTCTGCGCCTTCTTCCATCTTACAAGCGACCTCCCGGTCACTTGTTCCCATTATGCAGTTGGCCTCAAAGGGAACTGGATGTCAATCATCCCTAGCAATCTATCACCTATACGTTTTCGCAAGCACCGCCAATCCAAGCATCTCGGTTATCAGACCCTTCAAATAGACTTGGGCCAAGGCTTCACTATATGCGGCCAGAAGCACCCAAGCCCAGGTTTCAGCAACAGACATGCCATCGTTTTGATGGTCACTTCTTCGGTTCCTGCCATTAGCCTCTTGCCCAGGGTTAATATGCTTGTACCTGGAGGTTGAGGGATAGGAACATCGCATGTTGGGCACATTTATATAAGGAATATAGTGGTCGAGGTCATCATGATTTAACTTCTCTTGACATTTGCATTTTCTTTCACATTACCCTCTGGTAGTTACGGGCAGGCCCAAAATTCACTAGTTTTTATTCTTATACTCTCGTTCAACTTACACCTTTCAATATGCGAACCTCTACTGTTTTGACGATTGCCAACTTCGGCACAGCGTTTGCCGCAGTGCAAGTGTACAACCAGTGCGGTGGCAGCGCCTATTCTGGGGACAAGGAGTGCCCTTCTGGATCAACCTGTGTCGAGGCCAGCAAGTGGTATAGCTAATGTATTCCTGACTCCTCATCCAAGAAGGTTGCCTCAGTTGAGAAGACTGATTTCGACTTTCCCGCCTTCAGGTTCCCAGGATTTCCTGCACCTCCTCAAGCTCCTTCCATCGAGGGCGACAACAACCAGAGCGGTGACGATGTGTCAACTCCATTCCCTCCCACTGTCCCTGCTCCCGAAGAGCCTGTCGAGACTGTCATCGCTGACCCGACTGTGGCTCCTACCAGTGCGCCCCTTGAGACCGGTTCTGGGCCTGGGTTTGGGTCTGGGTCTGGGTCTGGGTCTGGATCTGGAGGTATCATGCGACCCATTCCAGCCTCCAGTGGTGCCACCGCCGTTGCTACTGCTATTCCTGTCTCTGGTGAGCTCGATGGTGGCATGACTTAGTACGATCGATCCCGTAAGTTCCTTGATGTGAAGGTTTTCTGTCTATCCTACTAACAGCAGCAAGTTGCCGTCTGTAGGGGTCAAGAAAAAACTAGTGAGGCCGATGCCATGTTCATCCTCGAAGACGGCGCTACTCTTCACAACGTCATAATTTGCTCTGGCCAGGCCGAGGGTGTTCACTGCAAGGGCACATGCACCCTCGAGAACGTTTGGTTCGAGGATGTCTGTGAAGATGCCATTAGCTTGAAGCAAAGGTCAGGTACTTCAATCATCCGTGGCGGGGGCGCTTTCCATGCTGCCGACAAGGTCATCCAGTTCAACGACCGCGGCACAGTTGAGATTTCCGACTTTTATGTTGAGGACTATGGTAAGCCTGTCCGATCCTGTGGCAACTGTAAGGACAACGGTGGTCCTCGAAACGTTGTTATTGAGAATATCGCTGCCGTCAACGGTGGCGTTCTCTGCGGCAGTAAGTCATGCCCTTGTTTTTTGTTACCCCACAACTGACAGATGTCCTAGTCAACACCAACTATGGCGATACGTGCACCATCTCCAATGCTTGCCAAGACGAGGGCAAGAATTGCGATCTCTTCGAAGGTAATTCTGATGGTAGTGAGCCAACGAAACTGTCCAGCGGTCTTGATGGTACTTCTTGTAAGGCCGACAGTTTTGCCGAGACCTGCTGAATGGGCTTCTTCAAAATCGAGTAGAGTAGATTAGATGAATCAAACGCGTACGACTACAGTAGAACCCAGATCTTGTATTACCTTTTAACAGGGGAAGTTTATTGGTTTAACATATTGCAGGTCCAAGATGGCCTTCAGTAAAGGCAGCAGACCATAAGAGGCTGCTATGGAGGTATCTGAGCATAAACCCTACAGCCTTAGGGTCGAGTTCGGATTTACTGTTCCATTTCTTGTCTCCAAAATTTTTGTTCAGGAGTTCCCCAGCTTTGGATCGACATTTGACAGGTTGAAGTCAGTCGAGAAAGTGAGTCTTGCTCAGCAGCACGGTCACATATCCTCATTATTTTCAATCGAGCCGAACTGATTGGCCTACCTGTCTATGCGAATCATTGAATTGTATGTGTTGTAATTGAAGTATAGCACTCTCCCACTTACATGACATTGAACGATCGCTACGGCCTCTCATACTCGGATGGCAAGGTGGATGCATGTCTATACAGGACCTCGGTACTCCAGCATAGTGACAGACTGTTATCATCATCAGTGACCGCACTGCGGTTTATCAGTGCAATTAAACGGAACTGACAGTTGATATCCAGTCTTGTTGTCCTTCCACATTGCCTCCCTTTTACTTAGGTACACTGCAAGGGTACAAGTCGGAAAAAGGCCCAGTGCTCACAACCCCAATGTTACAACACCGTTATCCAACTGCACCTGAACATGAACAATCTCCCGTGTTAACTAAAAGTTGAGTTTGCTACTGTAACTTTACATTGGTCTTTATGTTCAGATTACGTGGCAGGATATTTAGCTCCTGGAACAAGGTTGGCTGAAGTGCCATCTTGTAAGCTTATGAACCGATTCGCAATTATTAATCTCACTAATGAGTAGACAAGAAAGGAACTGGATTACAACTGTTGGAGCGTCTCGGGCATGCTACAACCTGCATATTCTTGACCTTGAACTGCGAGACTAGCATGGGTCATTGAACCCGGCGACACAAGGACGCTGGCGCTGACCCTGTCCATGTCCAACTGCACGAAGGCTTCACTCTAGGAATTGATGCGAAGTGACTGAATGCATGGCTATTGAGTAAAAGGTGGGGACTGGTTGATTCAAGTTTTTAGTCGCATGTAATCACGGTTGCGTCTGTCAAGAGATACACTCTCAAGGATGGTTATGGTGATCAAATAGAGGGGCACAGCATAGAGCTGACGAACAAAGCAGACTGGCCAAACAAGTAAATGATGATTTGTAAGTTTCGAAAAGGAGACGGCAATTTACAACGGCATTTGAGTCTTTCCAAAGACCTCGGGTTGGGCTCATAGCAGGTTCGTGGGTAGACTTCATGTAGCCAATATCAAGTTGGCCGAGGAAGAATCAAAGCAACACTCGTCTATACGGACCGAAACTCACACTGTTACAGTGTAATTGACACTTTGTCAATCATAAACTGTTCTTGTAAGAAATATTTGGCAATTTTAGACACCATTAGTATCGGGCAAGATGCACGTTTCGTCTAGCATGTAGGAACTTGGCCACGGAAATTCAAACTTGGTTGCGTACACTGCAGTACAAGACAACTAGGGTATAGAACAGTGTGTTAAGACTAGATAAAGCTCTCAATAAAAAGATTTCAGTCGGAAAGACGGGCAACATCACGATGCCGAGTCGAAAAGTAGATGCTACTTGTGGAGGAAGTTGAGGTTTCAAGGTCGAAGGATGGAATGTCGTTGACCAAGTCGAGGCTTAGCTTCATGCACGATTCGTATAGCAGACCCTTGTCAGTGTAAGAGATGGAAGCGGATGCAAGCGAGCGATGAGGCTCAAAAATGAAAGTAAAAATTGATCTCATCATCTGGGGATGTTTGTCGTCAACATCAACATGATCCTTGTCAAATCGCTATACGAATCGTGCATTAGTGTCAAGATGCATGATTGGTGCGTAGGATTATCTGGGGCAAATGAGAAAAAGTACCTGATAATCTTATGAGAGCTCACCAAAGTTTGAGGTACCTCAATTTCCATCTGCATGGATCGACTGCTTTGCCTGTCAAAGCCTAACATTGATTGGCTGTGTCCCCTGAGGGAGATTGACTCGGAAGTGTAGAGGGAACGAGCGCGCCAATAGTACAACACGTTTTTCTCTTATTCGGGTTCTGTTTTGGTCTGGTCTCTCCATCGCGAGAATTGTTTGTCTTTGCCTCTAACATGCCCACGCAAACTTCCATGTTGTGTTGGCCGCACGCCCCTCCACTTAACATTTTTCCTTTCTATGACCCTGTCAACTTCTAATTGATTTTTTCCCCTTCATTCTTACTGATTCAATCCTTCCCCTGATCTTTCAGAAGAGAACATCTTGGTATATCAGCGGATACTGAATACCTCTTTAGGCACCTTTCTCTCTATGCCCTAGTCCTCGATTGGAGGTCACCGTCACCGCTCGCTCCTCTTTGTGGTCCCTCCCCCCTGTAGCCCAACTACCACTAATTTATTGTGGTTTTGTTTGTTTCCGGGCGACGTACCACGTCTGCATCTTTCGTCAACCAAAAGTGCAATTGAGGCGCCCAATTACTTCTCTTTGCATTGACAAGACCCTCCCTCTGTCTCTGTTTTATGCATGCACTGTGAGACAAGGACAAGTATTGTCTACCATCAAAGCCTGATTGTTACTTGGGCTCGAACCGCTTGGTCTGGTTTCTTGGTCGCCTCTACGGATACAATACACATATATAAGGCTTCGCTTGAACCCTTCGTTCAACATGTCGTCAAGATATTCTCTACGCCAAACTCCCAGGTTTGTTTACCTTTGTTCTCATCACTTTCATCAGGCACATGCTAACATTGCGCCTCAAGGAAGAAGGAACTCTTCGAGGGCATGGTAGAAACCCCTATTCGTCGTTCACGTTCAGCACGCCGCCAGACTTCTCAACCTCTTTCAGACGTCGAAACCGACCCTGCTGCTGAAGTTATTCCCCAACCTACACGTCGACGAACTGCCAGATTCAAAGAGGAGCTCGACGAGGAGACAGACTCTGACAACATGGGAGCTGTTAACAGGGCTGCCAACGGCAAGACCAACGGTTATGTTAATGGCAATGGTAATGGTTGCACCAATGGCCACGCCAACGGCAATGGAGACGTGACCAATGGCCATGCCATATCCAACGGTGCTGCCCCCACCCAGACTGTCATGGAGAAGACTGAGGGCGTTTCCCACGACCCGCACGTCGTTGATGGCTGGAGACCTGGCCAGGACCCCAAGGTCGACTACTCGGGCGAGGTCGAGTTTGGTGGCTCCTTTGGTACTGCTGCTATGATGACCCTCTTCCCCGTCCTCATGTGGTACATGTGGATTGGTGCTACCTACTACGATGGAAAGTTCCCCCACCGAACAGAGGGCCAGTCTTGGAGCGAATTTGGCGCCCATCTCGTCAACCTTGTTTACACCGGTGCATTCCCCCGTCTCCAGGTCTGGGTCTGGTACTGGTCTTACCTCATTGTTGAGGGTGCTTTCTACTGCCTCCTTCCTGGTGTTTGGGGCTACGGTAAGCCTCTTCCTCACGAGGGCGGCAAGCAGCTTCCCTACTACTGCAACGCCTACTGGAGTCTCTACACCACCCTTGCATGCCTTGCTGGTCTGCACTTCTCTGGCATCTGGCCTCTGTACACTGCCATTGATGAATTTGGTCCTCTTCTGTCTGTTGCCATTCTGAGCGGCTTCCTCGTTAGTATTGTCGCCTACTTCTCTGCTCTCTGGCGTGGCAAGCAGCACCGCATGACTGGCTACCCCATCTATGATTTCTTCATGGGTGCTGAGCTGAACCCCCGTATGTTTGGCATTCTTGACTTCAAGATGTTCTTCGAGGTTCGCATGCCTTGGTACATTCTCCTCATCCTCAGTCTTGGTACCGCCGCTCGCCAACATGAGCAGTACGGCTACGTCTCTGGCGAGGTTTGGTTCCTCGTCATGGCTCACTTCCTCTACGCCAACGCCTGTGCCAAGGGCGAGGAGCTCATCATCACAACTTGGGATATGTACTACGAGAAGTGGGGTTTCATGCTCATCTTCTGGAACCTGGCTGGTGTTCCTCTTTCTTACTGTCATTGCACCATCTACCTGGCCAACCACCACCCTGATGTTTACCGCTGGAACCGTGGTATTCTGGCCGCTATGTTCGTTGGCTACCTCTTCTGGTACTGGGTGTGGGACAGCTGCAACAGCCAAAAGAACCGTTTCCGTGCCATGGAGAAGGGCAAGTTGGTTCTGCGCAACACCTTCCCTCAGGTTCCCTGGCAAACCATCCACAACCCCAAGACCATCGTCTCTCCCCAAGGAACCATCCTTGTTGATGGTTGGTACGGCCTTGCTCGCAAGATTCACTACACCGCCGATGTGTGGTTTGCTGTTTCTTGGGGTCTGATTACCGGATTCGAGAGCCCCTTCCCCTGGTTCTACCCGGTCTTCTTCTGCTGCATGATCGCCCACCGAGCCGCCCGTGACATCCACCGCTGCCGTCGCAAGTACGGTGACGCCTGGCTCGAGTATGAGCGACGCGTTCCTTATCTCTTTATTCCTGTAAGTCTGCTCACAAAACCGACCCTGTTGAATTGTCGCTAATATTTGCCAGTACGTTATCTAAACGATCCCCATCTGAAACAACCTTTTAGGGCTGTTGAAGTTCATTTTTGAGAGACAGAACTTTCTCTATTCAATGGTTATAGTTATTATTGAAGTTGTTCTGTCGAGGAGGCAAGTGTGCAAGAACAACATGCACCAGATGTCACATGATAAACAAAGGAGTGATTTGCGCATGAAGAGACGAAGAAACGTAATATGGGGAGGTTTCTAGGAGGGTTGAATACGAGTCTCCAATAATTGTCGAAATGATTAGACTTCTTGGATGTTATTAGACTTTGTAATTATTTTACTTGTTTGCACATAGTTACTATTGGTTATCGGCTTAAAGAATATTGTTTCAATTGCGTGGTTGAACAAA